CATCCCCATATGTGGCCTAGGCTACTAGGGGGAGGGATGTTTTTATTAAGTCACCATTTCTAGATTGGTACCAATCAGGGCGAGAGAACCCAGTCTGCTCTAATATTTAATCTATAGATATTCAACAAGATCTTCCATTCCTAGATATTCAACAAGATCTTTCATTCTTAGATATTCAGCAAGAAAAGTTATGACATTGATCTTTATAATAGGCTTGACTTTAAATATGATCTGACCTTTCTATATAAAAATCTAATCTGATAAGTCAAAATAGAAGCCAAATTGAAAAGAATAATAACATTAATGCCCTACTGAGCTTTACTATCATCTGGTATGACATCATATTGTTTTTAAATGAATATATCTGCATACACACATGAAAAGATGAAGTTTGTGTGAGATAAAACAATGGTTCAATCAAGTTGTTTTTATAAGATAAAAAAAAAAAAAATGAAAAAACCTTTTGGAATTTTAGAATAATATTCTTACAATTTGATTTGTTTCTTTTATGTTGTTGTTTACTTAGGTACTTACTATGTGTCAAATTGAAATAAACTGACATGTATTTTTCTATAAGTCTCCAAACAAATAATTGTCATTTACTTTGGGTTATGCATGAAAAATAATTGTCAAAACATTATTTCTTTGCTTTTTTTCATTAGTGAACAAGAAGAAAATTAAAATATTTCTGTATTTTGATTAAACATTTAAAAATAACTCTCACGTGGAAATGTTTTAAACTTACATTTTCTTTATCTTCATTTCAGATACAACATTTGCAGAAAGTCCTTGTGAAAAAACGAGACCCAGTCACTCATATTTGCTTCATTGAAGAACTTTCTAAGGTTTGTTATAACCATTGACCTCTCACTTTAATATACAAGAATTGTAGATATGTTAATAAATGTATGTAACTTTATTAAAATTACAATAAGACAATATTTACTTAACACTTTTTTGCCTTCTCTTTCAACCAATTTTTTATACCTTTCCTTCTGCTACATGTACTACCATGGCTTTCAAGAGACTTTCAATCTATCTACCATTTTAAATACATTTCCTCATTCTTCTAGTATATTTTTCCTTTGTTCCCTTTGAATGCTTTAATAGGAATTATTTTTTTATAGCATTTGTTTGTAAATTTAATTCCCATAATAATTGGATAAAATATAAGAGTTTGTGTGCATGTCATAGTAAGTCATTTTGAACCCCTGGATTAAACTAAGATAATTCATCTTTTGCTCTCTTTCTATTAAATATCAGCTATATATGTTCCGTCTCTCTTGATACCTAGGGGACCAACTGTAGAGCAGTATTCTTAATTGAATTTTTTATGGCTTATCAACCTTTTGTAGGTTAATTAAAGCCAGGAAAAATTTTTAGAGTGTAAGAATCATTTTGGAGATAATAATGATTTATTGATACAAGTCCTACTAATTAACCCATAGTTGGGGGAGAAGAGGTGGATTTATACTTTTCCCAAGGGTATTTGTGTGTAAGTGAATGTAACAAACTTGGTTATCTGATTTCCAATTCCAAGCCATTATCCGTTACACCACCCTCACATGGAAGCTTACAGAACCTGGTATTTGAAGGCGATCACCTATCTAGGTACTGACCAGGCTTGAAGAACCGGTGTTTCAATGTGATATGACCGTAAGCCACTAGAGCAGTAACCATGATGTTACATTATTGTGGCCTTGCATCAGATTAGCCTAAAACTATCTACAGATACTCCAACAATGTTGTATCAGTTTCCCTTCATTAATAGATTCTACTCTATCTGTCTATATTTCTGAAATGAGGTATTGTAACTCCGGGTGATATATATTGGAATTTCAAACAGAACCCTTTATTTAGTCCACGGGGGTAGATTGATCTAATTCCACGTGCCATGCCTTTTTGAATATCTCCGTTTCAGTTAATTCCCTTTAGTAACTCAACTCTCCAAGTTTTTGTTCCCTTTGATGTGACCAGGTATTGAACTCACAACTCTTTGGGTTAAGTCACTTTTGGATTACTCAACTAACACTTTTATCCATGTCGCCACAGCAGAGGGAACAAAAAAACTGATATCCAAAAAAGGCATGGCATGTGGAATTAGAACAATCTACCTCTATGGCCTTAATAAAGGGTTTGGTTTGAAATTCCAACATATATCACCTGAAGAAACAGCTGAAATGTTGTGAATATGGGCAATAAAGATGAGGACAACAGTCCAAATAATGTAAATAAATTCCACTCTGGATTGTTAGTGTCATAAAATCCAGAAAGTCTTTTTTCACTTTAATTTTCTTACTGGTATCTGCTGATGACTTTGTGCTAAATTGTATCAGAACACGATAATCTACATGGCATTATTTATGACTTTAACATTTTCCACTCATGGCAACTGAATTTCCTACTTTCTAACTCCTTTGTCTTTTGAACCTGAAAGTTTTCAGACTTTTTTTTTTTCATTGAAATTTTTAATAAATATTTTTAAATAGCTCAAGTTAGTTTGTTTTTAAATATTTTCCAGAATTCACCTGAACCAATCAATATTATGCAGGAATTCTGGGAAAATGTTACTAACATTTTAACAGAAGAATTTTCAACAGCTGCAAATGGTATAGTAACAAAAATTTATGATTTTCTTTTTCTTGGCTAAATTAATGCCTATGTTGTAAATATCCCTAATGTTCTAAATATCTCTAATGGTAGCACTGACAGAATAATTTTGAAGTATTTACAATAGAATTTATTTGGTAATTTTATTTTGTCACATTTACTTTAATATTAAAGATAACAAATAGAAATTTATTCTGATAATAGCGTATATTAAAGGTGGCCAAACTTAACCTAGAAACTAATTACAATAAACTTCAGTTGTTTCAAGAGCTACAAAATGAACAAACTTTTTATATCTTTTCTTATTACAGACACATTTTGTTATAAAGCATTTTATATAAATTGTAAAATTTATAATGTTTGCCAACACATGATGAGCCAGCATGATAGGAAAGGTTCATATATCGTACCCTTAAACACACTTAGGGAAGGTGTGTATCCAAATTGAAAGGCTTTTGTATTTCGGCAGAACAAAAGGAGATTGACAAAAATAAAAAGTGGAGGCAACTATGAGTCATTTTTATTGCTAACTGTTTCATAATTCCCCACTTTTATTTATAAGCGTCTTACATTTTAAATTTTTAATAAAGTCTTGTATAGCTTTAAACAACTCTCTTTTTGTTTTGTTTTTACTTACTTTGAATGGAAATTAATACTTTTAGTTTAAGAAATCAAATATCCAAATAGTTTTGCTATTTTAACAAAATCTGGATCAGTAAGAACAGAAAATATATGAATAAAAACTATCCAAAATTTACCGAAGGTAAGGAGAAATTCTGCATTTTCAATTCTTTTTCTTTTCTCTTATGTCTTTTATTCCAGAATCTTCATTTTTGAAGCAAGCCTTTGAAGGTGAATATCCAAAACTCTTACGCCTCTACAATGATTTATGGAAACGTCTTCGTCAGTTTAATGTCACAAGCAATACAACTGCTACTGTCAGCCTTACAGATTTAGTCATGGCAGACTCTACAGAAGAAGATTTCTTCAGTCAAAAAACTTCTAATAAAACTGGTTATGAGTAAGTAAGAATTATTGTCTAACTCAAGAATACCAGATGATTTTCAATATCCTGGATTGTCCACTGATTCAGAGTGTGTTCTTGATTCTCTGCAATTCTTTGACTAAAACCAGTGTTTTCAACATACTTCTAATATTCTTTCACTTGTGAGATATACATACATACATATATATATATATATATATATATATATATATATATATATATATATATATATATATATATATATATATAATGTATTTAGGCAGCAATCCTTCATTTATGTATGTTTCATTAAAAACGACAGACAAAGTACTATGGTTAAGCTTTTTATTTAATTTTTTTTTTTTTTGTGTTTGCACAAGAGCTTTCTTTCTTTTTTTTTTCTGTAGAACATTTGGACAGTTTCTACAGACTCTGTTTCCAAAAAGAAAGTTCTTGTGCGAACACAAGAAAATTTAAATAAAAAGCTTAATAATAGTACCTTGTCTGTCATTTTTAATGAAACATATATATTATGATTTTTTATCATTATTTTTTACCATGGTTTTCTTTTTATCATTAATTTTTTTCTTTAATTCCTTTATCATCCTTTTACTTTATTTTTTATTATTCTTTTAATTATTTATTGTGTTATTTTTTTAATTATTATTAGATTTTACTGTTTTACACACAGATATATCTAAAAAAAATCTTTTTTAAATCTTCATAGATTTTTATATTTTTATGCTATTATTTTTTCTTTATATAAAGTATCTAATTAAGATTTATTGATCTTGTATTATTTGCTAGCAGATTTTTGGTAATTTTTTTTAAAATGGAGAAAATATATTTTTTGTTTTATAACTAATAATTTATTATTAAACATTTTAAAAAGAAAATAATAAATTATTAGTTATAAAACAAAAAAATTCTGTGTCAAAAGGATAGTTTTTCTGTTGATGCCACTATTATTTTAACTATCTTCACTCCTTGGCAATGTTTGTTTTGAAAAGCGTGAAAACTATTAGGGTTAAATAAGGCAATGTTTTCTTCTATTTTTAGCATTTTGGATTGATTCTTTGTCTAAAAATTATCAGCATCAGATTTCTGTTGGCTTCTATAAATGTATTAAAAAAAAAAATTATTTAAATACAGAGTCTGCTAAAAAAATCTATACACACACATCAGGAAAGGAAAGCACTTATATAGATATTGGAATACTAAATTTATTCAGACATCACAAAATTAATACAAGTTAACTTTGGTCTCTACAATCACAAGAGATGCTCAAAATGGTGGCCTTTAGCTTCCAGACATTTATTAATACAGTGAACTAATATTTGGGCAATGTTGGCTAAAATGTCCAGTGGGACGCTGCATATACATTTTCAATGTCTTGTCTAAGGGCCACCAATGTAGTCTGTTTTTTGTGATGTGCAACACTCTTAAGGACTTGTTCATGCTTCAGCCATGAGAGCAATGCCATCTATTGAGAAAATAATACAGTAAAGAGTGTTATTGCAATTTGATAAAACTACAAAAGACAAGCATTTCTTTTCTTGAAGTGTGTATAAATTTTGAAAAAAGAAATTTGTTTTGATCCTGATTTGAACTGTTTTCATTTTTTTCCTTATTTCAGCTCTGAGAAGGCTCTAAGGGACACCCTGGCAGGTTTTGAGACAGCTTATCTTTCTCGTTCACTGTCTCGCCTGTTTGACCCTATTAATCTTGTGTTTACCAGTGGATCCCTGAACCCTCCAACCAGTGAAGAAGTTGATAGTATTGTCAAGACTATTTCCAGGTGAGAAATACCTTTTTATTGTAACAATATGAGTGAAGACAAAATAAAAATTCTTATCTTCAGCCATGTTTTTAATTTCTGTCTGAAATTCCGGAATGAAGAGTTATCATTATTTACACTGTTTGCATTCGGATTACTGTCCTTGTCTTTGTTGTTGTTGTTGTTATCACAATGTTTCAGTTGTGCCCTCCAGCCTTCATCAGGTGCATATCCATCTGGTAACCTACAGGGAATTATGTACTGAACACTTTATTTAATCTACAGAGCTAGACTGTTCTCATGCCAATGTTCATGTCTAGGGATATGTTGTCTAATTCTTATTTTTGTACTGCTCAGTTATAGCTTGCCCATTTCACCAGAGAGAATTGTCCTATGGAACAACAATAGCCTAGTGGATTAAAGCATTGGTTTGTGAATTTGGTGACATCATCATTGTTCAGTCCATGGATAGTGTGTACTTGGACTTAGTGGAAATGGATGAGCAATAACTAAGTAGTACAAAAAATAAGAATTAGACCAGACATGACATCCCTAGACATGGACAGTGGAACAAGAACAGTCTACTCCCGTTTATTAAATACAAGTTTCAGCTCAGAATTACCTGTAGGTTAACTGGATCAACATACCCCTGCTGAACAATGATGAGGACATGTTTTTAATGTTTGTTTAGCTATATAAAAATACATAATAGATATAAAAATAATGTTAACTTCTGTTTGCCTTAAAATTCTCATCTCTCTTTTTTTCTCAACCAGTTTTCTGATTATTTTCTCATCATTTAAAATAAAGCTTTTAATAAAACAATAAACTGGAACTTTTTCTGAGATATGTTCATGACCTATTAAAAGGTGCATTTTTTACTAATGTCTTCATATACTTGATACACATTGTTTTGGTCAATTCATTCTTCAATTTTTTTCATCATCATCACTCCTGACTGTGGTCACTGCACAGCTGGACACCTAACCAGTCCCCTCTACGTATCTAGGTTGATAACTGGATAGGTATTCATTCATACATAGTATGTCTTGGAGAAATGGACCTGACAGAGCCCATCTCTCTCCAAGTCAAACTACAACTTCCAACTTGAAAGCTCACTTTAGTGATGGACACATGGATGTTAATTCCATTCGGTGGGGGGTAACCTTTGCACTGTCCATTGACTTTAGTGATGCTGTGTCTTCACTACATTTGTTGCCTATGGAGCCCATTGTGCTAAATGGCTGTTGACTCTACAGGAAGGTTCATCTGTTCATTGACAGGTCTTTCTAGGTGTCTAATCACACTCCTCACCAGAAAAGTGTAGTCGCTGGTGACTGGACCATGCAACAGTTAGTAATGGGTGGCAGGCTACAAGTAACATAAGCAGAGTGACTTGACATAACGTTTTTGCATATATTCCAAAATACAGAAGGTAGGAAACTGCTCTTTTTTGATTTTTTTTTCTTTGCTTTTTTCCCCACCTTGCCCACCAAAAATAATAGTCACTAGTATACCAGCCAAACTAATCTATTTCAGCATACCATTATCAAAGTGTTCCCAACATATACTTTATTAAGCTTAGAAAATATATAATGTTGAAATGTGCCCTAGATTAAATTTTGCCCTTGATAGATTTTCCTCTTTTCTCATGGTGTGTGTATATATATATATATATATATATATATATATATATAAATTATTAAATAAAAGATCCAAGCTCATCTCAAAATGCAGACATCAAAACAAATTTTTACTACGTTACTTAAAAATTGAAAACGGAAAAAAATAAAATAAAAATAAATAAATAAACAAAATGACAATAAAATAAGCAAAATAAATTAACCCAAACAAATTACCAAATCACACCTGTTAGAATAGACTAAATAGAATAAAAAATAAGAAAAAAAAATCAATGAACCCAAATAAATAAAGTAAATAATAAACAAATTAGCAAACCATTATGACCAAAATATTAGTTAGACTATAAAAATCAAACCAAAAATCGGATGAAAAAATAGCTATAACTGTTATATATTGATAAAAAAAAAATACTATGTCACTTAACAAATAAATAATAATAAATAAAATAAATTGACCTAAATTCATCCAAATGAATAAATAAACTAACAAACTGATCCTGATAAACTAACCGTTAGAAAAAACAAATAAAGATAATCAATCCAAATAAATACATGAAGTAATAAACAAATTAAAAACTGTTCCCGCCAAAATAATAGAATAAACTACAACAATCAACCCCAAAATTGAATAAATAGCTTTAATTATGTTCCCAAACCAAAACAAAACTATAAAATAAGCGATATAAACAAATTTTTACTACGTTAGTAAAAACACCAATTAAAATAAAAAATAAATAAAAACAAGCAAAATAATTTAACCCAAATAAATAAATAAACAAATAAATGACTTCCAGTAAAATAACTGGCAAAATAGACTACCCACAATGCACCACTGATCCGTATATATATATAAATTGCCAAGAAAAATAACAGCACTTGTGGCCTGATGATTGCATCTAGCATGAAACAGACTGTCGCCTCTAAGTGTTGACTTCTATGTTCACTTTTATATTTATTTATATATATATATATATATATATATATATATATATATATATATATATATATATATATGAAGTATTTGAAATGTTAATGACTCTTCTTCAAGTTATAGACGATGATGTCTTTGTATAATCATAGTAAATAGGTTTGCCTATCACACAGTTCACACTCCTTCCACATCTATTGAACAGGAGTAGAGGTTTATCCCTTAGTTCTTGTTTAGGATTGGGTTTCCAGTTCCTTCTAAAGTCTTCTCATTCTCTTTCTCTCCCTTGCATCTTAGTGGCATTATCAGTTTGCTTGGAGTGAAATGATTAAAAAATATATCTGCCAATTCTCATGTGTAAAAGTCACCTTGTTTTGTAAGTAAATAATTTTTTTTAAAAATTTAGATATCATGTTTTACAAAAGATCAATAAAAGCAATATGGCATATCATAACCATCATGGTTGCCATAAATTAAAGGCACGAAATGTTATTATTTAATTATTTTATGAGAGGATTATGTTCTTAGAAAAGGAACTAAATAATATATTTATATGTTGTTGTGGTTAACAATTTTCTTATCAGTATCGAAACCAGCTTGTTAATAATTACCTTATAATGAGTAAATGGATTGTTATGGACAGAGAAACAAAAAAAAAGTAACTTATTTAAATATATCTTTAATTCCTTGTCATAAAAGAAAAAAAACAACCAATCCTTAACATCCACCACAAACATGGCTATAATCAAGAATTAAAAATGTCTACTTCTCAGCAACTTACACGCCATTTATACTAGCAAAACAAAAATCCTTAAAATGACTTAATAAATTAGTCGAAAGCAACTGAAAAGAACAATCATTTTAAACAATTTCTACACACTAAATCAAGAAAAAAGTATCTCTAGTTGATGTTCAAGAAAAATATAATAAAAAAATTAACAGATGTATTTTGTCAGTCATTTTTAGTGAAACATGTATTATAGAGGGATTGCTGCCCAAATACATAACTATTAAATATATTTTTATTTGTTTCCATGTTCACAATACCAAGGCCGAAACTGATTGTTTATCACATATTTTTTCAATCTGTAAAGTTGTAATTGGTTTTATAAGTTTAATGAAAGACAAACTTTAATAAAAAAGGTTTGAATATAAATTTTGGGTTCAACTTTTACACACATAATTAATCTGGTTAATTTGCATTGTAACACCTGCACTCAGTTTACATCAAAAATTTCCAGAATATTTACATTTATGTGTAATTGTACATGCTCCATTCAAATCTGGCTTGATAAATTTGATAAAATCTACTGTTTTGGCATTATCGACAGTGAAATTTGGCATTCAATCGTGTCTTTGGCGGCCGCCATTACTCGCGTTGTTTGCATACATTCGCTGCTGAAAGCTAAATGTGTAAGACTATGGAAAGTTAAGCTTGAAACTGATCTTTCTTGTCTAAATTTGTGACAATTACTGCACACGAGAACTATTTATGGAGAGACGCTCAGTTTGCGCAGTGATACCTATACTGATAGCTATTCTGCAGTGAATGTATACAAACAACACCTGTAATAGCTGCCCACGACACTGTCGATAACTCCAAAAGAGTAGATTTTATCAAGTCAGATTCGAATGGAGCATGTACAGTTACACATAAATGTAAGAATTCTGGAAATTTTTAATGCGAACTGAGTGCGGGTGTTACAATGCAAATTAACCATTAAACTATTTAAATTTTCTTTATGTAAATAAACTTAATTTTTCTATCATGTCTCTTACTTGATATAAAGGATGAGTATTTTTAAATAGTAGACTTTTTTTTTTCTTTTACAGTGAACTGAATGTGGCAAGTGTGGATTCCAAATTAAGTGTCACTGTTGCTAGAAACGTCAGCAAAACCATCAAACTATTCTGTGTGAAGAGTGAACAGCTTGTAAGTTGAGTATTTCTCTCTCTCTCATATATATATATATATATACTCACACACACTTATGTATGTGAATGAATGTGTGGGTGTGTGAGTGTTGTAAGGGATAGCGATTCAGAATGAGAAATTGGAGAGTTAAGTTTGAATTCCAGTTGGATTCATTACATTCACTTACATGCAAATACCTTTTGCATTCATCTGTTCTACCTCCAGCTATGGGTTAAATAGTAGGGCAGACTGAACTCTTTAACTGTGGTTGGCAACCAGTTTAGGAGAAGGGCAACTCTGAATAAAAAAAAAAAATCATGAGGCCCTGAGCCATTGTCATGAAAGCTAAAGATCATAGATTAAACCTGTTAACAATGGTCATAATTGTCTTCTGAGTTATCAACTGTCATGTCTGTCTGTATGCCTCTCTCTTTCTCTCTAATACAGCCATGAAATCTTGCTGATTATTCCACATTATTTGTCTATTTTCTTCAACCATTCTAAAAACATTCTGATGTTTGGTTATTGAAATACAAATTTTGGGAATAATAATATTTTTATAATTTATTTTAGATTTACTCATTTGTGTTGATATTTACAACTTATATACTTTTAATATTTTTACTACATACATTTTATATATGTACTAGTTTACCTATGCAATTATAAATGAAAACATTTGTTTGGCTGCTAATATTATCAGGTTTTCTGATGTAAATATGAAGGAGTGCTGAAAAATTCTCGGCCTGGCTTATTTCTCAAAATCTGACCGGACAAGAGATTTTTTTTTTTTTTTTTTTTTTTTTTGAAGGGCTTCATGATTTTCACATTGCCCTCTCCAGGTCTTAGCTGAACATGCTTATTAACCCTTGATTAGTTCTGCCAATATATTCAGCTGACATTTGTAATTATAAATCACTGAACATGATGGAGGCCGGGGGTGCAGGTGTAAAAATTGTCCATTGCCTTAAACAAGTATTTGTTTATCGATTAAGTCTTCAATCATTTGAAGTTAATTGAAAAACATTATTTTGACATGTTTATTGAGTAAATTGTTTATTCCTGTTCATTTACATTGTCACGTGTGCAATAAAAGAAATAAGATAAAGAGAAGTAAAGAGAATGACAGAAGACCAACTAAGTTTTTTATAGTAAACAAAAAAAGATTTTATTTTAATTTTAGTGATTTGGTCAGTGACTAAACAGGAAAAAAACATAAAGGCTTACCGGCAAGAAGTTAAAAATACTTCAGAATAACTTCACTCGGAAGTTGCTGGTTTCTTTTAGCATGCAGTCTGTGAACGGTAGAAAACTAATCGCTCTGAAACTGATTTTTACAACTGACTTTGACAGCCAACTCACTTAATTTTGGTACCAACCAATGAAAGCCCAGATGAAAATCTTCACTGTCAGGTCATCCAACCACATCAAAGAGTATAAAGTCCTTGGTCTAAATGACTCAGAATTCAGAAAAATTTCATTCATAAAAATAGATTCTTTTAACAATATTGGCACCATATGATGAAGTAATGGTTTATGAGTTAGTTTAGTAGAAAGCTTTATTACTGGATAGTAAGTTTGATCCTCATCAAGGCTCCAAGCTCATGACCTTGTGCCAGACCAAGCTAAGCTTACCTATATATTTAACCTGCACTGATTCAAGATTTTCATAAGTTTTTTTCTCCTATAATTCTAGTTGTCCACTGATGGTGAAGCCAGTCAGGTCATAAGACCAGCTACTGCAGGACAGACACGCAATGCAGCTATTGTGAATACTTTATACCAATTCCATGTGGCTGTCTCCAAGGTAACAATGTGTCAATTTTGATTTCAGTCATCTTATTGACCAACACTAATGTTCTTGTTATTTTGAATTTTACTGACTCTGAAACTATTTGCCTGGTTGTCAAATGTTGCATTTAGAATCATTATTAATTTGGTGATGTTTAATTGTACATTTTAATATAAAGATGGAAAAATATGAACATAAGTAAACAAAAAATAATAATCACAATAATCACAATTTACTTCATTTTAATCTACAATCAACATTTTTAATGATTTCTTTTTTTTAATTCAGTGTGATGTACTTTCTATCTCAATTAAACTGTCCAATAAAGTTATTCAATTATTTCAATAATGAAAATTATTTCTAATAAGATTATACTAAGTCTACACAAAAAGTTAATTTTTAAAAAAATACTCTTTGAATGCTACAAACAAAAGTTTATTTTCATAAGAACAAACTTTAATGTTTTCATGAATATCTGTTGCTTCTTTTGATCCATCAATTATTTCCTGACTGGAAGATACAGTTCTTCAATAAACTATGACAATGAAAACAATATAAATATTTGCTTTATTTTAGAATGAATTCACAGTATAAACAAAACATTCCATAAAATGTATAATGTTTAAAAATGATCAAAAGTCATCAGAACATTTGATTTATATATAAAATTAAAAATAATTATTCTAACACACATTTTTATATTTGGTATTTCAGTAAATAAAAATGGCTGTTCATTAGTAGGCTTCTGATATAATGGTAGTGCCTTGTTTCGTCAAAATTAAGTCCTTTGGAGGTGATACATTGAGTGACCACTCCAAAGTGCAGGCCAGGGCAATAGTATATGAAAGCCATGTGCTGCCCTGACCACATGCACCCCACTTCACTGTACTAACAAGATCCCAAAAAGTGGAGTAGACACCGAGGTCAACACTGAATGGTGATAGTCATGCTTGAACGCAATCTTTAGAGGCCATAAATATTTCATTCAAGCATGAAACAGACTGTCACTGCTCTATGTTGACTTGAGTGCCCACTTTTATATTTGCTGGCATCAAGGACACAGTTTCTTTCCTCAAATAAGTCTTGAAAATTTGCTGTGTGTCCTTGAAGATGAAGGTTAGGGTTTTTGTAGGCCTTAGCATTTACAAATTTACTAAGATAATCATCATTTTACAGTAACAACACAACTTAGTATTTTTCCATTGGAATCTGAAGATTCCTTCAAGTTAATCAAATTTACAAAACTATTCATGGCCTTTTTTTCTTTCTTCTTTTTTTTTTTTAGGTCATTTCTGGGCTAACCTTCTTCCCTGCAGAAGCCCTTGAGAGAATAAATGAATCTTTACAGGTTTGTGATTTTTCTTTTCTTTTTGTCTTCAGATTGTATTTCATAATTCATCCATAAATAAATCATAAAAATTTAGGATTTGATATTCATTCCTTACTAGCATAATATTCTTTAAAAAATGATGGGATTATTTACATATGATTCCATACTTCTAGCTGGAATACAATCTGCCTATGATTATGAACCCTTGCTCACCTTCATGTGAGGGTGGTGTAATAGAGGCTCAGAATGAGAAATTGGGGAGCTGAGTTTGAATTCTAACTGAGTTTGTTACATTCACTTATAGACACTTATACCCTTGTGAAGAATATGAAGCCATCTCCTCTCCCAGTTATGGGTTAAATAGTAGAACTTGTATGTAGAAAAATCATTATTCTCAAAATTGTTAATGCTACATTCACTCAAAAATAAAAGAATTATTCTTACAGTCCAAAATATGTTACAGCTTTAAATAAAAGGTTGATAAGCCATAAAAAATAAATTGGTCAATCAATCCTGGAGAATTCACAGATTCCAGCAAAAAACATTAAATACTGCACCTGAATTCCCCTATGATGTTTGATTTTTATTTTTGTTGTACAAAAGATGGCTTTAGAATATTTCACAAAATGTTACACTGCAGATGAGTTTCGAATCCTTCAAAATTTGGTTTTCTTGTGAATTTACAGATTATTTCTTAATGATTTTTGTTTCTTCTTCTTTTGCAGGAAATTGTTCTGTTAATGAGTGCTGGAATCGAACCTTTGCTTTCTTCTATTTCTGATGCCTTGGAAGCCATCATACTTACAATGCACCAAGAAGATTTCTCTATGTAAATATCACCTCCTACTACTTCTGCTTTATTCAACTCTCACTAACTCTCTTTCTTACTCCCACTACTTCTGCTTTATTTGAGTCTCACTTGCTTTCTTTTTTTACTCCCACTATCTCTGCTTTATTTGACTCTTGCTCCCTTTCTTTACTCCCTACTACCTCAGCTTTATTCAACTCTCACTCACTCTCTTTTTTACTCCCACTACCTCTGCTTTATTTGACTCTCACTCACTCTCTTTTTTACGGTTTTTGATTTTCTCATCCTTCAACAAAATTTAAAATAGTCTCATTTTTCAGATTTATTTATTTATTCCTAAACCAATTTCTTGTTTCCATTTGTGTGTGTGTATATATATATATATATATATATGACCTCAGATTTGGAGTCCAGGCTAACTCACAGCCTCATCACATTGAAACACCAGTTTGCATATGATCACTGAAGTTAAGCAACATCAAGCCTGGTCAGATAGGTGACTACTTGGATGTGTGGGTGGTGTAATGTATAATGGCTCAGAATTGTTAATTGGAGAGCCAAGTTCCAATTGCAGTTGGGTTCATTAAATTCACTTACATACCTTGGGAAAGGTATGAATCCACCTCTTCTCCCCCCAATTGTGGGTTAATTATTAAGATTTGTATCACTAAACCATTATTATCTAAAAAAAAAAAAAAAATTCTTACAAACTAAAAATACTTTCTGGTTTTAAATAACTTCAAAGGGTTGATAAACCATAGAAAATGAATTAATCACTCAAGAGTCCAGGCTATGATCACTTGTAGCCCATCATGTTGTTTTATTTCTATTTAAACAAGCCTCACTTTTATCTCCTAGGCTGCTTCATTATTATAGCCTTGTACCAGAATAGGCTAAACGTAAGAAATATCTACTGCATAACTAGTGATAAAGATATTAGATGCAGAAAAAGAAATTTAGAATCACAACTTTTCGTTTTGGCAAAGGCTCCAAACATCAATAAAAACTCCTTTTTTTCTTTAACCACTTTCTTTTTGAGTTCTCTTTAATTTCTATGAATAGAATTTTACAAAAGGGTACGATTTATTAAGTTGATGAAAGTTTGTATTCATATTTCCAGTAATTTTTGTCTCCTGTCAGAATTTGTTATGAATTCATGCAGATACTTTATCAGGTTTATTTGTTTTGGTTCCTTCAACAGTTTGCCACTAAAAACACAAAAATTCTATGTCCTAGAATATAAAAGAAAATGCTTGACTAAAGCATTAATTCAAAGTTACAAGCAGTCCAGATGATAAGCTTTTAAAAATGTTGTAGAATGAAAATACTATAAAGTTTTGGTCTAAAGTTGACCAAGCATATAGATTTTTCTTTCCTTTGCCATGCATTATATAAGTCAATTTCCATCCACTCTCCAATCATCATATCAAACAACTATAGCAATTGGTTCAACATTCACTATACATCACTTATTATAATCAAGTTCATACGAAATTTAACCAACACAATATTTATAATAAAATGATGAAAATCAACAACTCAACATTTCCTTCATTTAAACATATAAGCATACTTTTCAATAGCATTCATTGTAAATACAGTTTAAAGCCAATGGTTTACACATGTCATGAGAATAGAATACAACCAGTATTTTTTCACTGTTCCTTCACTCCCTTTACTTCCTCTTTAATCTTATTTAAAATAAAAACCTTGATCAATTGTTTACAGTTGGAAATAATGGGTGATGTAATTGTATTTGTTTATTTATATTGAATTTTCTATTATATAAAATACTTGTGACTAAACTGCAATTATTGTAGATGGTCTTCAGTATGTTTAAAAAAGGTGGTTCCTTTTTAAATTTTTGTTCAGGGATTTCATTATATACTCAATATTTTGAAGAGATTTTTTTTAACTTGCTTAAAAATGTCAAATTTGTGCTATAATTTGTATTGGAATTTATAGTACTTAACTTTGGATGTTTTTCTTTTACTAATTCTCTTATAAAATTAAAAAGAGTTTAAAATTTGTATAAGTTCCAAATGAAAATTGATTAGTCATATTTTTAATTGTATATAATAATCTGAAAATGTCTGTACATATCTCTCTCTCTCTCTCTCTCTATATATATATATATATATATATATATATATATATATATATATATATATATATATATAATGTTCTTAAATTTAAAAATTTTGAAAAACTAACTACATGTTCACTTTTTGTTTATAAATACTTGTTGCAAAATAAAATCATTACATTTGCCTTGATAAAGTCCATCAGAGGACAGAACATGTCTAAGATAAGTTTTCCTTTTGTCTTAATTCACACACATGAACACACATATATATAGGAGGCATGGTGGTGTAATGGATAGCAGCTCGGATTGAGGAAATGGAGAGCTGAGTTTGAATTCCAGTCAAATCTGTTACTTTCACTTATGTGCTAATAATCTTGGGAAAGGTATGAATCCTTCACCCACCCAGTTATGGGTAAATAGCAAGACAGACTGGGTTCCATAGCCTTGGATGGCAACTGGTCTAGGAGAAGGACCACTCTGAATTCAAAACCTGCGGAGGGTTGTTTTGGGGACCTTGTGGCTCACAGTGCACCAGGTCTCTGTATTTGGCTCTTCAAAAGTGTGGTTGGTTCTGCACAAAACCTTCACCACTATAATCAAATGTGCTGGTGTCTGGCTGTCAGTTTCTAGGAACGAGTGGCCTGACCCTCATACATTGTAAAAGAGTCCCTGGTAGGCACTAGTCAACAGCCTGCATTGATCAATGACAGGAGAGTCCACGATATATATATAAATTGAAATGGATTGAGCCTGACAATTATTTAATATATTTTCTGTTTATACGTTATTTTTATGGATACAATTTATTTAAGTAAATGCTCCTTTTTTTAACTAAACAGTGTAAGATTTACTAACCTGAATGTTCGAAAAATTTCATAGAAAATATGTGTTCTCCGACAGGAATTGAACCTGTATTCCTGTATGGAAGCCACCATTTGATCTGACATGCTGTACCATTTAGTGACAGAGAAGCATCTGGTTAGCAAAGTCCAAATTACTGTTTTTAAACACACAATCTTTGACAATTTTTTTCAATCGATTATATCTGCTGACAAAATGTATCTTAACATAAATTTTAATTAAAAACAGAGTATTTACTTAAATAAATTGTATCTATAAAAATAACGTATAAACAGAAAATATATTAAATAATTGTCGGACTTAATCCATTTCATTATAGGTTGTCATTGTTTACGTTAAGATACATTTTGTGAGCAGATATGATTGATCAAGAAAAATTGTAGAAAATTGTGTGTTTAAAAACAGTAATTTGGGCTTTGCTAACCAGACACTTCTCTGTAGCTAAATTGTATAGCATGTCAGATCAAATAACGCTTTCTGTATAGGAATACAATTTTGATTCCTGTCAGAGAACACATATTTTCTACAAAATTTCTTGAATATTCAGGCTGGTAAATGTAATTAATACTGTTTAATTAAAAGACAGAGCATTTACTTAAATAAATTGTATCCATAAAATTAACATATAAACAGAAAATATATTAACACACATGCACACACTTATAGTAACTGATTTTTGAGTTTGAATCATTTTTAATTCGAAACTCTTTTTACCTCTTTGCAGCCCAGCTCCTGCCAACAACCAAACAGATGTCCCTTGCTCTTTGTATATGAAGGAACTGCAAAGTTTTATTGCTCGCCTTCGCACAGACTACTTTTCCCAATATACCTGCACAGAATTCATCTATGACAGGTGAGTAAAACAACAATTATTAAAGATTTGGGAGAAACTATTTCATTTTCTTGCTACTTTGTCTGTGAGTTTAATGTTCCTACAGAGAAACACTGTGTGGAGTAATTGGTCATGGTCAAGAAACAACAAAGTTTCCAATAAACTACAAGAAAAGGAAGAAAAAGAAAAGGGTCAAAATAATACTAAAGAAAACAATGTATATATGTAAGGCAAAACAATAGTAGTAAAGCAAAAAGTTCATAAAGTAGGAATTGTGTTCACATGCAAAATAGAAACAGTCAAGTGATTGTAGCGTTCTGACTTCAAGATAAAAAAGAACAAAAATATGGCAGATGAGACTAAGAAGTGACCCATTTTTATTGGTTAAGAAGAAATCCCAGCCTGCATCTGTATGATTTGTCTATAAATTTAGGGAGGGGATGCTTTTAGCAATCATACTCACTGTGATTGGAATCCAAGCACTCTATAGAAACCAAGTATGGAAGCCATGCACTTAATTTTAGAACAGTTCATTAAAACAGAAGTAAATTTACGTTTACTTGACAAGATGTGAAACAAAAAATCATTATTATTATGTATTGAAATACTTTATTAGAAAATTTAAATTAAATATGGCATCTACAGAAGTACAGTAGTGAAAATAACTGTTTTGTAAGGATGATTGAAAAGATCACATATGTCACAGAATAAAAGAATAAACGATAGCACATGTCATAGAATGAAAGAATAAAATCAATTTTAATGTGACTTTTTCATTTTTTCTCTGATATTTTTCATTCTTACAGCATCAATTTGATTTGTTCTCGATGCATTGAACTGTTTGTGCGTCATGCTTGTTTGCTACGTCCCTTGGGAGAAGGTGGTAAGTTGCGCCTGGCCTCAGACTTTGCTCAAATGGAACAAGCTTTGTCTCCACTCTGCAGGAGAGTGTCAGATCTAGGAAAATCCTATAGACTTTTAAGAGCATTTAGGTGAGTACAGATGATGTTTTGACAAAATCAAGATTCACTCTCCTCCCAAACAAACTTGACCATTTAATAAATACTGCTTTTTGTACAAATAAAAAGCAATAACATTTCTTACATTTTTATATCACATGATCAAAAACCAGACAGATCATGAGCTGATCTATTTTTTTTATTGTTGCTGGATTTGAAGTCAATTTTAGTATACACTTAACTAAATTCTAATTATTACTTAAAAAATGGTGTTTTATTTCAGCTTCAGCTTTTCCTTCACTTAAACTACTTGGCTTGATATTGGCACATTTCATTGCTAATTCCATTTTCGATAATCAGACAAGAAAATCTTTCACAGGAAGCTGCCATTTTGAAAAGCATTAACTTCATAAGACTAATCTGATTGGTTGATTATTTTGTGTCCTTTTTTTTTCTAATGCACTTTATTTATTGCTGGTAGTTGGCAAGAGAATCAAATTCGATATTCACATACTTAGGTTAAAAGGATCTTCAAATGCGATAAAGTTTATCTTTACCAAATATGACAAGTAAATGTGATGCAGTCTCTTCTCAACCACACATTTTTAAACATCACTTGAGTTTAAAGAATTATATCTCAAGAAAAAAAATGGAGCAATGTTTAACTTTTTGTATCCAAAAAAAAAAAACAAAAAAAAAAAAAGTGTATCAAAAATGATGGATCTTCTCTTGATGCTGCTATTAATTTAACTACCATCAATGTCCAGCAATATCTTCAAAATATGTGAACCAATTACAATGCAGTATTTCTTATTTATCATTTTATAAATAAATATCTATGTAAACAAGTTTTTTATTCATAATTTTATAAAAAATATCTATGAAGTATAGAACATGAAAATTTAAATAAACATGATTTTTCTAGACATAATACATTTCATTTCATATTATTTTATATCAAGTATTACTTTTTGTTTTAATTTTCCAATTCTTTTTTTTATAATTGTGATCTCAGACGCTTCATCAATAGAAATCCAAAGCCAGAAACTCCACCAATTTTAGGTTATTTCACTTCCTATTCATTTTTGAAAAACATAATTTTGAAAAAAAAATTTAAATCATTTCTAATTTTTCTAAAAATACCTAGAAAATCTGCCAATATCCATTTTTGTCAGCCAAATGCAGACTGATGAGGAAATTTTAAGTAAAGAGTGGACATTAAGCACTTTGATAAAGAAATTGTTGAAGCTGGCGAATTGCATTCTTTGGAATGGTTGGTAAAACAGGTGAATTGCTAATCAGTTTTTACTTTATAAAATGATAAATAATAAGGATTTCATTATAGTTGGCTTACATATTTTTATAATTTATGAAATTTTTATAAATTGATGAATAAAAAATATTTTCATATTTATTTCTTTATAAATTGGTAAATGATAAACATTGAATTGTATTAGTTTTTAGAATGTTGCAAATATAAAATTATTCTTGTAAATAAACATGCTAATAGATATATATTATTAGTGTTTATTATCTTTGCTGCAAATTCTCAAGAACAATGAAAATGTATAAATTCAATTTCATGTATTTAGGTTTTATTAAAATTCTAATCATTGCTTTTTAAAACGATGAACATTGCCGAGGAGTGAAGGTAGTTAAAATAATAGTGGCGTCAAGGGAAAAACCATCCTTTTGTCACACTGTTCTGTTTTTGCAGGCATGAGATTCAGTGCTTGCTTATTCTTGTTTTGACTTAGCCTATTATTATAAATTGTAGACTGCAAATTACTAATTGTATTGCATAGCAAGTCTACCATTTAGTTGTTATATTTATTGTTTTCAGCACATCAGCTTTGGTTTTACTTGTACTGTATATTTTTTTATTATAAAGAAAATAACAAATTTTCTTTTTAATAATTATAAAAAAATTGGTTCAAGCATAAACCCAGTTTGAGTTGGGCAGGAAGGGTCTCTCCCATGATATAAGTTATCAGTATTCTTTCTTTTTAAGTCATAAATACACTTTATTATACTTGAAAACAAAACATAATAAAAAGTGAAAACTGTTCTGATTTGATATTTGGAAATTATGCAAAGTTTAATGAAGCCTGAGTTTTAATAGAAAATATTTGTGGAAATCTGCAGGCTTTGATAACTAGAAGAGAGAATCAGAAAATTTAGATTATTACTACATCAGCTGCTGACCCCTTTATTAAAACCAATTTTTCACTGGCCTCAATCATAGATGACTATGTAGATATCTAAAATCTCAGAGTGAATGCTCCAAAAATGTTGCAGCATATTAGTACACTGTCAGGTTTTATTATACAAGTCAATGTTTTCATAAAAAAAGTATAGAAAACCAACCACTGTTCATCAAATTTATAATACTTTTATATGAGCAAAGGTTGAGAGAATTTCAGCTGTTAATATCTTGTTTTGGTGGGCATCACATTTTCTGATACAAATAAACTAAATGTAACATAAAATATTTATTTATAAATAAATTCATTTATAATTTTACATGTTAATATGAGTGCCTTGACATTCTATAAGTTTCATCAGTCTTTCAAACATTGACTTTGTTAACTTTTTTTTCACTCTTTTGACTCTAATAGTCTTTTTCTTTGCTTGAATATTGTTTCCTATTCTCATATATATTGCTTTTAATGACGGACAACAAATTTTCTTTTGGATTAATATCTGGTGAGATTGGGGACTCTTCCATTAATTTGGTTTCTTTGAAATTATTTTTTGGCAAAGTGGGACTCTTTACCTTAAAGCTTTTTTGGTTGGCATGGATTATATTAAAAAAAAAACATCCAAGAACTTACACTAATTCTCTGTGTATTTCTCTTGGACCATCCACAACTTTGAAGAAGCTTATATGTTTACTGCTAACAATACTAACTTCAAAACATTGCTCCACTCCCCCATTGACTTCTAAGTCGTGTTGGTTGATTATTTTCCTCAAAGATGCAAACCTCTTGGCTTTCCATCCAATGTAGCTCTATCTTCATCACTGGAAATAAAAATTCAAAATCAGTTGTAAAATTGATGTCTACTGGATGCACTACTATTATAGCCTTGTACCAAACTAGGCTCAGCTTAGTGAATTTATTTTTTCAATGCCATATTACTTCAGCTTATAGGCAATCTCTACAGATTGATTTTCTTTCTTATCTGTGAATTGCCATGATTTCTTGAGGGGAAAATTAATGGAATGGTTACCAGTTGTGCCTTCTATACAGTTTGGGAATTTAGATTTGTCTTTTTTTTAAGACTGACTGCCACCCAGGGCTAAAGTGCCCACTCTACCCTCGTATTCATCCTATAGGAGACACAGGGAAGAGATGACCTTTGTGTGAAAGTGAACGCAACAGCTGAAATTTGAACTTGATTTGCTCACTCTACTTTCTGCTTCAATAAATGTCATTTGCACATCGAAGCTTAGTAAATATCAGCTTTAATCCTTTTGCATTTACCTCCCCCACCATCCCGTTAATACTGGCTCTCAATGTTCAACCAATCCTAACTTTGACAGCTGATATTTATTGGATGAGTTTGAGTGTGTTGGATGCTAAAGGTTTTAAATGATCATTTTTTAAGTTCTACTCTAAAAATAGCACTTTTATTTATTTTTTTAATAACCTTATCAGAAAGTGGTTCTGAAATAATACAAAACACCCTGATATTTGTGAGGAAAGAGGTAGGTGCACCGAGAATAAAAGATGATGAGCAACAATAAAAAAAGCAAAAGACAGAAGATGGTGATTGATGTTGCATTTAAATCTTAAACAATATGATTGCAAGCTATTGTTAGTATGGTATTGATATGTGTGGCTTTATATGGCTAGAAATTTGGAGTTTCATGGTTACTCTAACCAACGGCATGAAATCAATGTTAAGAATTAATATCATTTTGTATTCATTTTTATCTTCTCAAATCAGACTTTTTATACATCTGACCAAAAACTGAACTGTTGAATTATTATCAATTTGCTATTTCTGCTTTTGTTGTTTAAATGTAAACTTTTCTTGATTATTGCAGGCCATTACTATTCCAGTCAAGTGAGCATATTGGTCGAAACCCTGCCCTGGGAGAAGTCATTCCTTATAGCTTTGTATTAAGCTTCCTTTTTTCTCGAGCACCAGCTGAACTGACATCTGCACATCAGGTCAGGTCTTTTCGGTTTCTGTCTATATTTTTATTATAAATGTTTGATCAAGTAATTAGTGCAAACTTAAAATTTGATTATCCAATAATTTTTTCCTGTCAACATATTAGTAATCAGAATTATTCATAATTTGTAGTTGCCAGTCACGTCACTATCCACAACTGTCTACTAGGAAAAAAAAATTTTCTGATCTCATTTTAATGACAAATGAAGTTGTATCAGGTTTGAGGAGGTGCAGAAAAATTCTCAGCTCAGCCAGTTCCAAAAACCTGTATTTTAATAACCAAACATCAGATATTTGTCTATATTTCTGAGATGAGGTATTGTAATTATTTACATTGTTTAAACAGTTGTCTTCATCTTTATATGCCATATTTACAATGTTTTGGCTGTTGTATGCTCTGGCCTTCTTTGGGATCTGTCTATATTTCTAAGATGAGCTGTTTTAACTATTTACACTCTTTACATTGTTCAAACTGTTGTCCTCATCTTCATTGCTATATTCACATATCAGCCATTGAATACTCCAGCCTACGTTAACTGATTGTAATTTCAAACTAAACCCTTTATTTCATCCACCAGAGTAGCTTGTTCTAGCTCAAATTTAAAGGGAGATAACTGATACTGAGACATCTGGAAGTGGCATGGCAAGTGGAACTAGCAATCTACCCTGGTTGATAAAACAAAGGGTTCAGTTTGAAATTCCAATCACCCGAAGACGGCTGGAGTGTACAACGGCCGAAACATTGTGAATATGTCAACAAAGATGAGAACATCAGCCTGAACAATGTAAATAGTCCAAACATTAGAATACTGATTTTTGGGAAGAGAATCAAGCTGAAAACTTTTAATACTAACATTTAACCAATGAGTCTTTCATTCATTTCACTCTTTGATGTCTCTTAGCCATTTTCTTTCATCTCTGCTTTTCTTCTGGACAACCATTCCATCCTAACATGAATCTCAGTTCCCTTGATTTTGAATTTCTCTTTCAGAAATCTTCTGTTAACTTTATAAACCGCTTTTGGCTTTATAGTTTTGACTTTGGTCCAATTGACAATCTAACATCAGTTTCAGTGTGTGATGGCACACATCAATTCTTATTTTGGTGGTCATCTATTTACAATATGAATTGTAACTCTCTTCAAACAACTTTTAAATGTGTACCAACTGGAAAGTTTAGGAAAATAATAAAGAAATAAAATAGATTGTTTGTCAATTGGTTTCACTCCTAATGAACATGTCAAATTGAGATGCAACTTATTTTTACCTACATCCTTATAAAACCTTGAGAAGAAAATATATCCAAGGTTTTGTAGAGCCCCTAAATAAGAAGATCAAGAGAATCAATGTGTATGAATGAATCGAACAAATACGTTGTGCTTACCTTCTGCCCATTGAATCTGAAGAGATTCTAATTTTAATTTATTTTTCATTCCAGAATGCTGAATGGTCAGTGTGTCGATATTCGCAGTGGCTCGACAATAAATCAGAAAAGTCTAAACTCTTATTTATCAAGTAAGTCAATTGGAAAAAAACATTTTTCTTTGCACTTTGACCTACAAATGAGTTTGTAGGTCAACTCAAATTTATTATTATTATTATCCACCTATTATAATTTTGCTTGTTCTTCTCTTCGTTACTTTGCACAACCGTTACACCCTGCCAATACCTCATAAATAATGAACTATTTTGTTTTTAATTACATGAAGACAGGGGGAATGACACTACTTGGTTTTAGTGCAAAAATGAATGAAGATCTTGGGAGAGATATTTGCGAAGTGTCGTCCAGCTTTTGAAGGTTGTCCTGATGTTATATGGACTGCAGATCCTTTGTATTTTCTCTGATAACCCCTTCACATAAGGCAGGCAGATTGTTTTCTGAGTGTTGTTGTCCTCCTCTTGTACCTGCCTATCCCAGTTTTTTTTGGCTGTTGCCATGTACCCAAGGTAGTTGTTATGTTGTACGTTACTACTTATACTGATTATTTCCACAAAGTGGGCAGAGTTTCGGACATATGAAGGAGACTTTCCGATCAATGGGTCAATTATATCTACAAGGAAGCAATTCAGAGGGTGGTACACAGATCCTTGGCAACTAACAATCAGCCTGAATGGAATACTGTCTTTGTGAATCTTAGGGAGACCATACATGTAAGGTAACTTGGTGTAACACTGCAATAACTGCCTATACATCTTAGGTGCAAAGCCATCCTTGTTCTTGATTAGTATCTGTGACAGTTTGCGTTCTGTTTTCATTGTAGAATCCTTTTTTTTCTTAAATCTTGAAAAATACACATATTTGAAATAACTCAAAATTTTGCTCTTAACTGCAAAACAATAAAAATTTGCGAATGTTATGTAAAAATCTAAAACCAAGTAATAAAATATTTATTTGTTATAATTGATGTCATGTCTCAAGCAGAACACTAATTATTTACAATTCTTTCTGGTTTCTTAGCAACAAAAACAAAAGTGAAGTGTATATCTTCATCAATTTAAAGAAAATCTTTCCTTTATTTTCAGTTTTTCTTTTTTAACCAAGCTACTTATAAAAATATTTTGAACCAAAAGATGGCCATTTCATGATTACTCATCTTATTCCCCATTTTAATAAAAAAAACCAAAAACCAAACTGTTATCTGCTTACCCCACCATTTTTAAAAATATTATTTAGTACTGATACTTTTTTTTCATATTACAGAGGTGCATTAGAGGCATATGTGCAGCAGGTGCGTTGTCGACAAGGAAAGGAATTTGCTCCCATCTATCCTGTCATGTTGGAATTGCTGCAGCAGGGACTACAACAACAACAACAGCAAGAATAATTTAGTTGTTGAATTTTTGTTGAGATTTGAAAATGACTTTTTCACTTGTTGAAAGTGCAAACAAATTTAGTAAAACCTACACATGGCAATAAATCTAAACACATTGGAAACCTTGAAGAAAAACATTTCTGAATTTGTCATGAATCTGTTCGTTAGCCACTAAATTCTATGGAAATGGTCTGTTGAAATTCTGAAAGTAGGCATGAACATCTTAAGCATGTCTTTAACTACTTTCAGTTATACATACTTAAAATGCTGGTAATGTATATACCTGTACTGTTTGAGTCAAAGTCGTGCACCAGGAAAATGATGTATTATTAGGTTAGGCACTTTTAGTTGGTAGCCATTGTTAAAATGATTCTGGTACATGATTTTTTTTGAACTCAGCCAAAATTTTATTGAAATCCCTTATAAAAGAGACAAATACTCCTGCCTTTCACATGTTGCAGAATTGATTCTATTCATGAAATGAGAAATATGACAACTTCATTTAAGTATTTGAACTCAACTGGAACCTCACACTTATGTCTAAGCACTGATGTTGCTTAAGACTTTTTACAAAAAATAAATAAAAGAATGAAAACGTCCAAAATGCCTGACACATCAATCTTCATATTTGAAAATAAAAAAGTAAAATGTGTATGAGGGAGGGGGGAGGTGCTAAAAAGTTCTCAACCCAACACATATCCCAAAATCTTACCAACTATCAAATGAGAACTTTTCAGCACCACCTTGTAGTATTTAATTATTTAATAAACAAACAAGAAAGTATATTTGTTTTGTCTATTAGTCGTCTTTGAAACAGAATCGGAAAAAAAATACAAGTATAGTTTTCTTTTTTTTTTTAAATGTACCTACACATTCTTCTATGATCAAATCAAATGTATGAATTATATTTTTCAGAGTAAATTCAATTTTTTATTTCCAAAAATAATAAACAAATGTCTGATTGCATTCTGTCAGTGCCCCATTGAATATGAATACCAATTTCACAGACACTCTGAAACAATATCACACTCAGTAACCCTTTGTGTTTTAGAGGTTTTATTGCCTTGCTTGGGGTGAAATGATTTTAAAAAATTCCAGTCATTTTCTCTTCTTTAAAATTAGTTTATACAATTAATTCTTCAAAAAAGAGTTAAGTTTGCCTCGTGGCTGAAGTAGGTGCAGGTTTCTCATCAGTACCTGTGATCTGTTTTAAGCTTGAATAAAAAGTTGGGAATTTAAAGACAGACATGTTCATCCCATGTAGAAGATCTGTTCTACACAATCTTCCTATTTTCCCTCCAACTAAGTTAAACTAATATCCAAAAGTAATTTTAAAATTTAAAAGTAAAGCATTTTGCAATATGACATTAGGCAGTATCTGACCAGTTAGTTTTGATGACTTGCTTATATCATGATAATGTAGTTTTTTTGTTTTTTTTTCATTAAATAAAATAAAAAGTTCAGTGAATGTGAATTATTTGGCAAAACCATCTCAGTGGATTTTATACACAGATTTCTTTCCCCTTTCTGCAAGGAAAACCTAAAACACAACATTGTTCTTTACCAGAAGAATTATTACAAAACAATGAGTAACTTGAAATATTAAACTCAAACTAACAAATGATTTTTACAGCCATTTAAATCAATTTTTGCATTCCTTTGGGTGATTGATAAAAGATATTTTATCATCTTATTTGGAACATATATTTTAATTTCTGTCTGAAATGTTTAAGATGTGGAATTATCATTACTTACAATCAGCCTAGTGTTCTCACCATTGTTGCTATGGCTACAGCAAAGATGAACACATTAGTCTAAATGTAAATAAAGATATTTTGATGTATCAGTATTTTCTGTGATAAGAAAGATGACACATTAAGTTAAAAAAAATTAACAAAAAACAAAGTTTAGTAAATAATAAGATTCTCTTTCCAGAAATTAAAAAAAATCATAATTGAATTCATGATGAAGTTTTTTAATTGATAGAATTGTTATTAAAAAGTTTTAGTGTTTTTTTTTTCCCCTCTGGTAAATCTGTGAAAACAGTAAACTTAGATGGAAATTGATTAAATTTTCAACAATTTTTTTATGTTGAAAATGTGTAAAAAAGAAATCATCTGCAAGAATAAATGTTGCAGACGATTTCTTTATGAAAATATAAAATCTGAATAGGACAATACCAGATAACATGTTTTGTGATAACAGAATATCTTATTAATGGGAAGATCAGACTGTTACAAAAATGAGTCTTATTTCTTGTACCTTTATTTTTATTTTATTGATTTAAAAACCTATTTTTTTTTTCTTGCATGCAAGTTAATTGTAAAGATAAAAAATCTAGATTATTCATCTAGATATCTAGAATCTGGATAAAACTATTGTCAGGATAAAAGGTAAACTTTTTTCCATTCATTGACTTAAGTTTTGACCCTAACAAGAAAGAAACCATGATAAACTCTTGATTTAAATTCAATTCACTTATTTTGGGCTGTAAATATTTATATGGGAACAGCTTTTGAAATATCCAAGCAAAAGACCTTAAAAAAAAACTTTATTCACTGACTTGTTCCAAAACTGGTGTTATGGTTAATTGTTTGAAAATTTTCTCTGTAAGGATTTTTGGAATCAAATTCATTCATTTTTCAATAAACTGATCCACAGTTATGGACATTTTTACCAAATGTACAAATGAGGTTAACATTTGGTGAATTTAATTGTGGAGGCAGTTTTGGTGAACATCTTTATTTGTGATAAGAATTTTATATATTGTTTTACACATTATTAGACATTTTCTTCATTATTTAAAAATTTTAAGATGCTTGAGGTAATTAAATTAATCTTGGGTAAGATTCATTGTTTGTTTGTTTTTTTGGGGTGGGGGATAACAAAATCCAAGACATCATCATACTTTCAAAGAAATTTCATAATACCACCACCACCACCACCATGTCTGGAAATTTTTTTTTCATACAACTATACTAAAATATTTGGGAACTATTTTAATGAAATACCCCCTCCTATTTTTTGGTGGTTGTATGTTCATGTTTAATATGCCTATGTTACAGGGATGAAGCTTTAAGCAAATAAGCTCATTCTTAAAGGGTACCAGATCCATTGCCAGTGGGTGGTGTCAATCAGGTACTGAAAGTAACCTAGTACTAAAATGGTGGTATCAAATGGTGCTTCACCTCTTATGAATAAGTACTCATGCACCAATATTTTGGTACCCACTTAAATTTTAATACTTTGATCAAGTTCTTGGCTCAGGGGAGTCACTTTGAAGAAGTTCTGGCATGACGTCAAAATGTTTTTTTTTTTTTTTTTTTTTTTTCACAATGTTTTGAGTGGGTGGGTCCCTGCACTTTATGAGTTTTTCAATGTAAACGGAAATGTAAAAAAAAATGGCAATCTAGGCCATGTCTTACCATTGCAGTGGGTAAAATGTCACTATTTTCTGACTGTTTTCATAATGCAAATTCAGGTTTGCATCTGGTTGTGGCCAAAAGATTTTTTAAAACTGCTTAAAATATCTGTTTGTGCCTCCCACAGAAATGTTCTTGTTATGGTGTCATCTTTTTTTTTTTTAACCCAGCTTTGCCTACCCCTACCCACCCCCGTTCACAAGGAAAACTTTCCCAGTTTCATTTGATTTTTGATATTGAATTTGTTTTGATTGAAAAACAACAAGAATTAAAAAACATGTAAAAATTTGCTATTTTAGTATGTGTGTCTCAAAATTCATTCAAAATTTTAATAGACAACACCAAAATACTATAAATCAGAATGTCTTGGACTTTGGTACCAAGTGTCCCCCACCCGGTTTTATGTGAGATGATTTTAGTATGAAACTATTGAATTTTTTAATTTTTTTTAAAAGACATCATCTTTAGTGGTATCTGGTGGCCATCAAATGATAGCAAGTCTTTTTAAAGACTTTCTTGGATCATTTTTTTGGGATCATTCATTCCAAGTGCACCAGTGATTATAGGCACTACCTGTACTATCATATCCCATAGTATTTGCAATTTTAGGGTTCTGATGTTTTTCCATCTAATTTTCTTTTTACCAAACCTTGGGTTTGACAAGAATGGTTGTTATCATGATTACAATATAATCTAAACGTGATTAGATGAAGGGGTTTGTGCTAATCTCACTAGCCATTACAAGTGAGTTTCAGTCTCACTGTGTGTTTCACTATAATGTATGTTAGTATATGTGAATGTTATTAGTTATTGAAAGGGATCCAATAATTATTTTGAAAAAGTCACAAATAAAAAGAACATACATTTATTCTTTGATTTTTATTACTCCAAAATTAAATAAATACTAAAAAAAAAAAAAAAAAAAAAAACTAAATCATCAACAAAAAGTGAAACTAATATAATTACATCAGGTTAACACTTTAGACTGTGTTAATCTTTTACAAGTGACAGGGATTATTTAGAAAATATATTTTAAATGACTTAAAATATCATTCCATATTTGGGCCAGGATTTTAAATATGCATTTTATCTTCAACATGATGTATTTATTCCTAATCCAATAATAGTGAGATTCTGGATCTCTGATCTGCTTTTCTAACAGGTCAATAACAAGGACAGGATACTATTAGCCAGTCTTTTATGTCCTACTTATCTAATGAAGAATACCCATAACAATGGCATCACCTCCCGGAAATGGGTGAGCATTTTGATGAAATAATCACAGAATTCCCAATTAAGCTTAAAATATATATTTTTTTTAATTCAGTATTCTGAGGGGGGAAAATCTTTTAATGTAAGAAGAAAAGGGGGGGAAAAGGAAGATTTTGTTGGGATTCAAACTGGATTTCTTTTCATTATTTGTACAAAAAGAATTTTAAAAATCATTCTTTTTTCCACTGAAATATTTTTTTCAATACATTTTGTATTTTTATCTCTACAAGTCGAAAAATAATAAAATATTTAAATATAAAGTGGTTGATTTTTGTTTGTTTTATTCATATGAAAAATATTGAAAAAGTGAAAACTTTTTGCTTGCCAAAAAAAAAAAATCTTGAACAATGTATAACATATACATAAAGATTAAATTTTTAATTTGATCTTAAATTACTCTGGTGTTGAGCAATTTAATTTTAGGCATTCTATATTCTTTAGAGAAATGCATTCCCCTTTTTCATATGTCAATGGGCATATAAAATAACAGTATTTTATATTAAAAATGATAGACAAAGATTGATTTTTCTTGAAAATTTTTATTTAACTTGTTTATGTACGAGAATGATCCTATTTTAGTTCAAATATTTGAGATCAAGCAATTTCAACTCTGCTTTTAGTCATTTTTAAGATCCAGGTTTATGTACAACTGTTGTTTTTTCCCTTCCATATTCAAATGGACATTTCATACTTTATGCTGTCATAGATGTGATGCTAAGCAGGATTCTTCACTGGGTAAATATAATATCAGGTGTGTGTGTGTATATATCTAAGATGAGATATTATGATTACTTACATTATTGGGACTGTTATCCGCATCTTCATCACCATATCCACAATGTTTTGGACGTTGTATGCTCTTTGCCTTCTTCAGATGATTGCAATTTTGAACTGAACCCTCTATTTTGTCCACCGGGTTAGATTGTTCTAGTTCCATGCACCATGCCACTTCTGCTACGTATCAGTTATTTCCAAGAATTGTGAGTTCAATACCAGGCTACAACAGTGGTAAACCAAAACTTGAAGAGTTGAGTTAAAGGGAAATAATTGAGACATGGCATGTGGAACTAGAACAAGCTACCCCGGTGGATGAAATAAAGCATTTGGTTTGAAATTTCAATCACCTGAAGAAGGCCAGAGCATACAACAGCCAAAACGTTGTGGATAACAGTCCGAATAATGTAAGTAGTGTGTGTATATATATATATATATATATAGTCTTAAGGTGTGCTATATTTATGGAATAAAGTGCTCAATATCAGAGATAGAGCGTGTGTAAATATAAAAGTGAACATAGAAGTCAACACTTAGCGGCAACAGTCCGTTTCATGCTAGATGCAACTGTCAGGCCACGAGTGCTGTTATATAACAGCAATAACAGCACTTGTGGCCTGACAATTACATCTAGCATGAAACGGACTGTCGCCTCTAAGCGTTGACTTCTATGTTCACTTTTATATTTATGTATCTATATATATATATATATATAGAGAGAGAGAGAGAGAGAAAATCCTTTTTTTCCTTTTATGTGAGATGAAATAAATAATCAAGATTGGGATTTCAGGAAATTACTCAAAACAATTCCTAAAAACATAATGGAACCCAAACGGAAATTGGATCGGAATTTGTCTCCACAGTCTTCAGGATTATCCAGATTGACACTGTGAAGCTGAAAGCAAAAAAAATAAAATTTGTTATACATATAACTGAATTCTTGAGATCAATCAATTGATATTTCTTAGTACATGTAACAGCTGAATGGTGATTTGAGACAGAAAAACTTGGGCAAGTTAAGTGACCTTTGGTATATTGAGAACAGGAATGAGGTAAAAGTATGGATTTAAACCTAGAAAATGAGGCCCTGAGAAGATTGGAACCTGGAACAACTTAAACAAAAAGCAGTAAAGCTTACACATTTGCAAAGAGACAAATTGATAACCATTTGTGCATTCTCAAAATTTACCCAGCTGGGGTTGTTTTGAAAAAATCTTATCTGGGTTAATCCCATTTTGCAAATTATGTTATTTCATTGCTCAATGATGACCAACATTACTGGGTTAGAGGTTAGTTACCCAGATAAGAGAAATGGGTGGATTCTTAATAAAAAATAGAGCTAAAACACTTTTGTTTAGTTTTGTTCCAGTTCTTGTTGATTGCAGTCAAAATCCAAACTGCTGTTAAACTTTCAACAAATACACAGACAAAGCTTTTAATAATGAGATCTATACAAAATAGGATTTCTATTTGAAGTATTGTATCAAAGTAATATCACTGCCTCAGGTTAATCTTTTGTTGAGTAGAGAGTAATAGCCATAAGCTAACTAATGCTACATATTCATATATCTCATTGCAATAAAATCTGTAGCTGAGTTTGGCAACAGTGTTAGTAATTTCCTTTTGGAATTTTCATCCACAACTCATAGAAAATACAATTATAATAGCTTCATTCATATGTAAAAAAAGAAAAAGAAAAAATTAACAAAAAAAATCCTTAACAAAACTGTTTTTTAACTAACCAATTACTGCTTAGTATTGCTGATACTGTCTACAAAACTCTGGAGTCAGGATGCTGAAGGTAACAACAATCAACTAAGTAATAAACTTAATACTTGTAGATAAAAATTATTACAAAAACAAATGAAACAAATATGTGGAAATTGTTATAAAATGAGGAGTAAACATTAAAGTTTTTTTTAACTAATTTAATACACCTATATATGGGCACCATTAGTTGCATGAAGTACATCAAGACGGTAATTTGATTTCTTGTCTCATCAATGGTGACAATGGCATGAAGGTAACAACAATCAGCTAAGTAATGAACTTAATACTTGTGTGTATATATATATATATATATATATATATATAAAAGTGGACATTGAAGTCAACACCCAGAAGTGAGTCTGTTTCATACTAAACACAATTGAAATGGCTTGACAATTGTGTTTAGCATGAAACAGACTATCACCTCTGGGTGTTTTTAATGTTCACTTTTATGTTTATATATGCTCTATCTGTGGTATTGAGCACTTTAATCCATAAATATAGCGTACCTTAAAACTATATTTTATCATATATATGAGAAATGGACAAAGTCCAACAATTATTTATATATATATATAAAATGTAAAACTTTGTTTTTACAGCCATTAATAAAGTTAATGACCTTCCTACTATAAAGTGATTTTGACAAGTCAGGCATGCTTGTTGATTGTTTTTTTACAGCTTATTAATATTTTGTGGGTTATTTATACCAAAACATATTTCAGATTATAGGCAGCTGCTTACAGTACCCAACGGGTCCCCCCCCCCATCTAAGTGTTGACTGAGTTGAATGTCACTTAACTTCAGTGATCTAACAATAACCAGTATTTTCTGCATGATCTGACCATAAGTCAAAGAGAGACATCGTACATGCAAACATCTTTTATAAGGTGGTTTCAAAAAATTTCCCTATAGCGCACCAACAGATGGCAACACAGAGTTGCATGTGCAGTGAGAGCAAGCAGTGATCTTCATGCACCAGTGTGCTGAGTGACATCACTGTGTTCACTTCACAAGTTGTGAATTTTGTGATCATATGTATGCCATAGCCTGCAATTTTGTCATGAACATGAATGAACAAAGAGCCAATGTGAAATTTTGTGTTCAACTTGGGAAGTCTGCTACAGAGACATTGAGAATGCTTTGGCAAGCTAATAGCGCCAAGGAAATGTGTTGTATGCAATGTTTTGAGTGGCATGGGTGATTCAAAAGTGAAAGAATGTTCCCAGAAGATGACATGCGATCTGAAAGACCTGTCTCAAGTGTCACTCCTGGAAATGAAGACTATGAGTTCAATACCCAGTTAAGGCAGTGGAGAACTTTCAGAGGTAAAATTAACAGGAGATAACTGATAACTGACATCCATTAAACATGGCACATGGAACTAGAACAGTCTACCCCAGTGAGCGAAATAAAGGGTTCAGTTCGACATTCCAACCACCTGAAGAAGGCCGGAGTGTACAACGGCTGAAACGTTGTAATAAATATGGCAACAAAGATGAGGACAATAGTCCGAATAATGTAAATAATGTACATAATACCTCATCTCAGAAATATAGACAGATATTAGATAAATATATTTGTTATTTTAAACATAAATAAATAAGTAATGTAAATAATGCCTGTAATCATAATACCTCATCTCAGAGATAAAGATGGAAATTAGTTACAGTTTTAATTAATCTATTTTATGAAAAAAACAAAACCAAAAACAAATCCTTATCCTTAAGAATTTTACAAAAGGAACAAATATTGTGAAAAAATGTTTATTCTTGTTATTCTTCTGTTTCACTGAAACTTTTTAATATTTTGCAATGGTTTGAGAAAAGCAACAAAATTGTCCATGGCTAAATACTGGCTGTGTCAAGTATATTCTAACCTTGTTAATGGTTTGATATATATAAAGGTTTTTATTCTGTAATAAAATGACAATAAAAATATGAAAACTGTGTCTAGAGTCAGACTTTTAAGTAAATTTGAATAAAATCTTAACATTAAGTTTTGTTTTTTGTGGGCAGTCTTTTACAAATGAATTTGAATAAAATCTTGACATTAAATTTTATTTTTTGTAGGTAGTTTTTTACAAATGAATAAGCTAAAAAACTAGGCATCTAAACAACAAAACATCATACAAATTAGAATTTAGTAAATATGTCTAGATTTTTTAATTTTTATTCTTTCAGGTATTGCATTTATCAGATTTTGGCTTTGCATTGACAAGAATATGCCTAGCCACTTTAGGTACATAAACATTATCCATAACCACCAGAGAAACTTTCCTGACTGCCATCAGTATGGCTGATGCTAGACCGATGGAGAGCAACACACTGTGCCTTCTTGGCCTCATGTTTTCAACTGACTTTAAGTGGAATAACTACACTGAATCAACAGCTGCATCTACTGCAAGGAAAGTTGGGTCACTGTGTCATTCCAGAAGGTTTTTCTAGTCAGAATCCATCTTGCACATTTACAAATCTACCATTTGTCTGTGATTTGAATACTGTTGCCATATCTGGTCAGGTGCTCTTGCTACCCATCTTGAGATTCTTGATAAGATCCAAAGTAGGATCTGCAATATAATTGATCCTGATTTGGCATCTCAACTTCAGTCACATTTTCACTGATGTGATGTGGTTTCCCTCTGTCTTTTCTACAAATATTTTCATGACTACTGCTCTGACAAGCTTTTTTTCCCCTGGTGCCTCGACTATGTGAGTTTATGCATTCTACTAGATTGGCATCTAGGTCCCACCCTGTTGAATTAGGTAAATGTAACTGCCACTTCTACTGCAAGAGTTTCTTTTCCCACCTAGAAAAATCCCTTCCATATCCTTACTGCCCTGATAACTACAATTTAAATGCAATGTCAATCACCACCTTCTATCTTCTTGAACCTTGTTCAGCTTTTAACCGTTTCCTCAGCCTCAGCTATATCAAGTCTTTTCTCTCACCTTCACTCTCTGTAACCTCCTGCATACTAGTGGCATTCCTACCTTGCTTGAAGCGAAATGATTTAAATAAAATTTACATTATAATGCAAAATAGCCAGTAAATATTTGATAGGATTCATGTAAGAAAACTTACTTTGCCTTAATATTTTCTTTTTTCTAACTTAAATTTATTCTCAATATTTCCTTGTTTTATCTTTTTCTAATTTTATGACATGCTTAAAATTAGAAAAAAATTGGATTTTGAGATTTCTTTTTGAATATATCAACAACAACACAAATTTATTATATACAATTAAATAAACGTCTTAATGATAACAACCTATGAAAATGACATAACACCTATTTTACATAATTTGGATACAGCAAGTCAGTTATAAGAGAATCATTCTGTGTACATACTGTACAACTAAAAGTTTGGTGAATTTGAACACTGTGTAGTGAGTTTATGTCACAATAACAGCAGGAGACACTGGGGATTGGCTGTAGATGATATATGTAGTATTAGCAGCAGCACCTGACTAGCACATTTAAAAACCTGTGCTTTCAAAAACAGATTTTTTTTTCCTTCACATTTGTGTAGGATCAGAGACCCTGACATGAAAGCATACCTTTCCAGATAGGATTTTTCTTTGTCCAAAAACGTAGATATTTGGCTTCAGACCATGTTGTTAATGAATGGTCTACTTTCCTTCACAGTCAGAATTTTATCATTTTAGGGAATAACTTATTTCATAAAATAGTTGCTGAAAATATTTTTGGATGGTAGAGATACCTCCTCATAACACTTTAGCCATATGCAAATGTTGATTTTCTTGAACTGCGATTTAATCCAACCCCACATTTTTTTTTCATAATGATATTTCATGGACCTTAGTAATCACATTATAATGAGGTTCATATTGTTCAATCAATTTTAAAGAGAGAAAGTGCAACAAAGTAATAACACTCACTTAAATTGCAATTTAATATTGGATATTTTTTTGTTTAGTCATGTTTACTCATTTCACTATGGGTGCATGGTCGAGTGGTTAGAACATTCACATTCTGACCATGAGACCCGAGTGTGAATCTCACCATGGTCGATTTTTCAGGAAGGAGACTTTTTGATCTTATTGGACTGGAGGGGTCAATACCAACATATAGCACCTTCAGAAAGTGCCTTAAAAAATACAACAGGTTGACCCAAGCCTTGTGAGTGAAATTGGGTAGATGAAACACTTGGAGGCCATCAATAGCTGTGCTAGCATGAAGTCAGAAGTCATCATGGCTGAAGGCTTGAGCATGCTGGCCTTGTTCAAATTGTTGATCACACTAGATATTACACTCCTTCCCAAAAACTGGAACTAAGGTCTGCTCAGCATAGTTGCAGTATAAACCACAGGTAGGCTCTGTGGGTGTTGAATAAATACAAAAATGCGCCTGAGCAAGCGTCTGCAATAGGGATTGGCTAGCCGCCCTAGTAGACAGATATCCTCAAATACGAATGGCCAGCTATACTCAATTCACACATCACCATTTTAATATAAGACATTTTTCTCTTGCTTTGATTAAATATAAAAGATCTCACTATGCCCAATCTATTATGTAACTCAATGAAAAAAGAATTAAAATTAAAACTGATAAATTTTTCAAAAAATCCACAGCTTCATGGAAATTTTAAACTCACATTCCTGCTTAAAAGTTAGTATTTGATCATAGATTCTTATTCTTAAGCAGTGGTCACTATATACTCACCTGATGAGAAATATGGGCTGTAGTAAGGGCCAGAGCAAAATAATATGGCCATGTTTGGTCACTCATCAAACCAGACAGGGCCAAGCTTGTAATCATTGCCCCAGTAAAACCAGAAAGCCATAGCTTTGTATGATTTTCAAATTTTAAGGCTGTTGATTTTACTCCAATCAAGCGGTCATCCTCTTTATCCTAAAAGAAAAAAGCAAACAGGGTTATATAATCAATGAATCAAGATACACACATTTGAAGGTTTTAAAAAGGTTAAGAATTTGGTCCTTTACAAAATAATATCTCAAGAAATTAAACAGGCAGTTCTGAGGGTTAAGAATGTGTTGTAGCATACCTACAGACAATAATGGGTTATGTTCTCATTCACATAAATACAGTAGTAAATACTGTATGTTGGTCTGCTGTTGGAGATTCATTGTGGAATTCATTTGACTCACTTCTAGCAGTTGACTACTTCTCTACATGCCACTGGCAAATCTTGTATGTGTTGTTTGTGTCCTAAGTATTATTGTTCATTACCAACTTTCGTGTGATTATTCTAGGTTACAACAGAATGAAATAAGATAAAATTGGACTAGACTTAATGTCAATCATGAAAACTAAGATAAAATTGGACTAGACCCCAAGGTCACTCATAAAATTCATTTTTGTGTTAAGAATGAAAACCAAGATAAAATTGGACTAGACCTAATGTCTATCATAAAATTCGTTTTTGTCTTAAGAATAAAAACCAAGATTGGACTAGACCCAATCCCATTGAGGAGTTTGAAGTGCTATAATCTTTTAATTTCAATCAATATGTTAAATGTTGAATTCCTGTAATTATAAATTTTATAAATCTATTTTTGATGTAAGTATTGTTTCTTCTCTTGTAATCATTGATTTTAAATTGTTATGAAAACATCATTTTACCTGTTTCTCATGAAAATACTTTGGGCAGAGAGAAAACAATTTTGTTGTCATGACATTTTACGACAGAGAACAGCATAAGCAGCAAAAAGAAATCATTCTATAATTTTTTTTAAATTTTGATTTATATCACTGAAGATTTTACAATGGATGTCATGTTGGTAGAGAAGAAAAAGCGTGTAAATTTAATAGCCTTTATCAGGACAGGCATGTCTACCTTTCAAATTTAGTATTCAACATATTGGCTTCTATTTGCACCTGAACAGTCAATTTGATACAAACTCACTATTTCAGTCACCAAATTAAACAAGAAAAAAATGTAGGCTGATAAAATGGTACTGACAAGTCAAGAGAGAATAGGCCGAGAATATGGCAAATTTTCACTAACAATAAAATGTTTGATTTTCAATATTTACATTATTCAAACTATTGTCTTCATCTTTGTCACCATATTTATTACATTTCAGCCATTGTACGTTCCGGCCTTCTTCAGGTGATTGGCATGTCGAACTGAACCTTTTACTTTGCTCACTGGGGTAGACTGTTTTAGTTCCATGTGCCATGTCTAATGGATGTCAGTTATCTCCTGTTAATTCCCCTCTCTAAGTTCTCCACCGCCTTAACCAGATATTGAACTCACACGCTTTGGGTCCTGTCAGTGGATCTAACCAACGCCTTTATCCACTGTGCCATGTGTCCTTGACACATGGCACAGTGGATAAAGGTTAGATCCAGTGACAGGACCCAAAGAGTGGATATCAGTGGATAAAGACGTTGGTTAGATCCAGTGACAGGACCTAAAAAGTGTGAGCTCAATACCTGGTTAAGGTGGTGGACAATTTGGAGAGGGGAATTAACAAGAGATAACTGACATCCATTAGACATGGCACATGGAACTAGAACAGTCTACCCCAGTGAGCGAAATAAAGGCATTTGACATTCCAACCAGCTGAAGAAGGCCAGAGTATACAATGGCTGAAACATTGTAATAAATATGGTGACAAAGATGAGGACAATAGTCCAAATAATGTAAATAGTGTATATAATACCTCATGTCAGAAATATAGACAGATAATGTTTGATTTTGTTAAATATTTCAATGTTTATTCACATCAATCCCAGAAAATGATGAAGAGTTAATAAACAGTAAAATAGAAAGCAAAAACTTGCAATTTGTTCTTGTCTAATTATTAATTACCATCATTTTTAAAGATGGTTTGATCTTTTATTAACTATCTTTTATTGTTTCTTAGGCAATTTTGCATATGTTGAAATACTGATATGTCCTGTTTTATCTTCTAAATGGCAACATGAAACTGGAACCAGATATTTGTTCAATCTCTTACTTGGTGGGCATAAATGGTGTCATAAATCAATGTCCACGCTACACAGCCTGCATAGAGAGGTAACACCACTGACCAGTCACATGACCCTTGAACTGCTGACCATCCAAGGAGGGCACCATAATTAAAGGTTAAACCTAGAAATTATGAAATAAATGAAAATTAAAATCAAGTAAAATTTCCAAATAATTCTAAAAAAGAAAAACATTATAAGGTTTTCATTTCTAATTCTCCTAGAGAATCTGCTATTAAAATTCATGGCAGAAACCATAGAGCAGAGTGAACATTGCAAAGAGGCTGTTTGTCTGTAAGAGAGAAATTATATGGCTTTTACGAAGAGACTTTACATTAAAAATCCCATATCAATTATAAAAATTAACTTAAAAATCCCATACGAATTATAAAAATTAAATTAAAAATCCAGTATCAATTATAAAAATTGAATTAAAAATCCAGTATCAATTATAAAAATTGAATTAAAACTCCAGTATCAATTATAAAAATTAAACTAAAAATCCAGTATCAATTATAAAAATTAACTTAAAAATCCAGTATCAATTATAAAAATTAACTTAAAAATCCAGTATCAATTATAAAAATTAAATTAAAAATCCAGTATCAATTATAAAAATTAAATTAAAACTCCAGTATCAATTATAAAAATTAAATTAAAACTCCATAATTATTTAAAAGTTTCTACCTATAATTCATTAATATCTACAGTTGAGTATTAATAGGTTAAATATGCAAGATTTCTGAGCTACAAAGAACTTAGCTGATCATCAAGGCTAAATAGTGCCTTTAAGTAAAATTCTTCCTCTCATAGACACTAAAAACATTTATATCAGCTCAGTTTCATATCCAAATGTAAACAAAGCAATTTTCTAAAGAAGTAATGGATTTATTATTTATTAATCTGACAGATTTTATCACTTTAAACATTATTTTTATTGAATATTTATATTTGAGTAGATGCTCCATTTACTCATTAAACAGTTTATTTTCATTTATCGGCTTGAATATTCAAATCTTATTAAATTATATGTGCTCTCTGGTAGGATTTGAACCTGCATCCACCTGACTGAGCAGATATGAAAATTTCAAAAGTCTATGATGGGAGGAATTTTGCTTAGTGCTACTATTCAGCATTGACTGATCAGACAAGTTCTTCATAGCTTAGTCAGTCTAGAGCACATTGGATCTAACAACAGTTCCCTCTGCTCAGGAGGATGCAGGTTTGAATCCTGTTGGAGAGCACATATTTGAAACAAACTGTTGCTACTTGGTGTTGACTTCAGTGTCCACACACACATATATATATACACACACATACATAAAAATAATAATCTGCCTCTCCTCTCTTAACTTCCTCTTCCTCAATTTCTTGATAGGAAACTGACCAATCTCTAAGCCCTTATCTTTACCCAACCCCTTTCTCTCCCCTTCCCTCCTCATCACCAAGCTAAATTATCTGTCTGGTGTAGTTTCTCCATTGATGTGGCAGGTTGTCATTCTGATGAGCTGAACATCTTGGTGTTCATGAAATAAAAATTATAAACAAAATGGATAATTAAAGTCTCCGTCTTATTATCATTATAATGTTCTGTAGACTACATTGAACTCTCCCTGGATTTATATCCTCCTCGGAATTATCCCTTCCAGTCACCATCTGGTAAAACACATAATTATAATTATAAATATATGCGTGTGTGTGCGTGTGTGTGTGTGACTCTGCTGTCATTTTCAACGTATGAGAACACATCAGTTCCGTTCTTCCCGCACATATAATTTGATTACAGTGGTGAAGGCTTGTGCAGAAGCAACCACACCTTTTGAAAGAATCAAATACAGAGAACTGGTGCACATTGTGGGCTACAAGGGTCTCCAAACCCTCCCCAATTTTTGAATTCAGAGTTTTCCTTCTCCTAGACTGGCTGCCAACCAAGGTTAACAAACCCAGTCTACCTTACTAACCCATAGCTAGTGGGTGACAAAGAGATGGATCCATTCCTTTCACAAGGGTATTTGCGGATAAGTGAATGAGTTCTTATTTCAAGCCACTATCCATCACACCACCCACATATATACAGGGTACAATGGGTACCATGTCGCCATTTTTAATTTTTAATTTCATGCATTGTTTGTTTTTGCTTTTGTTGACTGAATAGGATAGCAGGGTCAATTGAGCACTGTCTATGAGAAAAAGAGCACCATGACACAATTCCAGAAATTTGGAAAAGGCATGCTGTACTGCTTGGCATTTATGCTGGAAGCTCCAATACAAACTTTTCAGAGTGTTTGGGTGTCAATCTGAGGACAGTGCAGAGAACTCAGAAAGAGTTGGATGAGTCTAATGGTGATTACAAAGGTGTTTGGAGTGATCACTAGTGATGGCGACATTATACTTCCATTTATCTTCCCACAGGACCTCAGACTCAACATGGAGGCCAACATCAAGTGCCTTAAGAAGGGAGTGCTGTCTTGGGTCAAGAGGGTGGCCGCTGGAAGACCCTATGTCTGGCAACAGGACTCTGCACCATGCCACACAAGCACGAGAACCCAGTCATGGCTGTCAGACAATTTCTGCGGCCACATCACCCCTTACATCTGGCCACCTAGACTGCAAACCCCTTGATTCTTATGTGTGGGGCGCAGTTGAGCAAGAGATCAACAGAACTCCTTTTAATATTAAAAATGAACTGAAGGGAAGGATCATGGCAGCATTTATCAACTCAAACAAGGAGATCATCTACAAGGAGATCCCAAAGTTGTTTGGAAACTGTGGTTGAAGCCAATGGAGATTTTATTGAATAAATTTAATCTTTAGTATTTCAAGATATTTTTGTGTCATTTTGTTAAAAATATGTGTAAAAATGAGATGTTAGTATTATTTTCATTCTTGCGCAATTTAGACGACAATTTATCCATCGCACACTCTGCGTGTACACACACATATATATACACACACACACGGGGTGTCCATAAAGTTCCTGTGCACTTTAAAAAATTTATAACTTTATTTGTATTTGTGATAGCAATAATTTGTAAAAAGGATTAGAAAGAAGTAAATCTATATTTTTTAAGGCTTTATTGAAATTTTATTTAAGTTTCCACATGTCGTCCATCATTAGCAATACAAGGGGTTATACGATTTTGCAGTTCATGGAAAACATTTGCCAAGTCATTTACAGTAATGCCTGAAATCACATTAGTTATTTTAGCTATACTTAAAACTAGGTACATTAAACTATATAACATTTTTTACAGATTATTTCTATTGCAAATACAAATAAAGTTATAAATTTTTTTTTAAGTGCACACAAACTTTATGGAGACCCTGTATATATATATATATATATATATATATATATATATATATATATATATATAATAAATTAATTGATTTAAAATATGGTTTTTTAGCAGAAAAAAAAAACCATATTTTAAATCAATTAATTTATAATATTAATGCTCTGTAAATTTACATTGAGCACTATTTTGTAAAAAATAAAAATATCTATAAGAACACCGGATTATATATCTTACTGTTCTTTCTTTTTATTTATATATATATATATATATATATATAGTCGTGGCCTGACGATTGCATCTAGCATGAAACAGACTGTCACCTCTAAGTGTTGACTTCTATGTTCACTTTTATATTTACACATGCTCTATCTCTGATATTGAGCACTTCATCCCATAAATATAGCACATCTTAAGACTATATTTCTTTATATATATATATATATATATATAGGATGGAGTAAAAGTTCATAGTGTTTTTTAAGTGAATTTCAAAAACATAATTTAGATATTTCTATAGACATTTATTCATTCACATATGTGCCATTTTGTTTCACTACCTTTTGCCATCTTTGAAAATGCTTCCTAATATATCCTCCAAGAACTTGGCATGTTTCTAGGTGATAAACTGTTCATAGTGGTTTTTACGGGCCTCCATAGAATTGAAGATCTTCCCATTAAGAGAATTTCGTAGGGAATGAAATAAGTGGTACTCCAAATGATCAAGGACAGGTAAGTAAGGCATAAATAGGACATCCCAGCCAAGCAGTACCAATTTCAGCCAGATCTGCAAAAAGGTGTAAGGTCTGACATTGTTCCAATAAAAGATGACATCTTTCCGATTGAATAATTCCTGAATTGAACATTGCTGCTTTTAATCATTGATTGAATTAAATAGTAATCCAAAGGTACAACTCAGTTAAACATGGAAAAAGTAGTTTAAACCTTTGGACTATTTCATCAGCAAGAAAGATGCCAAGTTCTGGGAGGATGGAATCATAAAGCTGCCTCAAATATGTTGAAATGTAGTGAAACAAAATGTCACATTTGTGGTTAGATAAATCTATGTACAAATCTCTAAATATTGTCTTTGAAAGTCACTTAAAAATACTGTGAACTTTTATTCCAACCCAATATATTTTAAAAGGAATTTCTCTTTGTTACTTAATGATAACAAAATTTGATGAAAATCTATAATGATCTAAATTGTTCATAGCTAAATGCATAATACTTTCTATTTTGTTACATATTCTGACCATAATTCTAGTTATAAAAATTACATTACTACCCATGGATTCATTAATTATTCTATAGAAAATAATGTAATGTTCTGACATTAAGGCCTAACACCAATATTTTGAAAATGCCAGTATTTAATCACAGACAACTGTTATAATCTTCCTAAAACCAGATCTTCTGATTCATGTTACACAAATTTTCACCACTGGCCAGATGTGAAAGCCCCCAAACCCCAAACTGAACTAAAAATTCTGTGAACTGCGCACCAGCTTCCGTTTTACTTACATACTCAAAGAAAAATACAATCCAGAATTTCCACCAAATAGCATTCACTCTCGCCTAAAGAAACAAAATAAAAATTGAAGCCGATCTGAGCCTAAGAAAAGGAGATAAAAGCCCATCAGAGGGATATCTTCAGCAGTTGGACAGCACAACAGCCAGGATTCACAATGCTTGTCGGAACATGACCTCTCATCTACAAAGACAACTTGCCAAAAGGCCGTCACCGTAGTAAGTCACAACTCACCCTCCCTCTCCCACCGTACGCCCCTGCGGACGACTTTTATGACTCTACTTATCTCTTTCTTTCAACAAGAGACATTTACATCAATTTACCATTTGTTGTATTTCTATGTTAATCCAATTGTTTATTTCTTAAACCTCTGTTGTTTCTTCTTTGTTCTACCACCAGACGCTTAATATAACACAACTTTAGTTTGCTTCTTTTACAGACAAGCCATTGCAAAAAGTATTGAAGCTGTATTGTCAAGTGGAAAAAGATAAAAAAAGTAGAAAACAATATTTTGAACAAGAAATATTGGACTATTTACGATTGTGTTACAAATGTCATTATCTAAAGTAGATATTTCAGTCCATAATTAATTGAAAAATTGCTTATTTTAATTTATTTTTCATACATTTTTGGAGAACTAAAGATATTCACTTACCAAGCACAACCTGAGGCCAATAAGTATATCGTTTAGCAAGAGGATATGCTGTAACAAGTGCCATTGATGAAGCACCTAAGAATACGCTGAAATAAAAAGAAAACCACATGTCAGTTGGGTTCAGAGGTTAAGGCTGCAATTTGGCATTAGAAAAGTTGTTTATAATATTTGATAGGATTTGCCTTTGAGTCAGTACATGAGATGATTTGATAGATTCCAATGTCTCTTGAGAAGCATTCAAAAATATACCAGTTAAACATTTCTACACAGACAAGCAATAAATACACCAATGTGTTATTTTTATAAATATAAACAGTATTTATTTATTTTTAATCATTTACACCCCAAGCAAGGCAATAAAGCCAGAAAGATGCAAGGGGTTACTGAGTGTGAAAGAATATGAGAAAAAAAACATTACTAAGGAGAGAGAAGAATAAAAGAACAGGAATTAAGACAAAAGATATGGCATTTCAATTTTTGAAGATCAAAGTTAACTGAAAAGTAAGAAGCAGAAACAATAAAGATGAGGACAATAGTTTGAATGTAAATAGTGTAAATAATGATAACTCCTCAACCCAGAAATTCAGGTAGAGAGAAACTGTTAACATATAACTTACAGTTACATCTAGCCATCTCAACTGCAAAATGATAAGACCTATCTGCCAATCTAGTACTGCACTTAACTTCATAATGTCGAGGTACCAACAATTACCATGAAAATATTTATAGAAAAGTCACATTACTGTGGTGGGGAAGGGACTGAAGCTGAGATGCCAGGTGAGATTCTAAATATAGTTAATGTATTTGAAATCTCACCTTATGAATAAGAAATACAATCAACATTGTTATATTGAAACAAAAGACTCAATGAATATTCCAGCTGAATAAAGGCTTTTTATTAATTTGAAGAGTTTTGGATATTAATCAGTTATTTATAATCTTCTACATGGAAGTAGAGTGAATGATGGGAAGGCTTCAAGTTATATTTATCATAATCATCTGAAAATCACAGATTTCTTGGGGATTTTATTCTTAAAGCTTTATTATTTGATTTGGTTTTCACTTTTTAAGTTTCATAATTCTGTAAGCACTTTCGATTTTTACTAAGGTAGGTGTCTGTTTATCTTTTTTTGCTAGCTTAATATAGATAGGGTTTGTTTTTGTACCTTGCCTTCACTTCTCTCTGTATCTGTCTCTCTCTCTCTCTCTCTCTCTCTCTCTATATATATATATATATATATATATATATATATATATTGCTTGATGTATAATAACAGAGCTATAAATTATATGTTAATAATAAATACATTTTTTTTCCTAACGACTCGGAGTTTCATGCCCAATGCAATCTTCAGGTGTAGATTGAAAACTGACCATTGCATAATTTATATATATATATATATATATATATATATATATATATATATATATATATATATACACACACACACACACACACACAAGTACACAGTTGGTACAGATGGAATATAATTACGATAACCAAAAACACTATTCTTAAAAGAATATTGATGAGGTTTGGTTGGTTTTTGAATTCTTAAAATCCTTTATTTTGCAATCAACTCCATTGTTTGATAAGACACCAGAAGTGTTGAAACAAAATTGCAATATTTGTAGTGATGTTATAACATGCATATGTTATAATTTTGAAAATATATATATGTATATATATATATATATATAGTTAAGAAAGATTGCTGACATAGGTTTCTTATATGTAGATATAATAGGCTGTTGAAAGAAATTCGGGTGATAAAAAAGTTCAACAAAAATAATAATATTCATAATAAAGCTAATAATATTGATTGTATATTATTCAGCCTTTTGACCAAATCGAAGCATGATAAAAAACAATGTTAAAAATCAAAGTTTTCAAACACCTGAGTCATTTCTCAATGAGAAATAAAACAAAATTGGACTATTTTGGAGGAATTTTTGTATTTCACGTATTATATTACTGATGAAACTAGAAGTTTTGGTAGTAGAGGTTTTGTAGATGTTTTTTTACAGAAACTTTATTGAGTCTGCCTAAATTCATATTTAAGCCTAGAATGTGTGTATTTTAACCTGGACTTTCAGTATTCTTGTCAGTATTTAAAGGAAGATGCTAAAAGGACGCATCTAACGTTATGAACGTTATGATCTGATTGGTTGAAATGTCAGCTACAATGAAATTGATATCTTTGCTAGATTTCTATTGGTTACTAAGATGAAAACAGAATTCAGAACCTGTTTCACTAAAAATATAATTTCTTGTGTTGCATTTGTTGTATTGGCTAATTACATGGTGATTATTTTTTCTTTTCAATTTATAATCTTCCACATAGAAGTAAGGTGAATTATAGGAATGTTTAAAACCATATATATATATATATATATATATAGCAAGACAAGCTGAAGAGTAACTTGTCAGCTGTCAATATAGCCTTGGAGTGGGTAGAATGGAGAGCAACATGTTTTAGTGGACTTAGCAGTTTTCAATCTGCTTGTCTGAATCATTTTCAAGAAGCGAGAGCAAGATCTAAAAGGTCAGCCAATCTAACAGTGATCTCATCCCACAATCCTCACTCTTGCTCCATATGCAGCCTCCTTTGTAAATCACTAGCCACTTAAGATTATTGCACAAAATTTCATAACTGAATCAATTAAGCTGTCAGATCCTCATACGTCGAAACCGACAGGAGAGCCCATTATTATATATAGCAATCAAAGAACTTACTCTGGAGCAAATAAATAAAAAATATATTATTTATTATTTTATACCCTGGTCAGTTTGTTTTATTCCAAAGTTTCTAGTAAAAAAATCCTACCAATTATCTACAGAGTCAACTAACATCCTGTGGACTATTTAAAATTACTTTATTGCTGAACTGTTCAAGGATTACCTTCATAAGTATAATTATTCTGAAAATGACTTAGAATCAATAACAAAAGAGGATATTCATTAAAATGGGCCCAAAACACCAGGGGCATAATTTCCAATTGGGTTTTTGCTATCTTTATAAATAAGAGATTGTTTTGTTGATGGCATTTATAATTAAATTAATTAGTTATTTAAATAGACATTTTCTGTAGAGACCTTAGCACTTAGATCACAGCTTAAGAGTAATGTGAAGTAAGCAGTGTTGACATTTTTAATAGAATATTTTGAAAATCTAAGAAATGTAAATTTTTACTTCTGAACTATTTAAGTTTTGTTCATAAAAAATCAAAACATAAGTTACTTGATTGAATGCAATAGCTATTATTATTATTATTATTATTATTTATTATTATTTAAAATGCTTCTAAAATCTCATGCATTTTCTATGGTAGTGAAAGAGTTAAATACAAAAAAGACATTTTTCAAAATGACAGGAAAGAATTCTTGTAGAATAAAGAAAACATTTTTTTTAATATCCTTTAGAAAAAAAAGTTTTCATTTGAGAAGAAGGAACATAATTTTCTTTCTTTAATCCAAACTTAATTTCTATATACAAAGTTTTACTCCATTCTTGGTTATAAAACAAAATTAAAATACTTTTTACCTGTACCAATTGAGTTGTAAAAGAATAAACAAGCCTAAGGAAAGTTGAGAACCAAGGAAGACGAGCGCTTGAAATTGAGTTATCTCCCCTGCAGCGATTGGTCTCTTCCTGGTGCGTTTCACCTGGAAAGGAGAAAAAAAAAATCAAACACAGGCAGTGATAATTAATAATGAATATATAACAATGTGAGAGGTGAAAATTGAATAATTTTTTTTTTTTCTGAATTTATTCTAGTTCTGTAAAAATTCATTGAATAATATAAAAGGTCAGATGTTTATAATTTCCTCGCCAAAAAATCCAATAATTTACTCTAAAAAAAGTGGGTACATGAAAAGAAAAACATAAAATAAATGAAAAAATTGTAAATGTTAGTCATAAATAAATGGGTATGAAGAATAATAAAAGAAAATAAAGCAGAATAAAAAGTGGATTAAAATAACAATAAAAAGAAATCTAAAGAAAGAAAAAAAAAATCAGAGAAGAAAAAGGGAAAAGAGATTAAACAAAAAATAAAAAGGAGGAAAATGAGAAAAATATTATAGAAAAGAAAGAAAAAACAAAAAAGAGGAAAAGAAAGAGAAAAAGAGAATAGAAAAGCAAGAAAAAGAAAACAGATTAAACAAAATAAAAATGAGGAAAAGGAGAAAAAGAAAAAAGAAAAGAAAGAGAGAATAGAAAGGAAGGAAAAAGAGAAGAAATTAAACAGAAAAAACATAAAATAAATGAAAAAAGAGGAAAAGAAAAGGAAGAAAAACAGGAATAGAGATTAAACAAAAAAAAAAGAGGAAAAGGAATAGAAAAAGAGAATAGAAAGGAAAGGAGATTAAACAAAAAGTAAATGGAAGTAGTGAGTTGACCGATTTGATTTTTTATGACTTATCAACCTTTGGTAGGTTATTTAAAGTCAAAAGTTACTTGGGATTGTAAGAATAATTCTTTTTTAGCAGGTGAATATTGCATTAAAAATTTTGGGGAGATATTTTCCAGATAAACACTTGACCCATAGCTTGTAGGGGAGAGAAGAGATGGACTCCTACCTTTCTCAAGGCCATTTACACTTAAGTGAATGGATGTAGTGGGAGTAGAAAACAAAAAAATAGAGGCAGATAGAAAAAGTAGAAAATAAGAAAGAAGGATGGAAAATATGGGTGGGGTAAAGAAATAAGAAAAGAAAAAAAAAAAAAGAGAACCTTTTTATCAAAATCCTCATCCCACATATCATTGATGATACAGCCAGCACCTCGCATGACAAAAGCCCCAACTCCAAACAAAGTGAGCATCTTAAAATCAGGAAAATATCCAGGAGAAGCAGCCATTGCAATACTCCAACTACAGGGCCAGTAGAGAAGCCATGTTCCTACAAAAAAAAAAAAAAACAAAAAAAACCCGTATATTTCCATGTATGACAACTTTTAAATTCCCAAAATCACCCTCAAAAATTGGGGGTTGTTTTATACTACAATTCTAAAAAAGAAACCTTAAATTTCAAAAGATGTTTGTTGGTAGGCTAACCTCGGCCTTGGGACAGTAACCAATAACGTACATGAAAAGATTCACATTATCGAATAAACTGATAATAAATGTAATAAAACCATTTCTATCTTATATATTACTGGCATAACTTCATAATAAATTGCCTATTCAAAAAATAATTCCATATCAATGAAATCAACTTGTATCCATGTAAGCTCAGCTGAGAAAATGTAAAAATTGAGTTATGATTGCGTTCATACCAATGGAATGTACTATTATCAGACAGTTATTAGCGGTATTTTGTGATTGTCAATGAAGTATAAGTAAATGACCCTTACTACATCAGGCTGTTTGTAAAAGTTTAGGTATAGGAAAAGAAGAGGAAGAAGAAGAATCAGTATTCAAAAGAGATCACATGATGAAATATAAACAAAACAATGGTTTCCTTTTTAGTGTATAGGAAAAACATGATATAGAATCAGTTTTGTTATTTTGTTTATTTTGAATTTCTAAAGATAAATAACATTTCAAATAAACATCATCTTTATATAATCAATAAGCAGGTGTCTTATACTACAAGTATAGGATAAATTCATGAAAATTTGCTATATTTTTTTAACTCGTCTTATCTAAAGGTTGCCTTATACGCAGAAATATATGGTATATAAAACAGAAACATTTCAGGATATTAGAACAATGCATGGAATACGGTGTTTATTGCATTTTTTTATCATCTTTATATCATGAGAAATACTTAAAAAGCTACAGATAGAGAGATACCAAATTGCACAAGGATCCTGTTCTTTTATTGTCCTATCTCCTTAATATATTTCACAGATTCTTTTACTCTCTGTAACCCCTTGCATCTTAGTGGCTTTATTGTCTTGCTTAGGGGTGAAATGATTGAAAAAAAATCCAGCAATGACAAATGAAAACAAACTTTAAAAAATATCATTTGTACTTACCTATGGGTTTGTCAAATCGTATAAGACGTAGATATGGTTGAACATATGGAGGCGAAGCTTTGATAATTGAGTTTGGGGTAAATGAGAGATAACGATGATGAGATGATAAAGAAAGGAAATTGAAATTATTTTGAAGTTGATGGATTTTGGAGGCAAAAGTCCCTGAACAGGTAGCAAGCAAATGCATAGAGCGCTGTTGCAAATGTAAAATGCGTGGTTCAGGAAGAAAAAGTTGTTGAGTTTTTGCTACAGCAAAAGTTGGGAAATTCTTGTTGCCAGCCACACAGGAATTGTGACCGAGTTGCCGGAGGAATAACCAGATTTTCATGTCTTGAGATTTTCTGAAAAATAAATTTAAATTAATAATAATTACTCTTTTATGTTGTTAGCAGATTTCATGATAAATTCAAATCCATACTTTTTTTTTTAATTATTGGTTGTTGATTTTAACACAAGAAAATAGACCAGTGGGGAAAATAGGCAACAGTCTTAAATCTGCCAATAACCTAAACTTATCTTTTCAGGTTATCGTTCCCAGTTTGAAAAGTTTGATTTAAAAAAAAAAAAAAAAAAGCTAGATGTGATGAGTCATTTTTGGTACCCATCACTCAACTGCTGTATAATCTCACTTGAACACGTGTTTCAAGTGGTTAGAATGTTCACTTTCCAACCATGCAGCCTGGGTTCAAATCTCACCACAGTCGATTTGTCAAGGTGACTTCTTGATGGTATTGACCTGTAGAGGTGATCCTAGCATGCTGCACCTATGGAAAATGAATGCACCTACATGAAAAAAATACACCAATGAAAAGTGCATCTAAAAAAGAAAATCAAGAAGTATAAGCAGTCAATTGCTGATATCCCCTGACAAGCAGACAGAGTGATTCCCAGAGGGCCTGTCTATGAAACTTTGGAGTCAGGATGTTGAGGGTAATATCAATTAGCTAAGTGACAAACCTTTTACTTGTATTAATTATATATATATATATATATATATATATATATATATGTCATAGTTTGCATAGTTGGTTATTTCATTTCCCTTTAGCATACAACTCTTAGGAAACATCAGGGGAGAAAATTCATTGTATCTTCACTTCCCAAAGAGCATTGAACATATAGCATTTAAACTGAATGAAGAGATAAGTAAAAATCAACAAAGATTAAGAATATTGTATTAGATGAATCAACAAGTCAGTATCAGTCCCCATTCTGGAGATATGATCAGTCATAATAATCCTTTATTGTGTGCTGTTTTATTACCTATGAATTAACAGGACAATAACATTTACTGAAACATAAGGAAAAAAGTTTAATGTAAAGAATTAAAATTTTCAGAACATAACCAAATTACAATCAAATTTCTTTCGGATGCAGAAATCATTTTTACAAAACCTTTTGATACTTAAAAAACCTATTCCTGTTTACAATGGAAGGGATTTAATGAGTTAATGTGTATTGTCTTCAAAACATTAAATCTTTGCAACCTTCCTTCTGTTTACAGGAGTGGCTTTTAGGTCTGCAGATAATTTGCCTGCGATGTTGAAATCTGGAAAATTTAACAAAATTTACAAGTTGGTCCCTAAAAAGAAATGCAATCTCTTAGTGCTAGTAATAGCCACTGGTATCATGTCAGTCCCTGAGTCATTTGTTCAATTATTTATGCTCAGTTGAATGACTGTGGAAGATGTGAAAAAATGTTACTATTATTTACAGAGCAATTTATGTGGCATCACCATTGCACATCTCTCATAAATTGTTTGAAGATAAATTAATTCTTTTCATCCTCTCCCCCTTCAGGGTGTTTATAATCATGGCTTGCTAAAAATTCAATTCTTTTATCTTTGATTTTGAATTACTATGACTTCTAGAGTAGTTTCCCGTTAGTTGCCTTCTTCATAGTTTTGAAATCAGAGTAGATCTTCTGGACTGGTTGCCACACAAGGCTAGAGAGCACAGTCTACGCTGCTACTTATCCCAAAGTTGGGTAAATGAATGACAGTGGAAAAATTTTTTGTGTAACACTTTTCATCCTCTTGAGCAGAGGTCGGCAACCTGTGGCACGCCAAGCAATTTCCAATGGCACGCAGTCGCAAATGACATCACGAAGTCTTACTTAACCAATAATTAATTACAACACAAAGAAGCTGTTTCAATTTTAAGAAAGTATACTACAATATATAAAAATAAAATATATTGTAGAATAGGTATATTGACATTGACTTGTATAAAAAATACGTATGCCGTTCATGGCACACTGAAAACCTTAGGGTTTTAAAATTATCCGCACATAGCAAAATGTTGCCGACCCTTGATCTAGAGATGGATTTCATTGGACTAAAAATTTGGGAAAAGTGATGCCTTTTGCTTTGCTAATGCTTGTAAATAATTTGAGTCGACAGTTATATTGGCATAAAATGAGAAAAATAAAGCAGTATTTATTAGCTTTGGTGGAAGAAGTAAAAAGGGTTTCTTTTTAAATTAGTGGCCAGACTGATAAATTTTCAAACGACATTTTTTAAAACTTTTTTTTTTGTTTTTTATATTACATTTTTTTTTTTATTCCATTGCAAGAAATATTGAAGAACAAATTAAATGAAACATTTAAAATTAAAAACGATGACAATCGAATAAAAATATGAATTCCTCGAACATCTCACAAAGAATGAATCATCTCAAATTTAGACAATAATGGGAAAATTGAAAACTTAAAAGTGCCTGGATACAAATTTTTCACATGAATAGAGAAATAAAACATGACACTGACAAAGTTATATGAGAAGAACACAAACAACCATAGATGTAATAATCAGAAACCAGAAAAGCTTTTAATAAAAATAAAATAATTAGAAATTAATTTTTGGTATTATTATTTTTTTTATTTATTTATTACACCCGTCTAATTCCCGACTATGATTTTTTTTTTTTTTTTTTTGCTATTTCTTTAAAGAAGTCAACTGGCAAATGACAGTGAAGGGCGGAATTGATCATGGAGATTGGCTCAATAGGGGAGAGACGGTTGTAAAAACTGCCCCCATACCCAAAATGCTTTGAAAAATAACCTCTTTCGACTTACTCACGACACAAACAAATAAAAATCACATTTAAAAACAACAGTAATTTATCGCCATTTTTCGATGACAAATTCTATTCTCTGCCCTTTGATGAAACCACAGGTTGTGTGCTACTTAGGACAAATATTTGGGTCGACTCTATTTCGCTGTCAAAAATTGTGACAGACCAGTGACAAGACTTCTGTAAAATGGGAGCGCAAATGACATTCGAAAAAGGAAAAAAAAAAAAAACAATCAACTGTAAGCGAAATCCAAACTTCGTTCGGAGATTATCCCATGCCTACCAACACGGGCTGATTTAAACCTAATAAAAATTGGATGGACATTGTTTATTTTTTTTTTAATTCAGATTCACTAAAAAAAGAAATTTTTTAGACAAATAAAAAGTTTTTAAAAAAACCGTCATATACTTTTTCTTTTCATCAGTTGTGAATTAAATAAGTCAGTTTTCTCTTTTAAGCTCTTTCAAATGTAAAAGATTACGAAAAGATTAATCAAATAATTACGTACACGATATATTATAAAATAATGGACATCACTCAAGGACAACTTGAAGTTAAAGACAACGCGTCCCTACTGCTAGTACCTTTAGCAGAAACAGTGAGAACATTACTACTCTCCATGCAAAGGTTACCACATGTGACCCTTTCCCGCCATTTGCCTCTTCACCTAAACTAGACCGCGCAGTAATTTACTTGCTTGATTTAGTATTAAATGATGTTAACCTTATTTTTCTGCTTCTTTTAAAAAAGAAAGACCTAAATTAAGTAAATTTAGAAAGATATATCTTGATTAAATTTGATAACAAATCTGAATTTGATGTTTAACAAAGAACTAATTTGTTTAAAATCGGACTACAGCTCAATTGACCTAGTGTACTTGAATTTTTCCCGCGGTTTTTAGTGCTGTTCATCTTGTCTTTTGTGAGTAGCAACTTGGAAAAACTTTTTGGTGAAATCGCTTAACTTTTAGCAAAAAGTTATCAAACAATGTCGGTAAGTTTACGTATTTTAATACTAATTTGCGAACCTGTTGCCATCATTTTTAATTCGTAGAGAAATAAAAAAAAAGTCGATTGTTTTACTTTAAATATGAATTTAAGTTTTTTGATTATTATTTTGTATTGGTATTTCAATTTTTATTTTATTTTTATGCAACCTTTTAAATGTGATTTCATTGATCTGCAAAATGCAATCTTAAGTTTTTAAAATTAAGTTCAGGTTTTGTTGAGTTTCACTTAATGAAAATCTTTTGACTTGTAAGCGAATTGCTTGGTTTCTTTTTTTTTTATTAGAGAGCTTCTGCAATTTAATTTTGTTGATCATCAATGTAATCATTGTAATAATCTTAATTTTGAAAAAGTTATTTAAATGATAAAAGAATGATCGAACTTTTTTAATAACATTATTAAGAAAACACGATTTTTTTTGTTATTTAATTCGCTAGAAATTCTTGTTGAAAGATAAAATGCTTCGAGTATTAGTGTTTTTTTATCATGAAATTTGAAATTAAGTTCCATGTTAAAATCGTAAAATAACATTTCTTAGGCGATCTCGTAGTTTGCCAGAAGAAATATTTTTTTCTTCAAAGTTCTTAAAAATAACATAAAAAACGAACGAAATTACTTAAATTTTTGGTGTTATGATAATTTTTTTTATTTTTATTTTATAAATTTTTGTAAATTAGCATTGATTTTCTTATTTTAAGTGGAGTTCTGTTTATTATCGATATATGGTGAAAAATCGATCTCTGACTTTTACAGTTATTGGACTACTAGCTGCTTTTTTTGTTTTTTTGTTTTTTTTTACAAAGGTCAAGTTTGAAAATATGTAACATTGATATTTAATTTACTCTACTTTTTTTTTTCTAAATTTTTAACTTTTTTTTTGTATGAGTTTTATGGGGACACGTGCACAAACATTTGTGGATAACGATTATATTTATCTAAGGAATACATATTTTTTTCTATAATTAATTTGTTTAATTTTTGTTCTTTCATTATAAAAATATATTCGATTGTTTATTATTTGAAAAATAAATCTTTTTGTAATCCCCACTCCCATTGAAAAGTGTATGTTTTCCTCCGCAGAGCAACTAAGTCGAATATTTGTGTTTTTTAAAAAAAAAGTCATCAGGGATTGATTCACACTGAATATTCCATAAACTATAACTACAGGATCCCTCTTCTAAACTAAACAATAAAAAAAAAAAATAAGAAAAAGAAAAAAATTCTGCGACTTGTCGTGGCCTAAGGAAAGTTTAGTAAAAAAAGGATGTGGATAAGGATGCTAATCTACAAAAATTATTCCCTCCCCAATTTTATTTTATTTTATTTATTTTTATTAGTGTACTTGTCTATTTAAACCCCCCACACACACACACACCTAGACTGATAAATTTAGGGAAAGAGGTCCCGGTACAAAAAAAAATAAATAAATAAATAAAAGGGGCAACACTACACATTGTTTGCCAGGGATGTATCATGACGTGAAACGACGAACTGAAGATTATTGCAACAAACAAATTTCATTGAAGCTATGATCTTACCGACGGCTGATATTACAAATAATATTTAGTAAGTTTATCTTTCAAGTATGGAACAAGGACATAGGAAGCACTCACTGGGGATCGGATAGGTCGAACATAAAACTTTGAAGGAAGTTTTTAACTGCTTTAAGGCCTTTTCTTTTTTTTCTTTTTTTTTTTTTTTTTTTTCCAAGTACTTTCTTCAAACAGTTTTTAAAAGTAAACTTTAGCCTTAAACATTCATGTTCAACTTTAGCATGTTTTCATAAAAATGACTACTTTACTGTTGAAATTGGATTTGATTGATGTTTCTTTCATTGTTGATCACTTTTTAAACCGAACGATTATTGTTTAAAAATTAAAATGAATGTGAACTTGTTTTATTTTATTTTTTTTTTGTTGTTATTTATTCCAACAGGACCCAACTTCAGATCCCTTTTCTGTGGCTAGTCCCGATGGATCTCAAAGTCGAAGAGGTGATCCTGTAACTTCTAGTCCTGGTCGTGATCTCCCCCCGTTCGAGGATGAATCCGAGTTGGCCGATGCTGCTATTGATGAGGAGGAAGAAGGAGAAGAATTATTTGGAGACAATTTTGAACAGTAAGTTAAAAATAAGGGAGATAACTCTCTATATTTAAACTTTCCGACAATTTTTAATAGAATACAAACCAATCTAAGGATGGGATTGGGGAGGGGGTGTCGTTTTATATTTTAATTATTCGCTTTTTCAAGTGACATCTTAAGCATCTCTTTTCCATATATTTAAACGTTCTAGGTACCTCCACGAGATCGCTAAAAAAAGAGCATAGCATGATGAAAAAGACGCCAAACTTGACGAAAACAAAATTTTATCGTCTAAATGTTTGTTATTATTAAGAGGAAAGGTCAAAGTATTTTTGGGGTATTTTTTTCCATTTTTTAATCGTTCCGAAATTTTCGTTAAAAATCTAGTTTTTTTTTTTTTGAGTCAGCAAAATTGACCATTTTTTTCCATTTAAAAAAAAAACTGGAAATCTGACTTTGAAATTTTTTTAAATATCAATTATCATTTTTTCAAAACTTATTTTAAGAAAATCAGAAATTATAATGTTTATTTAAAATATTTTGAACCAAACTTAACTTAGCTTTTGTGCCAAAAAGATGTAATTTGAAAATAAAACAAAGCCGGTCATAAACTTTCGCGTCTCTTGACATGTGATGAATGATATATTTATGAATTCCATGAGGCTAATTTGTTCTACGGAAGGAGAAAAGTGAAATAATTTACATTTACGTGAACAAATTATTTACCAAGTTATTTTTAACAAAAACTTTCAGCGGTCTAATTTTTTTTTTTTTTTTTTTTTTTTGTACTTAGCTTTCACCTTTACGTTTATGATGCTTTATGGGAAATATATTGTAAAGAAATTAAAATAAAACTGTTAAGAGTGACATTAAATTTCATATTTCTTAAGAAAGGTATCTAATTAATTTATAGGTACCTTTCTTATGAAATTTTATCAGAATTGTACATAAAATACTATAATTTTATGTACATTTATTACATTCTACTGTTATTTGTATTTGCATTCATTTTATTATTAATTTTGATATTTCATTTATGGAAAAATGTCGTAACTGAGATTAATATAAAAATAAGATCATATAAATTTCATAAGATGATACTGATACTTGTAGGTACCCTTCTCAGTTGAAATTGAAAATCAAATTAACTTCTCCACACGTGTTTCAAGAAAAGTAAAGGCCTTAACAGCGGAGAACAATGCTTAACTCAAATAACGCAACTTAATTATATTCTGGTTGGTCTTCCGTATTTTATAATTACAGCTCGATTATAAGCACAAAATTACATTTCTTAATTACTGGGGATCTTCTGATTAGTCAAAATGATACAATTTACAATGCGCTAAAAAAAGATCTATCTCATAAGGACACTTATGAAAGCCGATGCGTTTTTAACTAATTTTATAATATTTTAACAACTTAAGTGTAAAATCTATTATAATTAATGAAATAACAAATAATTGTATTAAAAATTCATTTTTCATCGAAAAAATTTTTTTGCTTTCAGAAAATATTGTCCATATTCATAAAAACAACTAAAAGCAAATAAAAGCATTTGAAATTAAATAATATCTTTGTTTTATTGAGTTTTGTATGTTACAATTCGGAGCTGATTTTCAGGTACTGCGATCCAATTAAAAACAAAAAAACATGATTTGCATTCCTCAAAGCCCTGTGCTTTTAATTATTGTAATCACTAAAACCGATGCTTGATCAATTTCTATCGTTTTCATAAAATTAGTTATGGGGGGTAATAAATATTTTTTAAAATATTTCTACCATGACTTTCATAAAAAAAACATATTTATAATAATTTCGATCATCTGTGAATAGTTCCTGAAAGTTTCATTAACATCCGATAATTATTTCTATTTTTGCACAATTTTTCAAATTGTGTGTCATACCAAAAAAACGTGCTAAAAATTGTCTATGTTATTTACTAGTTCCGCCGATACAAATAGAAAAAATGTTTTTTTAATCAAAATTTAGAATGTTCTAAAAAGAAGGAAAATTTTTTAAAAATAATTAAAAAAAAAACTTTGGTCTTTCCTCTTAATAATAACATAAGCATTTAGACAATAAAATTTTGTTTTCGGCAAGGTTGGCGTCTTTTTCATCAGCTATGCTCTTTTTTTAGCGATTTTGTGGAGGTACCTACGTTAAGCACTATTTTACCTATGAAATTAAATTTTGATTTGATTTGCTAACTTAGGCTTCTTTTTTCTTTGCTGCTGATATTTTTTGGTGTTAAAAATGCATTATCTTGGAATTTCTTGCAAAAATCAAATGTTTGATCTTAATGAAACTTTCAGAATTTATTCACAAGTGAATGAAATTATTTTAGGCTTTCAATTTTGTAACATTGAATAACACAGTTACTAAAAATCTGCTCTGAATTGCAACATACAAAGCCCAATAAAGCTAAGACATTATTAATGTTTTAAGAGTCATTTCGCTGACATCAATAAACTGACCTCAGAAAATTTTAGTTTCCATACTGCAAACATGTTGATTTCTTTGACTTCTCACGACCATCATAGTGACATTTCTTTAAAGAAAAAAAAATTTTTTTTTTTTTTTTTTAACGTCCTATTTAACTTAATATTTTAATTTACTGTTTTTTTTTTTAGTGAGACATACTGCAATTATTATTTTCTTAGTTTCAATTTTAGGGATGGGAACAATGATTCAGAGTTTGGACATATTTGTTAAAATATTTTCAAAAAAGGGGCCACCAAATATTCACGAAATATTGAAATCAATTGCAGAACATTTTTTTCTTATTTTTATACTTCTATTTTTAGTAGACTGATTAAATGAAATATAAAATGTAAATGATTACATAATTAACACAAAAATTTCACTTCATATTCAAACAATATTAAAAATAAGGAAAAATTAGGGACCTATCTTATTTATAAAATTTTATGCTATTACTTTTTTTAATTAACTTTTATTATCTCAGTTGTGAAATTTTTTCATTACTGAGATATGAAAATTAATAAATAATACCATAAAATTTCATAAGAGAAGTACCTATAATTTTTTATCTTCCTCTTGGTTATGAAATTTTATTTTTCCAGAAATCATCTTCAAATGTTAGGCTATAAAGCTAAAGTACCTAAAAGAAAAAAGCAATAAATATTAGATTGCCGAAAGTATTTGATTTTTAAAAATTACTGTGTAGTTAAATAAGTTCACTTAAAATTCGAAAAATATGTCATTTCTGTTCCATCCCATAATTCCCCTTGATGTGAGCTGTCAAAACATTTATGTAACTGTTAGTTAAGACCTGAAAAACAAGTCACCAGTTGACAAACTTTTTAATCAAAATGTTGAATGTTCTAAAAAGGATATAAAAAAAAAAAAAAAATTTATTAAAATAATCAAAATATACTTTGGTATTTCCTCTTAATAACATTAACATTTAGACAATGAAAAAAATTTTCATCAGGTATGGTGTCTTTTTTCAGGTGATTCCTATATTTACAATTAGTCTTTTAGTAGCTTTTATTTCTGGTGAAAAACAGATTGGTTTGGAAATTCTTGCAAAAAATAAATGTCAGATTTCAATGAAATTTTCAGGACTTAGTAACAAATGAATGTTTTTTTGCTTTACACATGAAATTTTGAGAAAGTAAATCTTCATCACAATTTGTTTTATTAGTTAAAAGCAGAACTCTTTGGAGAATGTAAATTTTTTTTTTTTTCTTTACAGAGCAAAATGGCCATTCAGATGGGGCGTTTTGGGATTCGTTTATTTGTTTTATATATAAGGCTCAAAGACTAATATTAGTGTTTGAGCCTTTTTATATTCTTACGCTGCCCTAGACATTGAGTTCTATCTGTATTCTATCCTCTTGGGAATTTATTTATATATATATATATATATATATATATATATATATATATATATTGACTACTAATATTCTCTCATGCATACATACAGATATATATATATATATATATATATATATATATATAATATATATATATATATATATATATATATATATATATATATATATATATAGGTTTAGCCTAAGATAATTGCCTTGGGGGACCCCTTAAAAATGAGAGCAACGTAGCAATTTTTTTTTTTTTTTTTTTTTTTAAGAATTTGAAAAATTTGTTTAAAAAAAAAAGTATTAATGTAAAAACTTTAAAACGAAATATTTTTATTGACAAATAACAGATTCTGATGATGACTAGAATTATAAGCGATGATACATTGCAGTGGATCATTTTCCAAAATGAAATCAAAAATTACAATATTATTAGCTTAGAATATATTGTGGAAAGAATGACATATTACTGTATAAAAATATAAAGCTTCTTCAGCATAAAATAAGTATTGAAACCAAAAAAAAAAAATAAGTACAGTTATTGTCAAAACATGACCTGAATATTAGAAATTTCTTATAAAAATATTTTCATGACTTTTCTAGCATTCAGAAGAACTTCCTTTTATTTACTATGTGATGTATGTGTATACATATGATGTCCATTTCATTTTTGGTAGACATAAATGTTGCAAAATTGAAATGAACTTGTAAACATTTGTTGAAATTATTTTCATCTACATCTTTGAAAATATATCTGCATAAGGCTCTAGTCAAATTTTTTTCTTGGAAAATCTCCATGGCCAGCTTATTTAGAAAAACTTAACACTTTTCATTCTTAATGTATAAGGGGGACCCCTACCCCACCCCCTAAGCTGAGGGCAAAAATTGCCATGGACGTGGTTTGTTTTTTAAGGGCACCACATCATAAACTTGTGTATGTGTGTTCATATATATATATATATATATATATATATATATATATATTATATAGGCATTTGCAGGGCATTCCTTTTAGTGCTAACCAGTAATATGGGATGATAACTAAGGAATATTTCAGTTGAAGAACAGAAGGCAAAATAAAGAGCAGCTGAACAGATTAAAACCTTATAAGGAAATTATAAAAATGAACTTACATTGCAAAACATACCAAATCAAGAAAGTAATAAAATTTCTCTCGGTGTTTATTTAGAGTAGTCGTGTTATACAAGGAGTTTCTTTGTCTATTCATTTACTTAGTACTGTCTGCTATGCGACCCCCCCCCAAAAAAAAAAGAAACGTAAATCATGGAATTTTATTCAATGATTGGGCAGGGAAACTTTCTCTGTCTCGTATTGGAAGAGCATAATTTTATACAAATTCAAGTCTTGGTTGGAATTTCCTTATTTTTATGGATTGAAATGAACCTACTTATGTTCCATGTGTTCTCTGTTTAATCTTTCCGCTAACATTTTTTTTTATTTTTTAAAGGGATTATCGTGCTATTCCAGCCCTGGATGTTTATGCTAAAGACGGCTTGGATGATGATGCTGATTTCTCGGATCTCTCTGAAGGGGCTCGCCAAGAGGCTGAAAAAGAAATGAAGAAACGTGACCGTGAAGAGGGCTTAGCCTCTGGAAGGATGCGAAGGGGGCTAATGTACGGTATGTAATTTCTACCCCCCCTTCATAATTGTTTCAAATCCTGTTAAAATGAATTGTTGCTAATTGTCTGTTTTGTTTTGAATGAGAAAAAAAAAACAACTGATCATATATTATGGCAACCTACAACAAAGAAAAACGTGAGGTTTTTACAGTCCTTGTTTGTAGTTAAGATGAAAAATGTGATTTCTTCATGTGTATGTTTGCAAAAGAGAGAAAAACTACAAAGTGAGGGGTAAGAGTGGAGGTATCACATAGCTTGGTGAGGAAGATGGGTGAATGAGTAAGGGTATCTCTTTGAAGTTGTGCATGTCGTATGCTGCTGTTCTTTCTCCTTACTGGCTTGTCTGGTTTGGTGACTTTGCTTATATACTCTTTAAAGGGTTCACAAAGCATGTTTTTCACTGTCTGTGGAAATGCAGCCCATTGGTTGATAAATGTTAAATATTTATTTTTAAGGTTTTAATTAACTGGAAGGATGCTCAAATCTTCTTATTCGGAAACCATTTTTTCTCATTTGATGATTGACTGTCTTGATGTTTATTTCTATCTTTATCCCCCATATCCTCCAGTGCAATTGTGTCGAAGGTATATATATATATATATATATATATATATAGTATTTATTCAAAAAGTGTTGAAACAAAATACCTATTTCTGTAGTGATGTTATAACGTATAACCTGTTTATTTTATAATTTTTGAATAAATACTATTTCCTCTAATCTTTTTGAGCACTCTTAAGAATAGTGTTTTTGGTTATTGGAATTTTATTCCGCCCATACCAATCCTATACTTGGAGATATATATCCAAAATAAAATCTTTACATTTACCTTGATAAAGTCCATCGGAAGATGAAATGCGTTGGTAAAGAATAGTTTTTCCTTTTGTCTTACATATGTCCAAATAGTATTGGTGTTTTCATGATGCATCCAGTGCTTAAAAAGAAATATGAAAAAGAGAGCGAGTCCATGAAAAGAACATACACACAGACAGTGATTCAACATTTTCATGAAAGTACTTTTATTAGAAAAGTAGGCCTTACAGTATGATTTCAAACAGTCAACAACTTGTTTTTGAAATCTTCAAGTGATTTAAAGAAAAAAAATATTCCCACTTTATGAGATTACCTTTTTTTATTCAGATTCACAAAATAACTGCCTTAGAAGGAACGGTAAAAACTGTTTAGATAATGAATTTACTTTGAGGTTTTGAAAAGTATTGTTTGTAAGTACATACACATAGTATGTATTTTGTAGGTAGTGACAAACTAGAGGATGAAGGCTGAAGAGTCTGTCAACCAAGACACTGATATGATAAAACAATAAATATGAGGATAATTGTTTGAATAATTTATTATCTACTGAAAATTCTTTCAGTGTCCATTCCTAATATGTTTTTTTAATGGTTGAATCCATTGTGTATTTCTCCTGACCGGTTGGTTTTATTTTAACAGATGATTCTGATGAAGATGAAGATCGCCCAACTAGACGTAGACGTGTAGCTGAGAGGGCCGCAGAGGGTGCAATGGATGAAGATGACGAAGAGGTTAGTCTTCAATTGATTTTGTTCAACCAGATGTGCACAGACAACCATTTTCTTGCTATTTCTCAAATGCATACATTCACAACGAAAATTGGGGTTGGGGGTGGGGTTAGCTTCCTCTTCACTCCCACCCCCCTTAAAGTGCTTTACCAATTTTATTAACAATTGGGGTTTTTGTTGCTCTTGAAAGGTCATTCACAAAATTTTAATTTTTGTGTAATCAAGCAATATATATTACTATATTATCCATTTATTATATAGGATATTAGTGTATTACTAGAATTTTTTTTTTTTTTTTTTACAATGTACTAATGTGTGTTGAAATTCCCAGTATTTAGTATTGAAGTTATTGCTAACTTTTTTTTTTTTAAAGATTTACAAACTCTACAGTGAAATTTGAATAAGCTGATTTCTTTGGGGAAAAAAAACAAACTTTGGCACACACCCTATTTTGTAGTTTAATAATTTCTTTAATTTAGTTTTGTAGGACTTCATAGTAAACAATATTTTTTATTTGGTTTTGATTGGTCCTTGTATGGCTATTTTAGTTTGTCTGTCTGTCACACCCTCTAACAGAAGTTACAGAATTTAGATAAATGGGAATGTTTTGAACTTAATTCTTTCAAGAAAATGAATGAAAATTTATTGTACTAAGCTATGCTTCCTAGTAAAACTAGCTGTACTTTGTACTCTCTTAACTGTTTTCGCTTCTCAAAATTAGGTTTTGATTGGTCAATGAAATGGCTATTTTAGAGGGTGTGATGGACAGACTAATGGAGGTCATAGAATTTTATATATAGACTATATATTATTACTATATTATCCAATTATGATAGGTAATATACTTCATCACCTGTAACAGACAGGTACTGGAAACAGTGAAGTTGATGACGATGCCATTGCTTTAAATCCTTCATTTTATTTTTTTCTTAAATTCTTTCAACACTTTTTAAATTTGCCAACTAAGAAGAACAAACTGTGCAACTGATTTCTCTTCCTGATCATCACTTTGGGTGATGGGGTTCTCGGAATAAAGTTGTAAAATTGAATACTGAGAGGACCTTTAGATTTTGTTGGGTAATCTGAAACCTGGCATTTAGTGGAATAAGAACACTGAGGACAATTGTTTGACTAATTCGTTGTTTGATAAGTCTGTCAATTCTTGTGCCTAACTTTTACTAAGACTATTTTGAAATTTTCTCCGTTTTCAGATTGAAAGTATTGAGAATCTGGAAGACATGAAAGGCCACTCTGTCCGTGAATGGGTTACCATGTTGGCACCAAAGACTGAAATTAAGAACCGTTTCAAAAATTTCCTGAGAACTTTCATTGATTCCAAAGGCCATAATGTTTACAGAGAGAAGATTAGGCAAATGGTGGAAGGTAAGTTTTATATTCATTTGTTTAAATGTTGTCCTTGGATAATCTTTTGAGATATATATATATATAAAATGATTTTATAGCACTGATTTTTTTTTTTTTTTTTTTTTTTTTTTTCTAAGTTTGGTGAGAGCCTGTTTTGTGTGCATGCTTTATCATGCTGCAGGCGACAATTAAATTCTCTCCCTTTGCTACTAGACACATTCTGCCACCTTGAGATGGTTGCTATAAATAAACACTTGTCAATTGTTATTTCTGGTATTTTATGCTGAAAATCACCTACTACTGCGTCGGAAGCAAGTTAAATTTCCGTTTTCCAGTGCCATTTTGAATTCTTCTAGACTCTACATGTGGTATAGCACCGATTAAACATTTTTTTTTTTTTTCACGATTTTTTGTAAACAAAAATGGCTGTGTCTATCAAACGAAGCCTTTATTCGGGTGTTTTTTTTTTTTTTTTTTTTTTTCAGCGTCAAAACATGCATGCAAAACAAAATGCATTACATCAAAATGTCACTCATCCATTCTTTTATTGGTATACAAAAAATAAAATCTAGATACGATACAAAGAAAGTTATAACAATTTTAAAACAGGTGTTCATGTTTCTGCAACCTAAAAAGAAATGTAGTGGCAGGGGGAAAATTCTCGAAAGAAAATAGCATGGTGTTAAAAAAATACACCTTTAAGTGCTGAATCTAGGTGCGTCGTCAGTGTTGTTGCTCCCATGTCACTAGAAGTTTCGGTCTAAATAAACAACAGACTTCTTCGATGGGCGACCCAACTGAATATGATCAGTACTTAGCCTGCATCCAGAATAAAATTTGCTACTAGCTTTAGGACATGCATTATATAAGTTCCCCCAGAAAACGGCAACTAATCAAGACTTCACTTTTTGATGTTATAGATCGGGTATGCTTGGTTGTACTGATCTTCTTGGATTATAACGCATATGTCTTCATCAAAATTGTGCCAAGCTTTGTTGTTGGTTGCTGGGGGGCCATTTAATCCGCTTAGAGGCTACTCTGTCCAGCAAGGTCTGAGTCCACAGTGAGTGATGCTGAGCGCTGTGGTTTGTCGCTGGGACCTGCTCCACCTCCATCTTACTTGGTGTAACACCTATGCATTGTGTGTTCTCAGCCATTACTGTACATTTCATCTTGGCCTGGTGTATTTTTAGGCCATGCTGATTCTTGCATGTTTTTCCACAGCAGTAAAGGTTAATAATAAACCTCTGGAACTGTTGGGGGAAATATGCAGCTAGCTTAGTTACTGAGCAGCCTACATAATGTTAGTCCTTGAGGTGTGCCAAATTGCAGCATCTATATTTTGTATTGGATATTTGTGATATGGTGAATTAAAAATATTTAACAATAGTAAAAATTACTTTATCTGCCTCTTAACCTTTTTCCTCTTGTCTTGACTACCTTCTCTTCACTCTTTACCTATTTTGCTTTTAAGGTTTCCACCAATGCTTTGTTGGATTGGAACTAATTTTTCTGTAATTGTTTTTATCATCACAGTATATCTGTTAAATAGAAATTGAAGCTAATTAGGAAATGTTTTATTTGCAAAAAAAGCCCGTGTTATAAATATGCAATATAACCCCCCCATCACTTTTTTTTTTTTTTTTTTTTTTTTTTAACCATTTGTGTCTTATTTATATAATTAACTTTCTTGAACAAATGAATATTTAAAAAAAAAAAATTAAATTAAACACACACACACACACACAATTGTTACCATCAAATAAAATTCAAAAAATGTTTTGATTTTCAGCCAATCAACAGAGCCTTGTGATAGATTACAATATGTTGGCTTCAGCCGAGCAGGTTTTGGCTTACTTTTTACCTGAAGCCCCAGCAGAAATGTTGCCCACATTTGATGAGGTTCGTATTTTCCTTGTGCAAATCTTTTTATCACAAATATAAGTCAAAAGAATGTCTTTTTTCTTTCTTTCTTTCTTTTTTTTTTTTTTTTAAATTAAAAAATGTATGTTTTATTAATGTTTTAATATACACTTGCTTAAATGCCACCTCGTTTCATGTCTTTGATATTATCTCACTTCAAAATTCTATTTACTTCATAATTATTTGCAAATGTTGATCATCACTAAGCTTAATTAATATTAAAATATTGTCACTAGTATGCCACTGGCTGGTAGAAGAGTGTGCAGACTGGTTAAAGAAACAACTTTGTAATTAAGTTAACAGATCCAGAGTTATCTCCCCTGAACACTTTTCTGTTAATTTATTCTAAGTTTAGAATTACTTGGAAATCACAAATCTGGTAAGACTGAAAATTGCATCAATAGGAAGTATAGCCATTCTCTGATTGAAGCATATTCATTATTTCTCAATGTCTTCAGGTGTTTTAACATGTTTCAGCTGACACGTTCTCTGGCCTTTCTTACATTTATAGGTTTTGTGAATATTATTATTAAATATGAAAAAGTAAGAGCCAAAAAAAAAAAATGATGTGCTAAGTTACTTTTCATATTTGGGATTGGAGCCCAAGTCCCATTTTTACAGAAATGAGGATAATATTTCCCTCAAAATGTATGAAAGATTTACAAAGTATAACAGGCTGAAAATGGAGAAGACAATGAAGTATTTACTCACCAGATTTTAACGTAAATAGTGAACTGATCCTAGGAGACCTACCAGGATTTATTCTTGGCAGACCTCATCTGAACAAAGGATTCATAGATTTCTTTGGGAAGGAAACTAAAAGAACTCTTAGATAAGATACTTAAGGAAAATAAAACAGGATTTAACTATTAAGAAAACAATGCATGCTCATCAGAAAAAGAGATAGCGTAAGGTGTAAGCTACATAGTGGGGATGTTGGAAGCAGGTACTATCTGGGCAGTGTAGCAACAAATAATGGAAAATGTGGTAGAAATATGAAAGTGGTTAGGGACAGTAAAGATGCTTTCTAGAAACTAAGTAAAATAAGACCAGGAAATGTCATTAGAAACCAGTGCTAAATTGCTGTATAATATCTAACCTGTTTTATGGCAGTAAATGTGGGATAATTTTGACATGTGGTTCTATCAACAAATGCTAGGAATATCATGGGCAGAACATGTGGGTAACATGGAAGTCTTACAATCTGAAAAGGATGGTGGAAATTTCTGGGATACTTAATGAGGAAAGAAGACCTAGAGAATTTAACACTCACATGACATTGAAAGGAAGATAAGCAACAAATGTGAATAGAATAGGAACAAAGAGGGATACTAAAGGGAAGGGAAAAACCATGATCACCCACACATTTGACACCTAAAAGATTTCCACTTGAAGGTGGACTCTGTAAGATTTCCCATTGAAAATGGTCAAGAGAAATTATCCATTTTGTTTCATTGTATTATCCACCCTACACACAAGCCACTAATCTGCCGCTGAGCATTTACTGCGGGTGGCTTGTTGATGGCTGCCACCAGAGGACTGCTGGCGGTGCCATCAGCGGCCCTCCAGCAGGCCACTAGCAGCTTGCATGTAGGGTATATAGCTTGATCTCTTCTATGCCTGATGGTTGCAATGAAATTATTGGCTTAAAAAAACATCTAATTAAATTTTAAAAAAAAAACAAAAAAAAAACATCAATTTGACTGAACTTCAGTTAGGAAGCAGTTCTGCTCGACTATTACTTGTCATGTGTTTTACATTCTCTTTTGTTATGGTCTTGTGCCAAACTTGATAATCAGATGAGTTTTTAATTTGGCTGGATTAGTTTAAATTTTTTAAATTGTTCATTTATTGCTTTCTTTTTGGTCTCTCCAAAATTATTTTATTTGTAGTCTTAACATCACATTGTTCATTTGTTTTTAGGCTGCCAAAGAAGTTGTTTTAAACATGTACCCAAATTATGAAAGGATTGCAAAAGAAATTCACCTACGAATTGCTGAATTGCCGCTTATTGAAGACATCCGGTCTCTGAGGTGAGTTTTTCAGCTTCCTTTGAGCAAAATCCTTAACACTTTCACTGCTACATTGTTATAGCAATGAATGAAAATGTTAAACACTTGTATGAACAAAACTATTTTCTTTTCTCTACATGTTAACATCCAAACCTTTGTATTAAATCTGACACAAGGACACTGTGATGCCACAATACTTGGATTTCCAAAACTCAATGTTAAAAAAAAAAAAAAAAAAAAACCTGCCCTACTGTGCATCTCTATGTTCATGTTCGTGTTGCATTTGTTGAAAATCACTAACATCATTAAAACTCCTGCAGTGTATAACATTACATTATAATGTAGCTAAGTTGTTCGGTATAATTTCTCTTTGAAGTAAATGAAGGTTTTTTGTTTGTTGGTACAATGATGTGCTGGTGCCTTCCTTCTTGTCTATATACAATTTGTAAAGCTTCAGTAGTTAATTTAGCCGATGTGTTTTATAAACCCTCAGAAGACAAAGTGTGTCTGCTAAGTGTAGTTTTTTTTCTTATCCCCTTTTTATTCACATATATATGTTTTTGTTTTCTCTACATCCAATCATTTTATTAAATCTACCACAAGGCCACAATAATACCACAATACTTGAATTTTGAAGACTCAATGTTAAAAAAAAAAAAAATGTGAAAAATCATCCTGCCCTACTGTGCTTCTCCGATTATGAGTGGGAGAAGTTAGGAAGCGTCATGGTCATTTGGTCTTCCTCATTCCCCCCCCCCCCGGTTATCCCACTGTCTTGTGTGTATCTACCCTAAATTCAGATGGATTCACTTATGTGTTTCTGTTGGTGGACACAAACATTCTTTGAAGCCAGATTCTCACTTGTTCACCTCAGCCTTTTGGCATTCTAATGTGACAGTGACTGAATACAAAAAAATTTAGTATCTCTTATGATAAACCCACTACATACTGGGTTTGCCACAGATCTTGAATCCAGTCTCCTGATGAACATTAAATCAGATTTTGATCTGATATTTCCAGGCATAAATCACCTGCTATAAAATGTAAAAAGCAGAACTTTTTGGGCTATTGACTATGAGCCAATAAGACTGGAAAAACTGAAACAAAATTTGTGTATCTCTAAATACTGATTGTTGTGTCTGTGTACCAAATTTGTCAGAAGTTCTGCTTATAACAACCACAACAATATTTGCAACCTCTGCCAACGGGGCGTCCTGGGTATGACGATAAAATACGTCCAACAGCAAGGCCTCTGTTCAGGAGGTTTTGAGGAGCGTGGAACCACCTCTTAATTGTTGGTGTTCCCAGGTCCACCCTGCCCTGGGGTGGTAGCCCCTGTTAGGGTCCCAGCTATGGGTAAATAGTTAATCCCCGAAACTAAGGTAAAAAGCATTATAAAATATTGCCAGCAATGCGTTTTTGAAAAAATATTACCAGCTGTACATTTTTGAGGAAAAAAAATATTAACAGAAATAGTTTTGACAAAACAAAAATATTACCAGGGGGTGGGGGTTGTCAGCATTAAATGACCTATTGAGGTTGATATGCTGTAAAACGAAACAAACCAAACCAATCTGCCAACAGGAAAAATTAGCAATTATGAGCTTTCTTGATTCAAAGAACCTTTTGAACCAAAAATCCAAAGTCTTGAGTCCTTACATACATATTAAGAAATTCCACTTAAGCACGTGAGGCTGAATAAAAAACAAATCCAATTACCAGACCCTCCCAATCCACATCCTTGACACATTTTTAATACCCTTGCTTTTCTTCTCTTCCCCCTTCTTCTCCTTCATCTTTCACATCCTCCTCCTCCCTTTCTATTACGCCTAATGTTGTGCGTTTGTTTATTTATGTAAGAAAAAAAATAATATAGCATTCGTTTTTTTTTTTTTTTTTTTTTTTTTAAATAAAGCATTAAGATGTCATTTGATAAAAATTGCCTGAGGATACCATGAGGTTGAAACCAAGGTAGTGGATTCAACCTGTTGTGATTTTTTAAATATATATATATGTGTGTGTGTTTGTGAGGTATTGAAAATTTCTTGACCAAACCCACTTCTCAAAATCAATCCATTGAACTTCAGTCATTAAAATACTGATTTTGTTAAGAGAGATTGAACTGAAAACTTTTCAGCATCCCCCGTAATATAGATTTTTCTCTCTAGTTACAACTTCTGCATACTTTCATATAATTAATGTGGAGATCTTTTCTTTTTTCTACTCCTGCAGGCAGTTACATTTGAATCAACTGATTAGGACAAGTGGTGTTGTGACCAGCACCTCTGGTGTGTTACCCCAATTGAGCGTTATTAAATATGATTGTAACAAATGTAACTTTGTTTTGGGACCGTTTTATCAATCTCAAAATCAAGAAGTTCGTCCTGGTTCCTGCCCTGAGTGTCAATCAAGCGGCCCTTTTGAAATCAATATGGAACAGGTGAATAAGACCTTCATTATTGTGCCTCAATTACTTGGGCGTATTTCTTTCATCTGTAAATTGCGTGTAGTTTTTTTTTTTTTTTCCTTTCCTGTTCTGATTTCTTATAATTTCATTTCATGACTAAATAGCATTAGTGTTGTAATGGGTGGTAAAAGTTTTACTGGTGGTGGGGTTGATTAGTCACAGAAATCATTTTTATTTACTTATTTATTTTTATGTATATCTTTTTTTTAGACTGTTTACAAAAATTACCAACGGATCACAATCCAGGAAAGCCCAGGCAAAGTTCCCCCTGGAAGATTGCCTCGTTCCAAAGATGCTATTTTACTTGATGATCTGGTAGATCAGTGCAAACCTGGAGATGAAATTGTAAGTATCTTTTTTCTTTTCTTTTCTTTTTTTTTAAATAATAATGGAGCTAAAATATGCAAAGTGAAGCTACTTGGCACAGGTTGACCTTGAGCTCTGGCATGCATACATTATTTTTGCTCATTTTCCTTGTTTATAACAGTGCTTGGGAGGAAAGTGTGTAGAATGTGGTCATTGTCTATCTACAACACAAAGGTTCCATCAGTGAGCGTGCATGTGTATTAAGTATTTACCATTTAAGCATTAAAATTTTTTACTTTTTTATGTTAGTTACAAACGAAAAAAAAAACAATGAAGTATATTTTTTAAAGATTGAATAAAAATATTTTCCATAAGATGGCCAAAAAATAAGTCAATAATATACATACAGGCATCTGCCCTTTCGGGTGATACTGAGTCTGTACACTTATTTTGTAGCTGATCTCTCACACACGTGCGCGCATTTGAATATTTGAATAAAAAAATATTAAATTTTTGTCAAATAATTGTATTTAATATTCTTTTAAATTTACTTTGTTTTTTTATGTTTTGTTTTTTTTTTTTTTTTTGTTGGTTACACTTTTATTTATTATAAATGTGAAAATAAATTCAAGAAAATAGAAATTTTAAAAATGCATACATGTATAGTGTTTAGCAGAATTAAAGTAAAAACAAACATATAGAGCTTTTAAGTATAAAAAAAAAAAATGAAGAGATCAACCAATTCCACTGCCTTGGTTTCAATCTTTTGCTATCTTCAGTTGATTTCCTAACACTTCATTTTTTTATTTTTTTATTTTTAAGAAATGAATGACGTGAGGTGTGGTAGAAGGTGAGGAGGAGGGGAAGATCAAGTATTGAAAGTGTATAGGTGGGGCATTAAATGACATATACCTTTTTCATCCCACTTTATAGAAAGTTAATAGTTACTTTTTAGCATGTATGCAACAGGACATTTTCAATCTGATTCAAAAGTTTTTTTTTCTCCTTTGATTTCTGCACATAGTTTAGTAGAATTTCTAAGGCTTTCTAGCTTAAAAGATGGCTTATGATTGTATCACCTCTTTGAAGTTTCCCTCATTACACTCTATGTATTTTTTTTTATTTATTTATTTTTTTTTCTGGTCATTTGTATCTGCTTCAGTTATGCAAACACTATCTAATGGACATCTATTTTTATTTCTACAATTGCATGTTTCACTGTTAATGATGTCATGCTACACATTAGTTTTGAAATTTCTGGCGTTTTGTCTTTTTTATTGTGGTTTCTAAATTACTCGTACAGCTGTAACTTAATTTGACTGTTTTTATTAAATGTTTTATTTAATTCGCAATTTTTGGGGAAGTGATTCAGTAATTTGAAAAATATTTTCCTTATTTTATACTTGACCTCTAAGTTAAAAGCAGGATTAAACCAAATAATCTTTGTTCCCTGTTTTTTATTTGTTTTATTTGAGGTTTAAATTCCAGTTTGATTTTATACATCTCTTCTTTGAAAGTCTTTTCATATTCTTTCTTTTTATCTTTCAAAATTATTTCGCTAGAGGAATTTCTGGACTCATTTCCTTTGGGGATTTGCTTTATTATACTCGCAGAGTGATTGGATCTAACATTCACGTATTTTAATTTTGTGTTAGGTTTCATGTATGGGGAGACACTGCCAGTTTAAAGATTAATTCTACATCCAAATATTTGACAATTTTCTTATTCATTAAAAAAAATATAGCATTCATAAATTAATTTTTAATAAATAAAGCATTTGGAAATCATATATATAATTAATCTGGCACAAGGCTGCAGTAGTGAGTACTCAGTTGCCATCAAACCTACTCCCCTTATGTGAATGTTTTAAAAATTTATAACAATAAAAATGGTTTTGTCATAAATGAATAAATGGTCAGTATAAGTATTTCTGGAAAATAACAATTTCCCTTTTCAGGCAAGCAGTTTTTTTCATTAGTGTTTGATATCCAGAAATAAAGCATTAATAGTAATAAAATTAATTGTTCACTTATCTGTTCCTAGTTTGAGTTTCACAAAAATTACATCCACTTATTGGAAAAGAAAGGTTTAATACTGTAAATTTCTTGTTTTACACACTATTTTGATCAATACATTCTTTAAATGGGTGTGGCATTGGCTTTGAAAATTCACTTTTTATTTTCATCTGGAAAAAAAAGGGTCCAGAACTCATTGTAATTTTTAAATGGTCTTGCCCATTCAAAGAGTATATGGTGCAAGGCTAAGTTTGGTAAGCTCTTAACTGCTGAAATTAGTTTCTTATACATATAGACATGCTAACTATTGTTCTATCACAGTAGAACTCCAGTCAACTCTAAAGATTCCATCTTGTCTGTTCTCTAGTTCCCACTACTGACATGAGACTTAACACCCAGTCCTGTGGTTCTGTCAAGCAAGACTGTTTGACTTGAAAATATAAATAAGATTAGCTTTTGTTTCCAAGTGATAAATGAATTTTACTTCCTTCTTCTTTCTGGTTATTGTTGTTTATGATTGATTGACAGGAATTGACTGGAATTTATCACAACAACTATGACGGATCCCTCAACACAGCCAATGGTTTCCCTGTGTTCGCAACTGTCATCCAAGCAAATTTCATCAGCCGAAAAGATGAAAAACTTGCTGCTGCCAGTATGACTGATGATGATGTGAAGGCAATCGTTGCTTTGTCTAAGGATGAAAGAATTGCAGAAAGAGTAAGTCCAATTCTTTTCATTTCTTTCTCTTTCCACTCACCCTCTCCGTCCCCACTTCTGCTTGCCCTTGCCATTGTCTTTCATGTTTAATACTTTATTTGTTGAATCTGGAATCCAGTTTCTTATTTTTGTTTTCTTTGTTCAAATGTCTAAACTATATTTCCAAACTGTTGTCAAACACTGAGGTAGAATTAATTACTTATTCTTTCTTTTAATTTTTAAGTAAATGTTTCATTGAATTATTTTTATATTTTGATCCAATTTGAATTGTATATTTGAATAAGAGAACAAATTAACTTTAACAAAATATTTCTTTTCTTTTCTTTGTCTCTTTTTTTTTTTTCCTCTCTCTCTACAGATATTTGCCAGCATTGCTCCTTCAATTTATGGCCACGAAGATATCAAAAAAGCAATTGCACTTTCCCTTTTTGGGGGTGAATCTAAAAATCCAGGTAGGTAGACTGAAAACTTTCAACAGATTTTATTTGTGTTTTGTATAAACTTTGCTACTGCTGTATTGATTCCTGTATGTTTAGTACTTTTTTCAGTAAACATGAAGGTGTAACTTTGAGCCTGGCCTGGTGCAAAATATGGCCTGCAGGGTGCATGTGATCCACATGACTACTTGGTGTGGCTTTCAGGGGGTTCTCAAGATAGTCAATTTTTTTTTTTTTTTTTTTTTTTTTTTTTTTCTCTTCATCATAATAAATTTGTTCATTGATTACATCTGACTTTATTCAACCAATGTTTCCCTGTCTTTGTATATAATCCATTTAGCTCTCTGTACAGGAAACAATTTTTTTTTTTTTTTTTTTTTTTTTTTACACCATCCCTCACTCTCTATATGTCTTTTATCTCTCTCTCTCTCTCTCTCTCTTATATATATATATATATATATATATATATATATATACACACACACACACACACACAAATGGATAGGATAAAAAATTTACATACACACAATCATGAGAACATGACGGATAAGGGCCAAAGATTGCATAAACTGCATGGAACTCAGTAGTGTTATCAGCATTGAATATTATGTATATTCACTTCTATTTCTCTTTCTCTCTCTCTCTCTCTCATTTTTGGTAATTTACTCTTGTGGCTCATGACTAATTTTATGCAGTTAATGTAGTCCTTCGCATGTTTTCATTGTGCAATCATACCTTTGGGGCAAGTCATAATGCAGTATTCTATCTATTTCACATGAAGAAAACTTCTTAGCAATCGGAAGAAAAATAAAAAATGCAAAAATTAAAACCAACTTCCAAGTATCAAATTTGTCTGAAAGGAAATTAAAAGGTACCAAAAAGTGCATCAAACAATTACAGAAGGCAGCAATAAATAGGAGCAAGAAGAGCAACAAAGCAAAAACTATAAAGGATGGACTAACCTCCCTCATCAGGAGTTGATCAGTAAAAAAAAAAGATTTTATCCAATCTAACTAAAAAGGGTACATGAAGAAAACATACATGCTCAAAGTTTGCTTATTATTCATTATTATTGTATGTTTATCTGTTTCCCTACTTGGACTTGGTGCTCTTCTGCTCTTGAATGAACTTTCTGACTGAGAAACCTACATTGATAATATCGAGTGGGAAGGAATTGGGAAAATGTTTGAAAGAGAAATAGGAACACTATTTACGTTATTCGGACTACTGTCCTCATCTTTGTCGCCGTATTTATTACAACGTTTCGGCCATTGTATGCTCCGGCCTTCAGGTGGTTGGAATGTCGAACTGAACCCTTTATTTCGTTTACTGGGGTGGACTGTTCTAGTTCCACGTGCCATGTTTAAGTTATCAGTTATCTCCTGTTAATTCCCCTCTCCAAGTTCTCCACTGCCTTAACCGGGTATTGAACTCGCACTTGAGGACACATGGCACAGTGGATAAAGGCGTTGGTTAGATCCAGTGACAGGACCCAAAGACATCCATTAAACATGGCACGTGGAACTAGAACAGTCTACCACAGTGAGCGAAATAAAAGGTTCAGTTTGACATTCCAACCACCTGAAGAAGGCCAGAGCATACAGCGGCTGAAACGTAATAAATATGGCGACAAAGATGAGGACAATAATGTAAATAGTGTACATAATACCTCATCTCAGAAATATGAACAGATACTGAGAAATAGGAAGAAGTAAAAACTGTAAAATTGGTTAAAATGTAGCTAGTTTCCTGACATTTGTGAGTTCAGTCTCTAAATTGGGCAGTACAAAAAAAAAATCATAAACTCTGCTACAGTGGAAGCTGCACAGAACCATTTAGACTGGGAAGGATTAATTGATGCGAGATATAATCCTAGAAAGTTAAATGAGAAATTATCACAGAGGATTGAATTAAGGATTCAGTTTGAAATTGCTAGTCAGTTCCTTGACTCTATCGTGGTATAATAGAAATTTCTGTTTTTATTGTGATTGATGGAAATTAAACTTTATTTTAGCGTCATATCATCAAATAGGTTTTTCTTGCTCCAATCAATTTGTCTCCAGAACCTATTTTAGTCTCAAGGTCATTTTTTAGTTATCGAGAAAGTTTTGTGGATGTGTAAAAATCTTAAGCTTAGATCAACTTGACAAGCAAAGCAGTTAAGAAAAATGTTTCACTTTTATTGGAACTTTGGATGTCAAATTATGGAAACCATTCCTGATTAATGTCTTAGATAAAGTGCTGGAATTATTCTTTAAATTGTGTCAGAAATTATTGTAAACTGAAATTCATCTAAGAATTATTGAGGAAAAAATTGGAAAGATACAAATGTGAAAATACCTCGATAGAAAAGTTCTAATTTCAAGATGAACATTGACTTTAAATAATTTTCTTAAACTGGGTTTATTTGTTGTAAAATGATCTTAAAATAGAAAATGCTAAATTAAATATTTCTACAGTAGTTAATGGGTTTTGAGATGTGCTTCAAGTGAGTAATGTTTGGAATATGCTTTAGAACTTTAAAGGTAAGTTGAAATGAAAAGTACAACTGACACTTGAAGAAGCCTGGCAGTCCGATAACCGAAACATTGTGACTATAACAGTCAAAATGAGCATACTAATCTGAATGGTAAGATATATAATAATAATAATAATTGCTCATTTTCAAAACATTTGACATTGGTGTATATGATTAAGTGAATCCTGTCCTGACTGGAAGATCTGACCTACGGGTAAGCAGACAAATGACACCGCCATTATACAAGTATTCTGTTGTTTAAACAGCATGCTAAAATTAACTTGTAAATACCGAGTGCACAGATACTACACTGATCCTAAGCAGCAGTCTCAGTTCATACATAAATAACTTAACACAAAGCGATTCATTTATAAGCAACTGTACTCAAATTTGACCAATTCTTAAACACTGTCAGTGTGGCTTAAGCAACTCCTTGAAAAGAAAAATGTAAAATTAAAAAAGAAAAAAAGCTACTTAATACAGTATTTTATACTTTACTCAAGAATTCTACTAATTTAGTTACATTGGAATATCTTTTCTATTTGTTAGTCCCAAGCTTAAATTATTTCAGCAACTTTGACTAATTCTTGTACCAAACTAAAGCAACCTACTGTTGAAATCCCAAACTGCATTTTTTTTTTTTTTTTTTTTTTTTTTATCATTTTTGAGAGACACAATGTTTGTGTGTTTAGCCATACTGAAAAATGCAGTAATACCCTGCTTTACATTTTGGCTCATTGCAAATTTGCTTTTATGCCACTTTTCTACAGTAAATTGCAGTTCAGCAATCATCACGTCACTTGGCAACATCACTTATGTCATAAAGAAAGGGCATGAAATAAATTTATTTTCCTTTAAAATATATTAAATAAAATGCATACAAATTAACTATCAAAGCTTTATTGAGAGTCTTCCTCATATTTACACTAATTGTAAGATGTTTGTCATCATACCTGAGGTGTTTTTAAGGAAAAACCACAAGGCAAATAACCTTTTTCTGTTCATTATTTTTAAAAATATTAATTCAAGGACTGTTCAATTCTTTTGCACATTTCCACATTTTATAGCATTATGTCCAGTTTAAATCAAAAACCATGGAACCAATTAAGTTGGATATTTGTATAACTACAGATTATTTCTCTTTGTAATTTGGTCATTGATTTAAATTTTAATTTTTTTTTTTTTTTTTTTTTTTTTACCGATTTTTTAATGCAATGACAATTGAATGTGTCTTTAATCATTCAGAGAATGATGTCCATTTCAAGGGACCATGCCTTGTATAATGGGTATAATCTAGCTTACCTTTACACATTAAACAAAAACGTTAGAACTTGGAGATTGTGGTTACTTCAAATGTTTCTCTTTTTCTTCAGGTGGAAAGCACAAAGTAAGAGGAGACTTAAATGTTTTGATTTGTGGTGATCCTGGAACTGCCAAATCCCAATTCTTGAAGTATGTTGAAAAGATTGGACACCGTGTCGTCTTCACTACAGGCCAGGGAGCATCTGCAGTTGGTTTGACTGCATATGTGCAAAGAAACCCAGTATCCAGGGAGTGGACCCTGGAAGCTGGTGCTCTGGTTTTGGCTGATAAAGGAATTTGTCTCATTGATGAGTTTGATAAGGTAAATATTTCTATAAGTGAATTGTGTGTTCTATAAACTTTACATGCACCCCTAAATATAAAGTGACAAAGTGGAAAAAATTCTTTGTAGTGTGTTTTATCCTTTAGGGCATCATTGGAGTAAAGTAATGTTTTTGTGGATGGAATTATATATGTGTATGAAGGAGAAGCGGAAATTAAGTGTCAGTTATAATTATGTACTGACAGGAAATACTGAAAATTTAAACTTTAAAAAAATTTTTCTTTCTTTCTTTAAAGTCCCTCTCTGATTTATCTGGGCATGTAGTTTAGCCAATTTCATTGTTTCTTCATGCTTTTGTTTTTATCATTTTTATTATTAGCTAAAGTTATTCACAATTACTTCTGAAACAATGACTTAATACAAAACAACAAGTTAAAACTTGAAGGGTGAATTTATTACCTGTAATAATTGCCTCGAGGAATACATAGGAGAAACCTCAAGGAATTTAAATAAAGTTTATATGAACACAAAAGGGATCTTTTACAAAACAACACTCATTGCATTGGTTGTTCACCATAATGAATCTGGCTTTAATTTTTATTAAATTATTATTTTAAAAAGCTATTCAGCTTACTCAGGAGTTTTCTTGTGACAGCTGAGACTTCTGCAGGTTTTCTGACACTCTGCATGTTAAATTATTTCCAGCATAGTACTGATCATAATTTGTGAAGGGTCTATCAACATGACGTGTGGCTGACAAGTCCTGCATTGGAGAAAGATAAAAAAAGTAAAAAGATAGATTGCTGGAACAATGATTCCCCTTTTCCAAGCATCACGCTTGACATTTGCCCAACTGGTTGCATGTTCTTGGAAGATCTTACTGCCTTCATTAATTGCATGTCGCCACATATTGATGTTATTGCCTGCCATTTAGATGCTCCTCAATTTCCCCACTGAGGGTTATCTGTATCAATGATTCCCAATGTGAGGCACATGCCTCATTGGTGGGGCATGTGTGGGATGTGCACCCTTCAGCTTGCTATATCAACATGAGCTCAAATTTCATTTTGCATTATTATTTCATGATTAAAATGATCAAAGTATATTACAGAATAAACTTTCATTCAAATATTTTATATTTCTGCCTTTCAGTTTTATTGTTTTTATTAATTTTTCGCTTTCATGGACGCCATGGTCTTTGGAGGTTTGTTTAGAGACCAAGTTAATGTCCTTTTAAGCTTCCTTCATATGAATTGCAGTAAAATTTTGAATATGTGAGAATTAAATATTACAGGGGGTGCGGGCTACCAGAATTTTAGAAATACCAAAATGGGGCATGACCCAAAATCGGTTTGGAATCGCTGGTCTATATAGTAGGCTGCAAGAGACTTTTTTAATCCTCTCTTTGTCTCATGTTGGGACCAAGTGACATATTTATCTGTATACACACAGCTACATATACATCCATGAACCATATAAAAGATATATAACCAAAATATATGTGGAGGGTTGGTAATTTTGGCACAATGACCATTATAGAAAAGTCAGTGTGCTATAAAATAAATTTCTCAAAGTGCATTAATAGTCTTTGAATCTCTCTTTCAGATGAACGACCAGGATCGTACAAGTATCCATGAGGCCATGGAACAGCAAAGTATTTCCGTATCAAAAGCTGGCATTGTTACTTCTCTTCATGCTCGATGTGCCGTGATTGCAGCAGCCAATCCAATTGGAGGAAGATACGACCCTTCACTAACCTTTGCTGAAAATGTAACCCTTCAATTTTTTTTTTTATTATTATTCAATATGAATCTTTTTGAATTTATTGAAAAACTTATTCAATGTAGTGTCTATACATGTACAGGATGTTTAGAAAGTCACTATGCACTTATGTTTTTATCAGCAGATATTTAAATATAAAATACAGGATGAGAATATGAATGAACATTGTTATCACTGCTTTTAGGTCATCCAGTGTGTGTGGAGGATCTTGATACACTGCAGATTTTGCTGCTCTCCATTGATAAGTCTGGATTTAGATCGGGCTAGCATGGGGCCCACACATCTTTGGAAATAATGCAGTCTGGAAAAGTTTTCTCCACAACTGCATAGATCTGTGAGATGTGTGGGCCGTAGCACCATCCTGTTGACACCATGAGTCATTGATTTCCTCACTTTTCATCTGATCGATGACTGTGGGAAGAATCCCCCGAACAATGGCGCTTGCTGTTTGTGTTCGTAAAGAAAATAGAGCCAACAATTTGATGGCTAGAAATTGCAACCTACACTCCAGCTTTGAGATCATGTAGGGATGTTTCTTGCAAATTAACATAACCCAAAAGATGGAACCATTCTTTGTCGGTAAAATATGTCACATCCAACACATTAGAAGTATTCATTCTCTTTGATAAATCAGTTAAACTGTCCACAATAGCACAGTTGCTTTCAGTTGTTGTATTTTGTATATGAGGAGTTAATTTTTATCTGATGGTTATATGAGTAGTTCCAAGACTAATGCCTGGCTGCTGCATTAACTTTGTAATGATTTTCTTGGACTCTGCTGCATACTGTAAGAAATATCTAACAGTTTCACCTACAACGCTTGGCATTGTTCACTGATTGTGTTTCCTGAAATTTATCAACAATTTTACGAACTGCATTGCGATGTGAAACGGGTATATCTCTGGAAATTTATCAGCAAAATGCAAATCTATGTATCTACCACCTTCCGAAAATACGTGTTTTTCAGTTGTTAAAACTATATTGGCGAAATCGGAAGTATAAAAAATATTTTTAAAAAGTGCACAGTAACTTTCTGAGCACCCTGTATTTGATGTTGACATGCAGTTGACGATTTACTTGAAGAATTTTTATGATATTCTTGTTCGTTTCATTGATCAAAACTTGCATATCAATGTTTTGCCAAATAGAGGCTACAAGTTCAAAGTCTGCGAGGGTAAAATTGTTAAATCTCAAATTTTAAGAATTAGTATAGATGAATGACCAAGGCTGTAAATATTAGTTTAAAACTTCTTTGCTTAGATAGCAGTAATTGGTTAAAATTGGTCTATGCGTCGGGAGCCTCATTAATAAGGTACTCAGTTCTTAAGCCAGGAATTGGAAAATACTTTTTTATTGTCTCTCTCCAAAAATTTAATAATCACAGGCAACAATTGGTTTAAATTTAACTCAAAGTAACTACCTGTCATTCCTTTGATGTAAATGAAAGTTATAATCTAGATGTTCTTTCAATAGTTTTTTTTTTCTTTCTTTCTTTCTTTTTTCCCCTGTGGAGGTGTGTGATAAGATAATGCCTTTCACACTTTTTCTTTCATAATATTTTTTTTTTTTTTTTTCTCCTCTCTCCTAGGTTGATCTGTCTGAACCAATTTTGTCTCGTTTTGACGTCTTGTGTGTTGTAAGAGACACAGTTGATCCCATCCAGGTGAGTTTGCTTTTTATCTATTTCTTACTATCAATGAGGTGGCATGGTGGAGTAATGGATAGCGGCTCGGATAAAGGAATCGGAGAGCTAAGTTCAAATTCCAGTCAAATCCATTACATTCACTTACATGCTAATACCCTTGGGAAAAGTGTGAATCTTCTTCTTCTCCCTCCAGCTAAGGGTAAATAGCAGAACCAACCGACTTATTCCATAAAACGAACCAAACTATTAATTAGGTCGTCAATTGTTTTTGAGTTGTTTCTGTATTTCTCCATTTAGCAAATTCTCTGTTAAAGCAAAATAGTTTTGCTGCTTTCTTTCTTTCTTTTTTTTTTATTATTATTATTATTATTAAATAATTGATTTCTGTTTGTTTTTTTTGTTTTGTTTTTTTTTGCTTCCCTCTTTTCCTATAATTTTTTTTCCCCTCCCAGAAACACACACACTGATAAGAAAAATAATTTGTATGGCAAAAAGAATTAATTTCAAAATTGCAGATTAAAATCAATTTTTTTTTTTTTTTTTTTTAAGGATGAACGTTTAGCGAGATTTGTGGTCAGCAGTCACATGAAACACCATCCAAACAGCAATGATGACATCCAATGGGACGAAACAATGGTAGGCTTGATATTTCTTTCAGATTAGCAATTTAATCTTTGTGTCAGGAACAGAGTTGCTTAATGTGTGTGTGTATTTGTTCTTTATTCAGCATTATGTTCTGACATTTCAGGTTTCTTTAAATGTGTCTGGGATTGAACCAATTCCTCAAGATCTTCTCAAGAAATACATCATTTACTCCAAAGAGAAAGCCCATCCAAAGCTCCACCAAATGGATCAGGACAAAGTAGCCAAAATGTATTCAGAATTGAGACGAGAATCTATGGTAAGGTGGTTTTTTTTTTGGTTTTTTTTTACTTATATATTTCTCTTTATCATTCTGTCTCTCTATCTATCTCTCTCCTCAAAGTGACATCTGAACTCTTACCTTATTATTCCTTTGTTCCTTTAGGCCACTGGTAGCATCCCCATCACAGTGCGTCATATTGAATCCATGATACGAATGGCTGAGTCCCATGCCCGAATGCATCTCCGGGATTATGTCAATGAAGATGATGTCAATATGGCCATTCGAATTATGCTTGAAAGCTTCATCAGCACCCAAAAGTTTAGCGTTATGAGAAGCATGAGAAAGGTAAGATTTTTTGCTAATTTTAATCTTATTCTCTGACAACTAAATATTTTAAAGCTGGGTGGAAGGTACTGGAAAAGGTGGATTCATGCCTTTTCCAGAATCTCCAGCCAAAATTGTCATGTGACCTTAGATGCTAATTTGTTGGTATTACTATGGTAACAAACATTTAACTGGAATTGCAGTAATTACTTTGAAATATGTCTATCTTTTTGAAAGAGAACATTGATGGGTAATGCACATCAAATTAACTCTGGCTTTCCTCATCAAAGGAATTCTTACTCGGTGTGATGAGCAGGGTGCTGGAACATTCACAGCCTGGCCCCCTTCACACAATTACTGATTAGCGATTTTTGGGAAGTTAGAGGAGTCTCACTTTTATTCTCTATATATATTTAACAAATCCTGTCTCATTTTCACACACACATCCTGGTGCTAACAAGTTCTTTGTTGGACCCCAAACATTAAGATATTTTCAGGGAAGTGTTTTTTGGTGTAACTGGATATTTTTTTTTTTTTTTTTTTTTTTTTTTTATTGTGAAAATTCCCTTAAGTAGGTTTGTAGTATTAAAATGAATTGAAGCAGATGAGAAAAATCTTGGAAGAATTAGATTACATTGATCCCTCGTTTATCGCAGTAGATTGGTTCCGAGACCGGCAGCAATAACTGAATTTCCGAAGTAGGGATGTCATATTTACAGTATTTATTTAACGTGTATTTGGACTTTTAAAACCCTCCCTGTACTGTTAACAACACACCCATTACAGTACTCTATTAATAACAAGGACAACTGTTAAGCAATAACCCTTTAGATTAAAAAAAAAAAAAGACTGTTACTGTATTCAACACGAAAGAAGTTGAAGTAGAATTTGAATGATGATGGTGATGAATTTGCTGCGCAGTAGAAATGAAGCTGATAATGACTTCTACTGTGCAGCCAATAATTGTATTTTACGTCTCTTCAGATAGCGGTGCCCTTTCTATTGCTATTTTGTGCTTGTTTTGTTGTTCCTAGACCAGGAAATAATATTTATTATTAATATTTTAATGGGTTTAATGAAAAATTTTAGGTGTTCATATATCGAGATTTTTCTAGAATGTTCTAAAAACTCCGTGATATGTTTTCCATATATATATTTTAAAAATCCGCAAAGTCGTGAATCCACGATAGTAGAACCACGAATTAGCAAGGGATCACTGTAAATGGGGGTGAATGAGAAGAAACCAACTCCAAATCTTAATTAGAACCCATAAATAATGGAATAAAGAATCAGTAAGGACCAAACAATTCTGCAGGAGTAAGAAATTCCAGTCCAACTATCATCTCCTCCTCTAGAATGCAGCTAGAGTAGCAAAGGGAGAGAATTCTATGGCTACAGTTGTCGCCTGCAGCAGGGTAAAGGTTAAATAAAAAAAAAAAATGTAAGTCAGTCAATATAAATTTCATACTATTTGCTTAATTCTATTTTGAATTATAGGAAGGGTCAATTAAACTTGTCAGGAGGTATCAGCAATTGTTTGCTGATTTTTCTCATTTTCATTGTTTTTGAGGGTTTTTTTTCTTCAATGAGCTTTTTATTGGTGCTTGGTTGATCTCTCTCTCTCCCCCCCTCCCATCCTTTGTGTGCACATGTAGAATGCCATTTCTTCTTTTCATAATTTTTAGGTCTCCTTATACTCTGATTATTCCTTTTTTTTTTTTTTCTTTTTTCTCTCTCTCTCTCTCTCTCAGCTATATAGAATTATATATAAATTATCTGTAAAATGCTAAAACTTATAAAAGAAATAGTGAATGACTCTACAGGGTTTATTTGGGGAACATAGTAAGCAAATAGTTCTGTTTAAAGCCATCCAAACCCTGCCACATGGGGGCCCCATTCGTTGCATGCAACACTAGACGATTCTCAATTTCTCTGCATGTTTTTCAGGATTCCCTCCTTATTAATGGTGGATATGGGTTGGTGTATTCTTTTCTTCAGATCATTGAGTTCTTGAACTCTTCTATGACAGATTTTTTTTGTCTGTAACATAGTCCCATAAGATCTCTAAAGGGTTAGCTCTGGTGATATGGGTAGGCAGGGAACTGGACTGCCTCTTCCAGTTCCTTGGTTTGGAAATGTTTCATTGAGAAACTCAAACAGCCAATTCCCAATGAGGTAGTACAGCACCGTATTGGAAAATCTGTTGGTTACAAGTGGTGCATCTACAGTACAATAAATTCTTGTAAATGATCACAGTAACTTTAAAACCTCTTTGAGTTCTGTGTTACTGAGCAATTTTAACCCCTTTGCCTGAGCTCCTGAGTCAAAATTAAAAAATAATTGGTATGTAATGTTTCACGGTAGATATAAAAATAGTTTACCCACCATTCAACCGGTGGCTGGGCATTATGTTATTTTTTGTTTACCACTGGTAAAGTGGTGGTCAGGGCTCAAAGGGTTTAATAGATACAATAAACTGAAAGTTGTAGAGATAATTTATGGACACTCTATATGCGTTTGTCAAGTTTACTCTTTCTCTTCAATCTTCACAGGATTTCATTGTGCTTGGCAAGTCTTCATGTTGGCATCCTGTATCCTCTTATAATTGTTAAATATATGTTTTGAAAGAGTGACCTACATTTTTGTGTGTGTAACAATGTCAAATGTGTCTTTGAGTAGGGATATTGTTTTCTAAAAACTTTTTTCTTTTCTTTCATTCAGACTTTCAGCCGTTATTTGGCTTTCCGAAAAGACAACAATGAATTGTTGCTGTTTATCCTGAAACAACTCGCCCAGGAGCAAATGACATTCCAAAGGAATCGTTTTGGTATCCAGCAGGAACAGATTGAAATAAACGAGAAAGATTTGGCAGACAAAGTAAGCATTACAACAATTGGCCAAATTTTTTGCTTCATTCATTTTACAATTTCAAAGAATTTATTAAAATTGACTAAAATAACTGCTTGTAATTAAAAGTAAATTGATTGATTGATGAATATTTCTGGCAGAAGAAAACTAATTGGGTTATATAAGTCTATTCCGTCAAAGGCCAAAAAGTTGATCCTTAATTGCTGTTGTTCCCAGGTCCACACTGACCCCGGGTGGTAGCACCTGTTAGGGACCCAGCTATGTGCAAATAGCGAACTCCCCTCCCCCCAGAAAAAACACTATGAAAGTATAAAAATACGTTTTTATGAAAAAAAAAAATAAATAAATAATACCAACAGTACCTATTTATAGTAAAATTACGAACAATACATTTTAGCAGTAGTTGAAAGCATACAATTATGTTCAAAATATATTTAGTTGAAACGATAAAATTGTGTTTAAAGTTCGGCATTAAATAACCTATAGAGGTGTTGTTATGCCACTAAACAAAATCAGCCAACTGACCAAAAGGCGTTTAATAAGACAAGACTTTTAGCCTAACTCCATAATACTTTAACATGAAATGTAAATAGTGTAGATTTATATGCAAAGGTGTCTGCCACAGATGCCATAGACTACCAATATTGTAAAGTTGGGGAGAGTCTTAAAAATGCCATCAAATATAGTAAAATGTACTGCATTTACTTTTCCTTTCCTTCAGTTATTTACACTCTACTAAGGAGTTTGGATTCACAGCTCATGTTACTGTGGTTTCCATAGCTAATAATGTTTTACAGGATAAAGTTGTTAACCACATGCCCAGCTTATTTTGTATTCTGTGTTCCTATTCAAATACTTGACTGGGTTCAACACTGCTTAACTGCAGTGATCAAATGAGAACTGGTGTTGCAACATGATTTGACTATAAGCCTTTCCTATTTCCTGCCTGTCACATAATAATTTAAATGGGGTGGGGGAGATCACTTAATAATCATCAGTTCATTATTTTATAACTTTTCCTTGGAAATTTATAAATTACAAAAATTCTACTTTAGCAAGTATTATATAAACCAATGAACTTTACCATGACAATTTAAGTTTGATAATAAAAAGTTCTTTATTTTGGTAATTTTTGAATAAAATTCAAATTAAATGGTTATATAAAAAAATGTTATTAAAACTAAAATCACACATTAGAGGATTTTAAATTTGATCTGAAAACAGAGCAGATCTGATTTCAGTGTGTTGTCTGAAACATCATTTGAGCCAGATTTATGAAGAGTGGTTCATTTTTAGTTTGAACAAGAACACCACTTCTTTTTTTTCTGTTTGCTTTATTTATATTAAATTATTTGATTGATTTTTTTCCTTTTCTTTTAGGCCCGGCAAATAAACATTCACAACCTGACAACATTTTTTGATAGTGACCTTTTCAAAGCAAATCGTTTCAATCATGATGGCAAACGAAAAATGATCATTCAAACCTTGTAAAAAAAAAAAAAAAAAAAAAACAATTATTTAGCACACAAATAAATGATCTGTACATAAATTCATACAAACTGACATTCAATCCAGTAAAGAAAAAGAAGAAAAAAAAATGGAATCACTTCATTGCCAAACTTCAACCTGATTGGTCAGCTCAGCTTTGAGGTGGGGATGGGGGTACAAATGGCTTCATTTGAATTTCAGATTCTGTCATTTTACTCTTCTGTTAAATATTGAACCGATTTTCTTTTTGTTATCATTCATTAATAAATAAATTTAAAAAATTAATCTGTATTTTTGTCTAAATTTTTGAGAAGACGAATTATCACTATACACTTGTCTGTTCAGGCTGTTGTTCTCATCTTGGTTTATGGCAATATTATAAACCTGCACTTTGTGGATAACAGTTGTAAACTAGAGGGAATCGACTATAACAAGTATAATATAAGTTTCCGCTATTGGATCACTAAGCAGTTGGCTCATCTGGTCGGTTGGATTGGGTTGTGTTTATAGATTTTGTCCTATTGTTCTTTCTTGTTTGCTTTAAAAATAAATCCATTATATATATATATTGTGAGGGAGAATATTTGCCTACAAGTTTGGACTCTGCCATCAGATGAAAAACATAAAAATACTACATCAAAGAGAAGCAGTAGCTTTTGCTGAAAACAGTCATTCACGGCTAAACATTCTCATCCCTAGTTTCTATTCTACATTATGTTTCCCTGTACCAAAAGCTAATAAACTTGTTAAACCAATTTCGGTTTCCTACTGTTGTTTTTGATAATTCAGTTACAACATATATAGACAAGGAGTTTCCTAAATAACATTAACCTAAAATTTGTAAAGAAATTTCTATGCTTGGAAGTACTTGAAAACACTGTTCTTTGGGTGATAAAATTACAATTCACATCCAAAAGCTACTCAGGATTTTAAGAATCTGGAAGACTAGGCAGAGAGATATTAAAAATACTAAGATTGTGGTTTATAGAGAATGTGTGCTCTCTTCATTACTCTTGTAAAACCTTGGTAATAAACCAAAAACATATCAAAGCCCTGGAAAGAGAGCAACAAAACCAGGAATAGATTATATCTGAGTACTGGTTGATATTAAGTCATGCTTGGAATCAGATTGAGTTCTGTTGTACCCTTTGCAGGAGATGGACTTGTCTGTTGTGTGGTTCGTATGCCATCTATTTCTATTGCCAGCCACCACTTCAGGATAAGTAAATGAGCAAAGGGTTGGTGGATGGTGGGGCTGAGATGTTAGTTCAATATAGAAGTTGTATCACCCAACCAGATCAGCAGACAAGGACTGAATAACATCTATTTTATATGGGAAACTCCACATTCTTATTCCTCAATGTCACATTTGACATTTTGTTCTTGTGAGCAGCTGCGGGCCCTTTCCCAGATTTCACTGGAGATTGAGAATTGAAATGTAACGTGGACGGGGGGGATCATTGGCTAGTCAGTAGAAACTTGGATGAGAGTCATAAGTTTATGCATCGATACACATTTCTATCAAGTTAGAACGCTATTTATGCCTTTATGATAAAGCATTAATGGTTTGGATGCTTAGAAATTTTGGAATGCACTTTCTTCATCTTTGCAACAACTTAAAAATTTGTCACAATGCTTAAAAAAAAAATTTAGTCTATGGATGAAAGATAGGAGAATGTGGCAAAATCTTGTATCCCAAGTTAATTTTACAGTGTTGTCCTGGTAACATGTGGCCAAGTATTGTCATGAAGCAATCAGACCTCATCTATTAACCAATACCAGTCACATTTTGCTTAACTGAATGTTCATTTTATCCGATTGCTAGCAGTGAGGCTTTGGTTAGATTCCAGAAAGCTGTAATGTCAGTCAGTCACCATAATCTTCTGTTGGTACAATTTCAGTTTTGGAAAGTGTTTGGGTCCTTTGTTATGATCAAGCTATTGAGCCGATTGTATATGATTATCATAAAGGATCCATTTCTCATCACCAGTCACTATTCAGTCAAGAAAGGAATCCTTCAAATTTTGCAGATACAGCGTCGAACATACTTCAGAATGTCAAACTCTGACTTTTAACTAAATTTGTATGGAACCCATTTATTGAGTTCCTTCACATTGTCAATTTCCTCAAAAATGGTCTCATATTGTTGAAATGCTGTCACCTATTATCTCTGATATGGGTTTTGTTTGACAAGTGTTTGCAGATGTTGATTGTCAAATGCAGATGGATGTTCTCTATCACTTTAATCTTCAAGACTCATGTCCCCACTGTGGAACTTCATAAACCAACACCATACTGTCTGCTCACTGGGGGATCCTTCTCTCTATGTTCTGTTAATGTTGGTAGAAGTTTGAGAAGCATTAAGACAAGGCTTGAACACTTGCAACAACAACAAAAAAAGTAAATGGATTTCTCCTTTTTCCATGTTCAAAATGACGGGGTATAATGTTTAAGTTATTCTAAAAGAGGTTGAATATAAAATTAACAAAGAGAATACTTTAATTATTTAGAATGAGTAATATATTTTTGTGCAACTATTAGAATAATATATTAGAACACAAAAGGTTTATCCTAAAATTGGGCATTATTTTCTGAACCATCTAATATGGGAATTTTCCTACATTGAAAAAATTTTCAAAATTACTTGGTCATTAGATGTGGATACTTAGAATTTTATTTACAATATTTTAAATTGGAAGGGAAGGAATAGTATAAAGTTTTACTCTTATTCTTTTGAAAACCTAAAAAAAATTTCAAGCTGGGTAGAGTTAGTGCTCATTTAAATGTGGGACTTACAAAATTAATAAAATTTGAAATGTCCTCGTCATAGGGATACAGTGATAGTTCTCTTGTAGTTGTGATATTCTGCCTCCTGTCAGCAATTGAGAAGAATGTTTGTGAGGAGGACTAAGTGGCAAATTTTGGTTAACATCGATGTGACACAAGCTTGGTCTGCATCTCTTTTGTGGTTTGGTTTCAGAATAAATTGTTAGTTTTTAGTTTGTCATGTCCAGAATTTTGTTAGCCACTTGATATTTTGAAATCACCTTCTTCTCATCTGCAAATGTTAATTATTAAGGTTATCACCATGTTTGTGTGACTATCCTGACAATACGTTTTTTGCTTTTATTTAGCTTGCCAGAATCACTCAATTATCTTTTCAAATTACTGTAGGTTTGAAATTCTGATTAGTAGACAATAATCCAATGGCAGTTTTCCACCTCAATCCTTTCTTTACAAAACATTCAAATTTTATTACACTGAGCCAGACATAGCATTGCCACAAATAGACTTAAAATCAAGGCATATTGAGAATAGTCCATTTGAACACCTAATTGTTCTTAATTTTACGTGGCATATTATTATATTATTTTTCTTTTCCTTTTCTTTTTTTATTTTTATAAATAGTCTTACTTAATTAACAAGTCAACAGCTATCATATATATATTTTTTTAAGGACAAACATGTTTTGTGTGTCTTAATTCTACTGATGAATTTTTCAAAATTATGAATGATCCTTCTCGGACAATGAAGAAATTCCGACAAATTGTCTGAAGTTCATTTCAGAAGAAATATGATCCAAGCTTTTGACCTTAAGTTATCATAAGGATCATAGTAACATGAGACAGATACTCACGAATAATAGCAAAATGAAATAGTAAAAAGAGACTTATGATCCTCAAAGCAATACTTATGCAACAAAAACAACCATCTATAAAAGACCCTGCATCCTCAAATGTTTATAAATCATACTTATTATAAAAACCCAGGTTGTGTGTGTCTGTACGTTTATATATTGGATTGGATTTCCTACATTTTTCAACTGATTTCAACAAAACTTCACAGGACTACGTAAAATCACCTTGCGGTGGTTCTGACAGTGCCAAAAATTGGAAATACACAATTGTTTTTGCACAAAATCAATTTGAAAACACAATTAAGAGGCATCGCTGTTGCGAGAATGAAAGGGGGACAATTCATATCAAGTTATACTTACATTAAACCCAGGTTGTTTGTGTGTGTGTTTGCTTATATATGGGATTGGATTTCCTACATTTTTCAACTGATTTCAACAAAACTTCACTTTTTTTTTTTTTTTTTTTTTTTTTGGCAGGTAGTGTTTCTTATTGTCTTGCACACTTTTTTCTTTATTTTTACATTCAGACTGCTTTAAAAATTCCATTTACAAGACAATTGTTTATAATAAAATTCTATTCCATCGATAGACTCATAACGATTGAAAACAATGTTTTTGTTTGACTTTGGATTTGACCAATTCGTAAAAAAAAAAAAAAAAAAACTAATTAAGACATGCGTGTCCGTCAACCTTAAACAATAATCTTTGTCAATTTTATTTTTCAGTCTTTATGATGGTCGATACTTGATCTATCTCTTACTGTTACATCCCCGGGCAACGCCGGGCTCTACTGCTAGTAAATAAATAAAAATTTGACAAAAAACACACCTGTCACACCTTGCCTACATCACAACACTCGCTATTTGTCTCTTACCTACTCTGATGATGACTTAAGAAAGTCAAAAGCTGGGACCATATTTCTTCTGAAATGACCTGAAGACAATTTCTGATGGAATTTCCTTCCTGTTTGAGAAGAATCAATCCGTGATTTGGAAAAGTTGATCAGTAAAATTAATCAACACAAAATGTCTTTTATAATAATTGTCTTAAAGAACATTTGCTGCCTAAATACCTTGGATCCAGCACCTTAGATGGATTGGTTGTCCTGACTGTTAATGTGCAAGTGGCGTAATGGATTTGTTACACTTTTTAATCAAGCTCTCTATCTGATTCATAAATACATTTCACCAGGTATGTCAGCCGGATGTGAATGTTAAGAAAACAAAACACAAAATGAAGAAGTTGTCTTCCATACAGGGGCTCCAAGCATCACAGCCCACAAAACAAATCCCTTGCAAAAATCCCAAAATGCAATTGTCAGTCACAAACATTTACACAAAAAAGTATGTGGCTGTGAGCTTAATAACTTTCAAAATAAAGATATATAAATGATACTCATCACTGATGACATGCAGTTCGGCTTCAACACTTTGGCCTTGTCACACGACTGCCAGATCATCAAACACTTCACCACAGGCGTCTCTCCTTATACCAACTGTAACCTCGGCTAAACCAACCCAAGAAATCCGTCAACTCTCAGATCTATCAAGAACACCCTTACATCTAATGGCTTTCCTTCTCAACAGCAACTAAGGAATCACATATGTACAATTTTTGCCACTTTTCACACAGCTATGTACATATTCTGAATTTTGACCATTACCCATTGTTGAAATCTTAATCTATGTTTGTTCCTTTCTTTGCAACCAAATGCTCATTATAGCTCAAGATGTGAAATCAGAGAGCCGAGTTTGAATTCCAGTTACATTCACATATGCTCAAATATCCTTTGGAAAGGTGTGAATTTGCCTTTCTTTCTCTTTTCTGCTCTCTTCTTACTCAGCCAAAACGTGATCTTCAAGAACTCTCGTCTTGACCTTGCAGTCAGATGATAAAGAACATTCCTTGCCAACATATACACATATCTCTTTGTGACTCAGCTAAGTTCAATCAACCAGGACTCTGTTGATTTCTCTAACACAACACACTTTCTGATCAATTGTATTCTTGTGTTATTTATTCTAACAGCAGACTTGTTCTAACATTGATTCCTGAACATCAAATTACAAATTACTTTATTACAAATCAAATTACAGTAAAAGGGAAGCAACTTCTTTTCCGTTAATCTATACATTGAATACAAATTATTGTATATTTTGTTCTTGTATGTTATTTCAATATATACTTGTTGGTTCACATTTGGAGTTTTGTTGTTTTCTTGAATCATTAATAATACAAAAAAATATAAATTCATATCTTTGTCTTGCTTTAAAGGTTAAATAGTAGGAAAACTTTAGCCTTGCTTGGGAATCTCTAGAAGAAAGACAACTCTACATGCAAAACCTGAGGAGGGCTGTTTGGCAACCTCATGACACACAAGTGCATCAGGTCTCTGCATTCAGTTTCTTTGAAAAGTGTGGTTGGTTCTGCACAAACCTTCACAACAATAATCAAGTCACATGTGCAGGTAGTTTGGTTCTAAGAACTGGGCTGCTGGTCCATCATATTTCAAGAGTTTGTGATGAGGATCATCATCACACATATACATACATACATACACAAATTCAAATTATACAACAAGCATTCATTGGATAATAAATCAACACTACTATGTAATGTGACAATTTTATAATCGCTATATTTTCATGTAGTCAATTTTGTGCACTTTTGGGATAATCAGATCCTAGAAGTTTTTCGTGAATCTCCCCAAAACTCGCTTGCTGATTGGTCAATGCCAACCAATCAGATTGTCTGCACGTGAAGAGTGATTTTTCCCGCACAGCACTTTTGGAGCTGATGATCACCTATATAAGCAAAGAATATTCTTAGTAAATAAGTGAGATTTCAGCTGCCACAGGAATCCACAACAGTTGAAACCATGTGCCAATCTTCTCACTCATACCACCACTCACATGCTGAATATTCCCTATACTCACATAATCTTTTTTCTTATACAGCAAAACTGTTGAAAACACTTATTACCAGAAACTATTACAACCTGTTTCTTTCAGTGAACTTTGGAACGATTGATAGTTAAAGAGAGACAACTCTTGTTTTACTCAATGCATGCTTTTCTTTCACATCCTTGTTTGTACATCTTGTTAAATACAAATTTTATGTGTAATGATGTCTTTGGCTTATCCTCTTTTTCTTCACATCAGTTTAGTTTTCTAATCTAAGTTAAATCAATATGGTGAAGTCGGCCACAAGTTCATTATATATTTAGGCAATAAGTAAGTTTTGGTAAATTCAGCCTGCAAGGCCTGTTGAACTTTTGCTGTATTTTCCCATTTCTCAAATAAATTGTACATCAAAATCAAAATTGTGTATAAACTGTCCATAGTTCACATTTTTGTTTGAGCATTTTTTTCTCTCTGTCATTATCAAGAACTGGATGTTGTCAGTAGAAAAGCATTTGTTGGCCACTTGTCTGCAATGCTGACAACACCCAGTTCTTGATAATAACTGAGATGGTTGTGAGTACTTGAATAAAACAGAACAAAAAGTGAATCTTGGCTGGTTTTCTCACAAATCGGAAATGTAAAATAAAAATTAAACAGATTAAACTCACTGGTTGAATTTCACAAAACCTGTTTACTATCTCTATCTATTTATCTATCTTTCTATCTAGATAGATATAGCTTGCTATATCTATCTAGCTATCTCTCTCTTTATATACCTATATACTAGCTTGGGTTAACAAGAACTACAGCACATTACTTGATGAATGTCAACTTAACATCAAGAAGATAATTAGAGAACTAGAAAGGATTATTATAAAATAAATAGACATGTCTATATTATTTAATGAAACCTGCACAAATGAAGATATGCAGGCAAAATATATGTGTGTGTGTGTATTTGCTAATTTTTGTTTCCTATGTCAACAATGTGTAAAATTCTACACATATATTCTGGTCTAAAATAATTTTTTCTCAGTCAAAGGTTAAAAAATTTTAATCAATTGTGATTTTTTTTAAAGAAAAATAAAATTTCTACCCTCAAAAAGTGTATATATATATATATATATATATATATAGAGAGAGAGAGAGAGAGATATCGAATGTTCCCAGCAGTCTCTCTTTAGATGGGTAAACTTGTTATTTTTTGCCACTATTTGACTTATTCTTTTGATTCAAAAGGAATATATTCGCCTCAAATGAAAAATAAATAGGATTCGTTTGAGGCCCCTGGAGATAACTGCTTGTACTGCCTACGTTATATACAATCAAATGTTATACTCTCCAAAAACCTTTTCATTGTTGATTTGTGTAAATTATTTAAACATTGTTAGTTACAATTTTGTAGATATATTTCAAGTAATTACATTTTATAAATAAAATTTAGCAATTAAATGTTAACATTTTCAATTCGTCTTTATGAGTGAATTTGATTTGCTTGATGACGAGAGTAGAAAGAAAATGGCGCTTCCCATTTTACGAATTTGAGTAAAATTCCCGGTTCCGATTTTTCAAGAAAAGTTGTATAGTTTTTATCACGGCCGGTTTTTAAACTTATGAGCTTGGTTATTCCTTATTATTATTGTGATGGGGGACTTCGGACCGGACTCTGGCGGCAGAGTTAAGGTAAGCTTGAAATAAAACTTTTAGTTGAAACTACTAGAAAACTTCCTTTGTTTTTTAATATTGTTACTCAAATTGTGTTCGATAAATTCCATTATTTTCATTACTATTAAAAGCAAATAAATAAGTTTTTCTTTTGTTTTACTTACGTTAAAAACAAACAAACAAAACAAAAAAGAATTTTCACGCAATATGAGGCGTGATAAAATGTAGAGACACGTGACTCCTATGTAACAAAAAAATAATAAACAAAGACTTTTTTTTTATAGACATAAACAAATTATTTCTTTGGTGTTTTTTTTTCTTTTCTATTTGGTTAATGATCATTGCTACAAGGTGGCAGATCTGAGATTTAGTTTCATATATTCGGTTTATATGACGTTCGTCATCACCAAAAATAACATGAAAGAACTGCGGCCCTCTCCAAACAAATGGTTTGTTTTTGATTTGACAAAAAAAGAGAAACGATACCATATCAATCAATGCCCAGTAATTTGTGAAAAGCCGATTTTTCGTGCCCAAATGAGCAGCTGTAACTATATTAATTGATTATTTTCTCCAATAGATTTACAATTTTGTATGGAACTCTTTTTAACAAATTTCCATTCAATATTTTAATTTAAGCGGCGAGTGAAAAATGTCATTGTTGCCGCGATGTCGCAACAACTACGGAACTAGAATGAATGACTGAACTTTTTTTTTTTATCTAGTCTGCTTATTTTCGAAGTGTTACACAAAAGTTGAGTTGGGATTTTATGACATTTTCATAAAACTTAATTTCTTATTTCCAGTCGTGTTTTTTTTTAATTTTTTTACTGGTTATATTGTTTTTAAAAGAAACGTAGTGTTTAGTTTAAAGGTGAGGATACTAAATCTGAAGTAATAATGTTAAATTTTGAAATTAAGTTGGAAAAGTACAAATGAGGAAATTAGTCAATCAAAAATATTATGATTAAAAAACATTAATATTCATAATCTCAAGCAGAACCTATGCTGTGATGTAATTTAATGACCATGAACAGGTCATATCAAATGACCATGGGTCATGTCATTCCTTCACCTCTCTAGTCTACAACTCTACATCAAGAAAACCGTTCTCAGAATTTTGGTTGTCCCAAGCATTTGAAATTCGAATCAGTCCCGATTTTACCCAGTCTATCACAGTTCCGAAGGCCCCTACCAAAACAAAAGAAACATCTACTTTTTAACAAATTTCCATTCAATATTTTAATTTAAGCGCCGAGTGAAAAAGGCGAAGAGAGTATCAAGATTTGAGATATGTTTGTGGGTGGGTAACACCCACAAACATATCTCAAATCTTGATACTCTCTTCGCCTTTTTTTTTTCTTTCTCAACTATTCTTACATCTCTTGGTATTGCTATATATCAATGATCCAGTACTGTCTTTCTTATGGACAGTAATACTGTCCAGCCTTCTGGCTTCAATTACATTATCACTTTGCACTTTGAAGTCTGAGAGCAGCTTTACACTCTCATTTTCCATCACTGCAGGTGGTTGCCTTTCTTACTATCCACAAGCTATCTTGGACACACAGCAGCCAAAGCCCCAAGCTATCTTGACCACAAAGCACACTCTAATAACTGTAAATTTTGGTGTATCTCATGTTCTTAAGGTTAAAAAAAACACCTTTTCCGTCTTGGTTGTTCGACATAGAAACAGATGAATTAATTCCTGAACAATTTTGGATTTCATTTTTGAGATTAGTATTTGTCAATATACTTTAATTTTTTTAACTGTTTTTCTTATCTTGGTTGTCTTAGATGTAATTATTGGCACAATGTTCCAGCCAAGTATTCTCTGACTGTCATCAGGTGTCCATTGTTTTGGCTATGGGATATTTGTTGATTATTATTGTGTTATTTTGTCCCTTTGATGCCAATTATTGTGTGTTCTTGGTGAACCAATTCTTCACTAGTTGATCCAGTAATTGAACTCACAACCACTAAATGACAGTAACACCAACTCCTATATCCACTATGCCACTGCCCCAAAAGACATCATTTTCTGTGGTTGTGAGTTCAATCCTTGGATCAGCTAGTAAAACACTGGTTCAGCAAGAACACACAATAACTGACATGACAGGGACAATAACACAATAATCAAGATAGGTCCAATATCATCCAGAACAATGGACACTGATGATGGCCAAAGGGTACTTGGCTTAAACGTTGAGCCTATAATAACATCTATAACAGTCAAGATAAGGACAATAGTTTGAGCCAATTAAACCATATTCCTGAACAACACAGACATAACAAATCAGGTTTTTCCTACTGAAATTTGTCCATCATCATGTAACTATGGTTAAGCACACTTCTCTCTCTCATGATTCAAGGGAGCATCAATAAGAATTGTATATACAAGGATGGATCAATAGTGGTTATTGGCTGAATATAATTTATTCGTTTGATGCTTTTTTTAATCATTGATCTGAGAAAATTGTACCTAACCATTTTTTTTTTTTTTTTTTTTTTTAGATTAGTGTTTGAAAATGGCCTCAAGCAAATAGATTCTTTAAATCCTAAAGAAGATGATCATGTAGACCAGTGCTTCTCAAACTATCTGATATGGCGGACTGGCATATTTTTTATCTCAATGTGTCACGTACTTGTAATATTTCGTGGTAATATTAATTTATACCAGAAACAATATATATAATGAATATAATAAAAGTTGACTATTTTTTATCTTCCATTTATTTTGCAAAAATTAATTCAGTACAAAAACATAGAAAAAGTAATTAAAAAATAAGCAGTTTATTAACAGAAAAACAAAAATTATATCACCTTAAACTTTACAAATGATTCCTTAGCATAGCCTGGACACTGGCCACATACCGGTAGCTGATGGTTTGTGTACTGGCACCAGTTCTCAGACCATCACTTTGAGAAACACTGCTGTAGACTGATGCTACAAAATCAGAAATGAAGATCTTTAGAAAATATCAAAAACCATATCACTTGAACACTTCCAACAACAATAAAAAATGTTACTATAAAAGGGAAAAATAACGATATAATCAAGTATCACAATACCTTAAACAAAAGGTTTGGAAGGAAACTTACATCAGTGCCATAAAGAGCCATAACAGTGGATTTGAGAAGTCTAATTTTCTGAAAAACTATTTTAAGAAAAAGATTTTATAAACTTCAACCACTAGTAACACTGGTCAATGAATGCCAAATGTTTCTGTAGCGAAGAAAATGGTAACTTACCTCATCAAACCAAGCGACAGCGTGTCACGTGTATCCTACGTCAGAAAAGAAAGTAAAAGCGTATGTGACTTCTTGTTTATATATGAGAATGTCATGCAAATTTTTGGTCACACCTCAACCAGTCATGGACTTCTTGGCATGGACATAAAAAGGTGCCATATGTGACTGGCAAATCAGTTCTATGAGTCATTACATGGTGTGAAGGAGGATTTCTTGAGATGAGAAACTGCTATAGAATTTTATCCCCTCACAAAATTCTATTATAGTTTGCTTATAAGGAAACATAATTTCCCCAACGCCATTTACCATTCCACTTATTCACCAAATAACTGAAGTGAAATACCATTTTCCAAGTTCATTTCCTGTTTTAAACATTTTCCCAATGATGACAAACGTTGTGGTGAACTGAGCAGTATGAAATATAATGCCTAATTTATCAAACCTTTTAGCTATTGATATCCTTTTGCCTTGCTGATTATCCAAATCAAATCTCTGTATCACAACGCAGTAAGAGTTGATATTTCATGATTTGTTTTTCTGTTTCTTCAGGGAATCACCATCATCAAGCCAATTGTCTATGGAAACATTGCTCGTTATTTTGGTAAGAAGAGAGAAGAAGATGGTCATACACATCAGTGGACAGTTTATGTTAAGTCCTTCAGAAACGAGGTAAATAATTAGACAAATACATTTTGTTATAATCATTAGAGAAATGACTAATTTTCTTGTGCAGTTTTTTTTTTATTTTAATTGAAATAGAGAAAAAAATGTTTTTTCAGTCTTCAGAACAAAACAAATTTGGCATTCAGCAAAGTAAGTAAATTTTTTTTGTTGTACATTAACAAAATGATATATTCAAACTGATATTTGTCAACCAAATTAGCTTATTTGGGACTGAATTAAAATGCAAACCTAAATGTCCCTGGTTCAGTCCCATATTTTCAATAGTATTTTGCATTAATGGTATGTCTATACTTGGTTATTTAATGTCAAAGGTTTTTTGTTTTTTTAAAATCAAGATCTAAATATACAAGTCTTACAAGACAATTATCATAATGAATAAATAGTTTTAATATTTGCCTTTCTATATTAATTACCATCAAAAATAGTTCCATAAATATTTTTAATGTTTTGTATGGTTAAAAAAATAAAATAAATTTTATTTTATTTTTTTTAATTTAGAAAATAGAATTTAATTATAAACAAACATTTTGAAATTTTAGAATTAAATGGAAATAACATTTTAAAAATATATCTTTGCAAACGAAGGAAAGGTAACTCTTGCTATAACAATGTTATAGTAAATGTTCCTTTAACAGTATTAGCTGTGATTGCGAGAAAGAGAAAAAAAAACAGGTTGTAATCAAGTTTGACCACCAAACTAAAGTGATTTAAACTTCTGAAGAATTTAATAAAGACATTAATTCTTTTGACAAGTGTTTCTATTGGATGATTTTTTAGGCCATAATATAGTATAGGGGTTATTTACTGGAAGTTTTTAATTTGGTTAAGTTTTTGAGGCGGGGGGGATTTTTTTATAAATATTTATCTACTCTGTCTACATGCTCATCAACCAATCAACTGCTGCAATCCTATCCTCAGGCTTCACAAGGTAATCCTCTTTGGGGAGCAAGAGTCTTACGCTTCAGCAAAGGGATATTCTATGTCCCTGACAGTAGGGTAGTTTAGAACACATTTTTGTCTGAAAATTCTTTTCTTAGATTAATAATTGTTTTGATATCAAATTTCTTTTAGCAGAAATTGTCCAACTCGCACTGTATTGATTTCAGACAGAGCAGTGTTTTTTGTTTTTTTTTTTTAATTTTAATAGGGAAAAAAACACTAAACAAATAAAGAAATAATTTCTTTTTGATTTGTCATAAAGATAACCTTCTCATAAAATATGTCAAAAATATTTTGTTAAATATTATTTCTCTGACAGTGTTTTTGGTCATTGCAGGACATGTCAAGTTATGTAAAGAAGGTCCACTTTAAGTTACATGAAAGTTATCCCAACCAAAACAGAGGTAAGAAAAAAAAAATAGCCAAATCTCATCAATTTACTTCTGAGCTGCAGATGTAGCCATAAATTCTATGCTAACAGTTTCTTTTCTCACACTTCTCCCTTGTAAAACTCCCTTCCGGTCTGATGCTTTCCAGCCATCTTTAATCTGCAAAAATTTAAATGCAATGTCAATCGCTCTCTACTGTCCTCCTGATTACTCTTTCCTCTTCCTGCTCATTATTAATGTTTCTGTTCCTAATTCTTCCACACCCTGTAACCCCTTGTGTCTTAGTGGCTTTACTGCCTTGCCTGGGGTGATACCGATTAAAAATAAAAAATATACTATTTCCTACCTTGTTTTAAAAAATTATGCTTCATCAATTTTATCTCAGAAATTGGACAAATGTATAGCTTTATCCTTATTGTGATTAATATGTGCATCATTTTGTTAACGAGCAACATCAATCTGGGGTAAATTATTTAAAATTAATTCTTATTATAATTACTATTAATTAAAATGTAAGATAAAATTATAATGTGAATGTTTAATAACGAATCTTAAACCCAACATTTTAATAAACAGTTTTGCTATTATCTTTGTTTATGTCTCTTTCAGTTGTGACAAAACCACCGTACGAAGTGACAGAAACTGGATGGGGTGAATTTGAAGTTGTCATCAAAATTTACTTTAATGACACCAACGAGCGTCCAGTAAGAAATTATTTTGACATTTCTGTTTGAGTTCCAGCCTGAAAAAATCACCAAATACTCATCATGATCCAAATCATGGAATAGTGATTTTTGGAAACTGGGTCAAGCCAAGAATTTTTCAGCACCCTGACTAGAATACAAGAATATCCCAGTCAGATAAAGTGTTCTTAATTTTATAAGATGTACTCTCAAAATGAGTCAAATGTAAAAAGAAAAAATTGTTTAAGAAATGATTTAGAAACACTTTTATAATAATGCAGACCCCAATCCACCATTTTTTTGCTTGCTAAAGTTGATTTTTTTTGTTATTTCATTTCAGGTGACACTTTACCATTTGCTGAAGCTCTTCCAAAGTGAAACGGACATAATGTTGGGAAAAAAGTCTTTGGTGTCTGAATTTTATGATGAATTGGTGAGCCAGCCTTTCAGTGTCCATTGTAAAAAGCTCCAGCTGTTGAAAATCATTTGCTTTGTCATAACTAGTAATAGATATAGCTGTAATTTTGTTATAATATTTGTGAAAAAAGAAAATTGCTTATTTACTCTTACTTTTTGCTTTACTTCTGTCACACCCTGACCCTAATCTGACAGCCCAGATAATCAATGACAAGATCAATAGATAAAAGGCCTGGCCCTGAATATTGATATATATAACTGCCTTGGAGCAGTGGTTAATAATCTAGTCTCCCCAGACTGTTAATCAAGTCAGTTTGATTCTCTGACCTAAGCTTAGTTGGATATATATATATATATATATATATATATATATATATATATATATATATATACACTCCAGGTTTATAGGCCTATGGACATATCACGGTGAAAGTTGTATGATCACTGAAGTTAAACAACATTGAGCCTGGTGAGTATCTAGATTAGTGACAGCTTTGGAATAGCAGGTGTTGTGAGCTTAGTTGTGTAAGTGGTGTAATGGGCCATGTCATATCAAAACAGTGGTTCTTGTACAATTACTAAAGTTAAGCAATGTCAAGTCTGGTCAGTACCTAGCTGGGTGACTTCTTGGGAATACCAGGTGCTCTAAGGGTGTAATAGATAACAGCATGATATTCAAAATCAGAGAGCAAAGTTCAAATCCTTGTTGCATTTGTTATATTCCCTTACACACAAATCCCCTTGGGAAAGGCATGAATCCACCTCTTCTCCCCCTAGCTATGGGTTAATTAGTAGGACTTGTATCAGTAAATCATTATTATCTTTAAAACATTCTTCAATCTAAAATATTTTCTGGTTTTAAATAACCTGCAAAAATCAATCAATCAATCCATATATATCATCTGTGTCTGCATGTATAGATGTGTAATTTTACATTAGAAGCAGGAGTTGACAAAATAGAATGTAAACAATATCCCCCAAAGTACATTGATGAAACATGCTGAGATTTTTTAAAGAAAAGAATATATGGGCTTAAAATTATACAACACAATCAATACATTTTTTGTGTGCTGCCCCGAAAAATGGTATTTTGATGAAAAAAAAAAGAAAGTAAAAGAAAGAAAATATAATTTATGAAGATGAAGATGAAATTGTCATGATCTATGAATCCCCCCCCTACAATTAATACACATGATTGGGCTTATTTTTATATTGGCCGGCATTGCATTTAAATCTTTGAAGATCAAAGTTGACTGGAAAGCAAGAAACTAGAAGGAAGTTTCACAAGTGAGAGGAAAAAACTGGTACTGCAACTCTATGCAAACTATGAAAAATAAATAAAAGTGCATTGAAATTAGTTAAAAATTTCATTTCTATAACAATACAGTGAAAGTTAAATCAAGCTTTCTGACACTTAATGTGGATCACGTTTTGTCTTGCTAATGTGTATTTTGTTCTTGTGAAATTAATTTCTTTTTCTGATGAGGCCAGTCCATTGGCAAAATATATAAAAACATTTTGTTGTATATTTACCATAGGTGTTGTGTGTGGATGTAGCTTGTAAAACAGAAACTATAATTTATTAAGCAGAAGTAACAGATATTAATGGCCAAAATAAAACATACAGAAGGTACATTGTTTAAGCTAGAAAATCTTAGGAACTCCACCAAACTTGCTAACTATATGTGGAATTTAAACAGTAAGTGTTGTTTAATACTGTTTATTATAAACAGAGCATTTACTTAAATATTTGTATCTATAAAAAGAATGTATAAACATAAAAATGTCTTAAAATAATTGTCGGACTTTGTCCATTTCATAATGTGTGACATCATTTGTTTACATTTGATACGCCATGAGCAGATATGAATGTACGTGAGAGATTCATAGAAGATTGAAGTTCAAATACAGTAAATTCGACCTTGCTAACCGAATGCTCCTCTGTAGCCAAATCAGTTAAGGCATGTCAAGCTAAATGACAGTTCCATATAGGATACAGGTTCGAATCCTGACGGAGGACGAATATTTTCTGTGAAAATTTCTCGGACATTCAGGCTGGTAAATGTTGTTTAATACTATTTATTATAAACAGAGCATTTACTTAAATATTTAGCTATAAAAAGAATGTATAAACATAAAAATGTCTTAAAATATATATTTATAAATAATTAGACTGCTGTGATAAAGTGTCTCTTTTGCAAGCAACACCAAATCAATGTAATATTAATTTTTTCTTTTTTATCGGTTTCTCAACAGAAGCCTTCAAAAAATCAAATGTAATTTTTAACAATGAAGGAGGATTTTGGCATATTTATTGTTCACCTTTTAATTTGTCCCAAAGTTTATCAATCAAATACTGCCATGAATATTGATGTCTTTCAAGCAAGTACAATGGGACATTTTCAACATGCTTCTTTATGGTGCCTGTAAGATTACTGGCATGACTGAGGTCAGGTGAAGTTTCTACCCACTTCCCAGGTACATCTTTACAGGAAAAAAAAACAAAAATCAAATTTTTCCAACCTTTATGCAGCTCTAAATTTGGCACATGTGATTTGTTTTTTCATAAATGATTTCATCAAAACTCCAGAAAAGGAAGCAAAAATTTGTTTGTGTAAAAACTCATGCAATACATTCATTTCTTCTTGCAAATAACTGAACATTAGACATTTTTGGGAGAAGGTCTTCTTGGTCAAATTAAGAACTTTTCAGCACCCCATTGTATGCTTCTATTAGAACAAAGCATTCAGCTGCAAATGTGTGGGTTGATCAATAAATCTGAAGCAATTGAGTGTAAAAAAAATGTTAAGTTGTCATTCAATGAATTGCTTCTGTAAAGTCAGAGCCCAAAAAATAAAATGGCAATAAACGCACCAAGATATTATTTTAATCAGGATTTCTTTTTGCCTACATTTCAGATGTTCCAGGACCCAACACAAGTCATGCAACAAATGTTAACAAATGTACGGCCAATCATGATGGGAACTTATCGCCATGAAACAGACTGTGAGAGTTTCTTGCTCGTTGTCTCCCTCACCTAATTACTATTTTAGTTTGACTAATAAATTCCTTATAAGTCATAATAGTATAAAGTGAAAGTAATAAAATATTAAAATAGTTACTAAATATACTTAACACTTCCACTCCTGTGAACATACTTATGTCGTTACAGAATAATGCCTGCTGTTGATATATATATATATATATATATATATATAGCCAGTATTATTCTACTGGCATTATATATATAAATATATATATATATATATATTCATGAATTATTCACACAAAAACAAATGCAAAGGTTAATGATTTAATTGGCGAGAAATCCATCGTCGCAAACAATTCAAATAATATACAAAAACCTCCGAATCTGATATGAATGAAATGATCCTTGTTTCTATAAATTTCTGCCGTATTAGTTCTTATTTTTACTACAAGCTTTCGTCTGTTCCTACAGACATCTTCAGGTATAGAATAGATGTTGTTCTTGTTTTTTCTCTTAGTAATAAGAGGACAACGAAAATATATGTATTGTTGTATCCGAAAATGCTATTGGAAATGAGTTATTGTTTTTGGAGCACGCAGTAGCAACGCTGAGTTTGATTTTAAATTTTTAAAATTTTGTATATGAACGAACAACTTTTAAAAATATATATATATGTGGTGCGATGGGTAAATTGTCGCTATTTTTTATTTTTTATTTTTTATTTTTTCTCATGCACGTTTGTTTATGACTCTGTTGGTTGCACAGTATAGTAGGGTCAGTTCAGCGCCATCTATGAAAAAAAGAGCACCATGGCGTAATTCAGAAATTTGGAAACGCCATGCTGTACTGCTTGACGACCCTATGTCTGGCAATAGAACTTTGTATTATACTGCACAACACAAGAACCCAGGGCTGACAGACAATTTCTTCAACCATATCACCCCTTAATTCTGGCCACCTAACTCCCAAGACTGCAACCCTTTTCATTATTATGTGTTGGGCACAGTTGAGCGAGAGACAAACAAAACTCCTTGTAACACCAAAGATGAACTGAAGGCAAAGATTATGACAATATTCACCAACTTAAACAAGGAGACCAACCAGAAGAGATGCAGGGGAATTCGAAGTTGTCAGGAGGCAGCCATGGTTGAAGCCAATGGTGATTTTATTGAATAAATTTACTCTATAGTATTTCAAGATATTTTTGTGTAATTTTAATAAATATATCTTTTAAAATGAGATGTCAATGTTATTTTGATTTATTGCATAATTTAGACGACAATTTACCCTTCGCACCCTATCTATAATATATATCATCTTTCAAACATGTTTGGTTGAATAATATAAGCAAATTTGTCTATCAAATTTTTTAAATTTACAAATTATTTGTTTAATTTTATCAGTAAATTTGCCAAAGTTCATATTTATATTACATTATTTTTTTCATCTGAGTACTTTTGAATGTTGCTACATTCGTTTTCAAGGATTGTGTTTTGTCTCTATTTAGGAAGCTGTTTTTGGTTAACTCTAGCTTTCTCATGTTTGCTGGAATCATTTCAAGTTCCATTTCTGGGGATATATAAATGGCTGAAATATTGTGATAGCAACAACAAAGATAAGGACAATAGCCTGCATGTAAATAATATAAATAATGACAACTCCTTATTCCATTCCTGTGTTTGATGATAAACTACATCTGGCAGCAAGTCATTTGATTGGGATTGATTGGAGGTTTTGAGTTGCTGTTGTTCCCAAGTCCACTTTGACCTCAACGTGGTTGCATCTGTTAGGATTCCAGCTTTGGACAAATAGTGAACCCCTCCCCCCACAAACAAAAGCAAAACACTATGAAAGTATAAAAAATACCTATTTATAGCAAAATGACTAGAAATACATTTTATAGTAAAATTACCAACAATAGTTTTTATTTGTAGTCAAAAGCATGCAATTGCGTTCAAAATATATTTAGTTGAAGCCATAAAATTATGTTAAAAAAATTAAGATTTTCACATTAAATAACCCATAGAGATGTTGATATGCCACTAAAGAAAATCAACCACACAACCAACATGAAAGAACCCTTTCATGACATTAATCCGTATAATATCCTATAATTGGATTCCAAAATATACCTTCATCCAAAATAAAACATAAAACACACACACATCACCATCTCTAGTAAAAATGTCTACACAAACATATATATGCAAAAAAGCTGAGTATCATTTACCATGTATTCAACTGTGAAAACAGAATAACATGTATCATATTTTTATGACTTCAAAGCTGCCAAGAAAATTAAATTTTGGCATTAAATAACCCATGAGGAGTTGATATTCTGTTAAATAAACAAAAAAATCTCCCCATCCCAGAAATTCAGACAAATTTTCTCTGCTGTTATAAAGAAAAAGCAGAGAGACTAAATACTATTTTGTTCTATTTCCAAACCAGTAATGACCTATCATAGTATACAGCACAATCTGTTTTTTAAAGTATTTTTATTATATTTTATGTTGAGAGTATTGTTTAGCTTAGTTTGTACTGCAGAGGATCTGATCAAAGCCAAAACAGTAGCATCCATGAGAAATTACTGTCAGTATTATTATAGTTATTTATTTCCAGTTAGTAGTATTTTACCATTTTTTCTCAAAATGGGCCAGTATAGTCAGGCAACAACGCTATTGCAACACAGCAGTGAAAGTGTTAATGTATAATTTATATTATAATTAAATAATAACAGTTATCTATTATACCATTTATTTATGTGTTTATTTTCTTAATCATAATTGTAAGGTATATTTTGTTTTATGAATTTTCATGTGTTAAGAACTGAAACACATTCATAAAGTTTGAGTTTGAGACCTTAAATAGAATTCGTATTTAGGAGATAAAATAGGAAAAAGTTTATGCAAAGGAAATTCTTTTTATTCAATGGATAAATATCTCCCATAATATAAACATACTTCAAGATAATCAGTATTTAATTAACAAGAAATGTGGAGCTAATTTTGTTGATATAATGTTTTAAGGATGATGTCGGTATGTATTCAAACATTTCCAAATCAATTCCATTTCTTAATTTTAACAACTGAAGATTAATTATGAATATTTTTTCTGGAGTTATTTTCTTCTCATATATTTTGAAATTATTCAGTAGACAAAGTAGAAAATATTGTCTAAAAAAAAATGTTTCAAGACATCACAGCAAATATAATATTGCCATTTACCTATATCATCCGTTGTTATTGTTGCAAAGTTTCTTTTAATTTTTATTGAAACAATTCGTTTGGCTTAATCAAAGAGCTGATTGTGCCTAAAACAATTCTATATTGAAAGAAAAACAATTTGAATCAATTCTGTGTTGAAAGAAAGCTTAGATTCCATTTGTATTTTTTTGTTCTTTGCAGTTGAAGAAAAACGTGAGAAAACTGTAAGTAACATCCTCAATGCCAAAAACAAAATCCGCTACGAAATTGCCGAGTTGAATGAACGTCTAAAACAGAGCAAGGAAGTGATACAAAAATACAAAAATGAAATCTTGAAAATGGAAGAATCTGATGATGTTGTTGCCCCTGCATCTTTGGGAACAACAACGCCCTCTTCATCTGCACCTGGGACTCCTGTGGCCACTCCCACACCAAATGTACCCATATCTACACCAGTGGTGGATGGTGTGGCTACAATTCCTGCTACTATAGCAACTGCTCTGCCAGAAATTGCTACGTCCATCACTTTGTCAACAACACCAGTTGGAAATCCTACAACACCTAGCATTTTACAGACGAGAGAAAGTTAATAATATATTTTCTTTTCATTTTCTTCTTGTTGAACGTTTAACATATTTGGCTGTTTCGTGCTGACTCTTGGACCTGATTTGTTTTTGCATTTAATTAGTACCTGTCACAACGCATCAGGACTATGTTGTTGCTTTCGATTAAGAATTCCTGAATTATTTTTTATTTTTTTTTTTTTACATAGCTATTAGAGATAAGCATCCACCCTCCAATTTTCTGGTGGGGACGGGATCTTTTTTTTTTATCTCTTTACTTACTTTTTTTTTTTTTTTTAAATAATTTTTTTGTCTCCTTTTTCCTTACACCAGCAGAGACAGTCCTCACTTTTTTTTTTTGTTTCATTGAATCATTTTCTTTGTTTATTTTTTCATCAGGTTTACATCAATGTCATTCTTTCACTCATTCCATCATTTTCATTCATTTCTTTGCAAAGCAATTATCTTCAATAAAATGACAAGTTGTCAGTTTGCTTGTGAAGTCTTCCTCAGTTATCTTTCTTGATATGCGTTCTTCTCTAAGGAGGTTTTGCTGAACTTTCCACATGTTTTCTTTTGAAATGTTTTCATTTTTAATTAATCTTAAAGGGCAGCTTTAAAAAATACACAAAGCCAAAAAGATTGTGTTATTTTATAACAACCTCATACACGTACTTTCTTTGTCAGATAATTTTAAAATAAAGGGAAAAAAAATAATTTAGATAAACCTACTTGTCGCTAATATTTGAGGAACAAGAAGTTGTTTTTTAATATTTCACTATTATTTACATAATTTATATTGTTCGGACTGTTGTCCTCGTTCACAATGTTTCAGCTGTTTTATGCTCTTCAGGTAATTTCAAAGTGAACCCTTTATTTTGTCTACTGGGGGTAAATTGTTCTAGTTCCATGTGCCACGACTCTTCTGCATATCTCAGTTTCAGTTAATTCCCTTTAACTCAATTCTTCAAGTTATTTGTTTACTTCTGCTGTGGCCAGGCTTTTTATAAAAGCGTTGGTTGAAGTAATCCAGTGAATTGACCCAGTACAATGGCTGAAAAATTGTGAATATAGCAACAAAGATGAGGACAATGTAAATAGTGTAAATAATTACAATACCTCATCTCTGAAATATAGACAGATATTGAACGGGCGAAACCTTGTGATAAATATGGTAACAAATATGAGGACAATAGTCCGAATAATGTAAATAGCGTACATAATACCTCATCTCAAAAATATAGACAGATACTGAAAGGCCGAAACGTTGTAATAAATATGGCAACAAAGATGGCAATAGTCTGAATAATGTAAATAGTGTACATAATACCTCATCTCAGAAATATAGACAGATACTGAAAGGCCGAAACGTTGTAATAAATATGGCAACAAAGATGACAATAGTCCGAATAATGTAAATAGCGTACATAATACCTCATCTCAAAAATATAGACAGATACTGAAAGGCTGAAACGTAATAAATATGGCAACAAAGATGACAATAGTCCGAATAATGTAAATAGTGTACATAATACCTCATCTCAGAAATATAGACAGATATTTCATGGTTATTTATTATTCACTTCATCTTTAGAATATTAAATACTGAATACCTACTAGCTTGCGTTTAGAGTTACCATCTTATATATATGTATATGTATGTATGTATCAAATATGTGGTGCAGTTCAATTTATATTACAATGAATCATTCAGGTAGCATCAGAGATGAAAAAATGTGAATCAAAATATGTTTTTTTAAATGTGTTATTGATAACGGATACAAACTTTTGGAGCGTGCAGTCACAACACTAAGGTTGAATTTTTTTTTTATTAGTAAAAAATGCACTCACTTAAATTTTCAAAATTTTAAATACATTTTTTTGTCTCTGATGTTACCTGAAATTTTACCAAAAAATAAAATAATTTCCATGCCTGAAGACTGAATGTACAGTTGAAAGTACTTGCGTTTTTAAGAAAGACCTTATACAGGTTATAATGTCCGTATGTATATATGTGTGTAAATGTATATATATGTAGGAATGGATGTATGTGTATATGTATGTATGTGTTTATGCATTCATATGTATACATATATGTATTTGTATGTGTATATATATATATATATATATATATATATATATATATATATATATATATATGATATATATATGTATATATGTACATGGGTATATGTGTGTGTATGTGTGTACACGCCTATATGTATGTATGTACGTGTAAATGTAAATATGTTATTGTGTATGTGTATACGCATGTTGTGTTTTTGAACATAGAAATATAGGTCCTTGCTAGATTAGATAATCGTTATATTTATTTTTTATATGTTTATACTTGATTTGTAACCTGTAGTCGATATTAATTTTGTCAAATTTTCTTAATTACACAGCGGCCCTTTCAGTAAATGCCCTTCAGTTTTAGTTTCCCCCGTCCCATCTCTCTCCCCCACCCCTTTTTCTTTTCTTTTCCTCTCCTTCCTTCTTATTCTGATCTTTAATATTTGATCATCTATTGTGTGTGTATGTCACCACAAAATGTATCCTTTCCGGTTACATCTTTAATGTATTAGACATCTGACAACATTCATATTTCTCTCACTTAAACCATCTTTGACTCCCCTCTCTAAAACTTCTCTCTGTTAAATTTTAATCCCCCACCTTCTCTCGTCTGTTACCCCTCTCTTTAGCTCTAACATTCGTCTCACACCCTCATATTTACACTCTCTCTAAATTTTATTTTTTATTCCCGGAGTTGTTTTTTCTGTTTTCTTTTTGAATTTGTAAGTCTGATGAATTGGATCCTATTTACAATTCCAATGGAATGAATTATGACCATGGAATATTAGTGTTTAAGCCATTTTATTATATATATATATATGTATATATATATATATATATGCTCAATAAATAATTATAGTGTAGACTAATCATCCTTTTTAAACAATTTGCAAACTAAAAAAAAAGAATTTTTTTTTGTCATTACCAACACTTTGGGCTGAAGAATTGGTAATGATGAAACTTTAGTAACTGGTCTCTTAAGGTTTAAATCGATCTTAATTCCTTATATTTTCTTCTAGTGTTGTAAGACTCTCTTCTCTCTCAGATGGGTGCATATATATCTACCGGTTATCTGGTTTGTCCCATGTGTGCACTTCCTAGGCACAGTTAGGTTGACCATGTGTTGGCAAATCAGGGGTAGCCACTGATGGTGAAGGCACAGCTCTGCACCTGGCCTCTCTGATGAATATTGAGTGCAAAGTCTCTTTTAGCGTCATCTGAGGGGTGTCACATTTTTATACTGTATCAGAATATGTGTCCACTGTAGTGTCAGTAAGTCACCTTTTTGGCTGGGGGTATAATTATGGATAAATGACAAAAATAACCAAATTTGTACTTATGGTAAAGGACATTGTTTCTGATAGAAGACAGCATATATATATAATATATATATATATACCAAACTGATCTGGGTATAAAGTTCAACTTAAGAATTACAGTTTTCAGTGTATAGTTCTCATGAATTAAAATAAAATTTTTATACATTCTGTCTATCTATCTATCTATCTATCTATCTATCTATCTATCTCTCTCTCTCTCTCTATATATATATATATATATATATTACATATACATATATAATATATATTACATGGAACTGTTGTATAGCCTGATGTGCAATACTATTTAGCTTCGGAGAAAGCGTCTGGTTATGAGGTCAAATTACTGTTTTTAAAATACAAATTTCCTATGATTTCTCTCGAATGCTCATATCTGCTTGAAGTGTATCTTAATGTAAACAAATGACATCATGTATTATGAAATGGACTAAGTCTTACAATTATTTTAATATATTTTCTGTTTATACGTTATTTTTTTAGATATAAATATTTAAGTAAATGCTTTGTTTATAATAAACAGTATTAACAACATTTACCAGCCTGATACAGGTTCGATTCAGAAGACATATTTTCTATGAAATTTCTCAGACATTCAGGCTGGTAAATGTTGTTAATACTGTTTAATATAAACAGAGCATTTACCTTGCTAATCAGACACTTTCTCTGTAGCTAAATGGTATTGCATGTCAGGCTATATATATATATATATATATATATATATATATATGATTAAGCAAAGAAAAACTATTGTGATGCTATAATTGACCAGTGCAGAATTTTTCAGCTGCAGCACTTCACAATGTTACCATAATGTTTTTCTTTAATCATTTTACTACAAACAAGGTAAGCCACTAAGACACAAGGAATGAAAATGTATATGAGAAAAAAATATTATTAAGGAGAGAACAATAAAAGAACAGGAATTGAGATGATTGACATTGCATTTAAATTTTTGAAGATCAAACTTGGCTGGAAATTAAGAATCTGGAAGAGAGTTCCACAAGCAAGAAGTGCGATAGAAGAAATTGTTATCATAGAATGTTGTAACAATATTGGGGATGAGCAGTCAGTTTAGGATTAGGGAAATAGTTGATAGCAACATTATAGTAATATCACTTTGATATCACGTCTTCCCAACCAAAATACATCTTACCTGCAAATTAGTGTCCTTTGCCAATGATGTAGTTTCCAGAGGTTTAGAGTTGTTTAAGTCCTTTTAATGGGAAATTATCTACTCACATTTCAGAAAGATTTTAACCTGCATGTTTCTCAATGAGAACCTTATAATTGAAGATATATTCTACTGTGCTCCGCCCGGCTCTAAAACCTGCCTGCTCTTCTGATAGTAATTCTTCAGCCTTGAATTTCAGGCGTTTGAGTATAATACAAAGCATGCCCTTGTTGGGGTGGCTGATCAGACTTATTGTTCTATAATTCTAATATTGATTGAGATTACCATTCTTTGGTAGGGGTATCAACAGTGAGTAGTCTAATCTTTTGGTTATTTATTCTGTTCCGAAATCCGCTGGAATAGAGATTTTAGGCTTTTTAACAGTTTCTTCACTT